CATTTGAAACCATGCTAACGTGGAGGATACTCAATATTAGCCCATCCTCCGCTCAACACTGAGAATTTATTGAACAAACGTTTCAAGGATCTGGAGTGGTCCAAGCTGGGGGCACAGTAAGTTCCAAGCTGCCTTCACAGGGTACCTACTAATGATTGATGATAAATAGATGTCATGCTTTACAAAATTCCCTACAGTGAACAGCATTTACCGACAACGTGAGTCCAAAAACTACGGCAAAATTGATAGCAGATATCATGTGCTGACGGCCCTCTCTGTAGGATGGCAAACTTTCTATCGCAAGTCACTCAATGTCTTGTAAGTCACGCTTGGGCTTTTCCCTGCTCTTTCCCAACGCCCGGTATTGCACTTCGATCTCAAAATGAACGCTGGCTGTTCGGGGCTCTCCATTGTTCAGAAAATATCGCTGATGATTCTTTACACTAGACCTGACAGAGCTATGTTCCCCCTCGTCTTCGAGACTAAACCAGCTGCAACAACCTGACGGGGCAAGCCATTTAATCTCACTACACTTGCGTCTTTGTTGTTTCAGAAGAAACGATTGACACGGGCACTTCGCCTGGCGCATTAAGCAAGCCCATTTCAGAAAGGCTTGATGCCCTTTGCTTAGCCATACGGTAAACTTCCAAAGTCTCTCCATTCCTCTCTTCTACATTACCCTGTCCGAACAGAAATTGACAGCCAATGTATTAGCAACTCACCATATTCTGACGGCCATGAGCCTCTTGCCCATGTCCAAATTGAAGGCTTGTCGGTAGCCATGAGCCGGTCTCACTGATGACCGAGCGAGCCATCGGAGCATCCGCGACAACGAAGAGAGGCCGAGAATCCACCGCCACGGAAAAAGACAACCAACTTTTTCCCAGGTGGCCTCAATCAGCAAATTGAAAAGAGCTATTGGCAATAGTCTTAAGGCCAGTTATTTCAATCCTTGATTTCAGTTGATCAAGCGTTAAGACAGCCCATGGCTTAGATCTACCCTTGATGCCTCGCCGCGAGAGCAGTCATTTTTAGGTCGGGGCAAAGTTTGTCGCAAAAAAAGAACCATGAATCTCTTGCCCAGTGATACTTTGCCCTGGCATGGTTGAATATTAGCCCAGAGCCGTACATTGGCAGGTATGGCTAAGTTCATTCCCAGTGGTACAAAGTGATCTCGGATCTGATCCCACTACCTAGTTCCTGGTTTCTCTAGGCTGATTCCAGGCTGCTCACGGTAAGTCTATCCCACCCTCGGTCACCAGAAATCATATTAACATAGAGAGACAGTGAGACGGCCCTAATTCAGCTGTTCTGGTGAGTCCGATCGAGAATGTGCATTATAGCTGGTTTAAGGGGACCTCATCTAGGCCGCGAACAAGGTAAGTTGCGAACAACTATCTTGCGCCAGCTGCTGATAATCGGTGCTAGATTAGGTATATCCAACGGCAAATTGCCTTGGCTGTGGCCTGGTGCAGTCGGTCATTAAAGCTGCTACCATGGCTTATTCATAATTTATCCTGGTTAGTACATTTCCATCTCCAGGATAATTCGAAAGGCAACTAAACATAGTCAAGTCACTGTAATGAAATTAGGTATTTTCCCCCGATGCTATGCTCGATGCAGCCGCCCGCCGACCGAATGCCTCCTCGCTTTCACCACCGAATCGCACGTACCCGCCGGCAGAAGTAGCCTCGCCGGACCGGCCAGTCGATTGCCGAGACGGTCACAATGGCGCAGTTGTTATTAGTTATTTGAAAGATGCAGGTCGGTTTGAGATATATGTGAAGAACGTCTTGAGATATATGTGAAGAAGACGTTCTCACTGACATCGATCGTAGCGGTTGATGTTACTCTCAGTCTAGGCGTGGCATGTGTGTTTTACGCGACGCGTAAGTGCACCCAGCCTTTTCCCGCCGCAGCATGTTTCTGGTGCGGCAGGTCCTCGATGACCATCAATTTCAATACCTCCGGTTGCTGACTTTGGCTGGCATGTCCAATCGACTCCGCAAAGGTGGTCTCACCACTTCCATTGGAGATCAGCAAAAGGTAAAATTTAAATCGTAGAGCGAATACTCGGGAAATGGTTCGAAAAAAAAGCGGGCTTTGAGTTCGGGCGGACCGCATGGACGGGTTCTGATGTACCCTGCGGGAATCGAACCCGCTTCGTTACAGAAAGCCAAGTGAAATGCCACTAGACCACGCAAAGAGAAGGGTTGCCGGCGCCAATTTTGCTTGACTATAACCACTAATTTACAAATAATCATACCCCGTTCTTCTGGGCACACATCCGACAAGATCAGCGTTTCGGGGCTCTAGGAATGGCTTTTATTCGATCAGGCCGACTCCAAATTATAAGTGAAAATTGCTTGGAAGAATGAGGCTTTCTATCGCCCGTACCCCAATGGTTCTTTGCCAGTTTACCCCGATCATGTACATAATAGAAATGGTCTAGGGATATATATTGCAGGTTTCAAGTCAGCATTCGGGAACACTACCTCAGATATTGAACAGAACATGGTCAAAGAGCACGCGACGAATCTCGAGCCGAGAGAATGTCACACAGAAGACCGACCGGAGGAAATACTACCATCACGAATCTGATATTTAGAAATCATCGTTTCGCACTGTTTCTCAACTTTTGCATATGGAACAAAGACCCTCACTATGACGGGATGGGTGTTTACTGTTGGCCACCGCTTCACCGCCCGGGAGTCACCCGCGCTGCCCATCACCATGTTGATTCACGATTCACTGGTTCGGTCCCCATTACGATCATCACCATCTCTCAACTGTCACTCACCTCCAGCCCTCATCTCCAGCCCTCTCCATTAATGTGTCCTCACCATAAACGTGTCCTCACCATCAACACGCCTTCACCATCAACACGCCTTCACCATCAGCACGCCAACATTTCCTACTCAGTGTCGACAACCCGCATCTCACCACGTCGAGACAGATTTTGCCACCACTGGTAGCCAGCAAAGACAAGCATTCACACAAATGGAGGCTACTTTGGATTGCACGCGTCGCCCAGATCGACCACCAAGCTATCATACACTGAGATCCCCACTGGCCCGATGACTCAGTGCCCTACTTCGCACTACGTTGAAGAAATGCCCATTGTCGAAAGCCAGGGCGTGATTCAAGGCTACATAAAAACTTTACGCGACCCAGGAACCTGGCTATTGAACTCTACTAACAGGCTGAAAGGCATGACACAAAGTATACTGGATGGTTCTTGATTCTATTGATTCTTTGGAGCAGGTCTTGGCTTCTTCGAGGACTCCCCCGAATACTAGTCTCTGACACCACGAAGAGGTGCCTGCAATCGCCAGAGGATCAGGACGAGGACCACGGCGCCACGGGTCGCCTAACAAGCACAAATTTGATAACGCAGGGCTCAAGGCTGCATGGAAGCTCAAGATTATACAATCACAGGGCTCAGGGCTGTGAGGGAGAACTTGGTGTCGCAGCGGTCTCCTGCGGAGGCTCTTGATAGCGCAGGCGTCCCTGCGGAGGCTCTTGATGTCGCAGATGTCCCTGCGGAGCACATTTTTACAACGCAGGGCTCATTGATGCGAGGAAGCGCGTTTTTACAGTCACAGGGCTCATGGGCTGTGAGGGAGAAATTGTTGACGCAGCACTCTCCTGCGGGTCTCAATTGGTAACGCAGCGACCCCCTGCGAGGCACACTTGATAACGCGGAGCCCGTCTCGCGAAGAGTACTTCGTAACGCAGATCTTACCTGCAAAAGACACCCCAAGGCTGCGAGGGCCCGGAGTGTGAGGAGGAAAGTCCTGCTCTTCATTTTGACGGGAAAGCATCGTCTTTTTATTGGTGACCTCTCGCAGTCAAGATGGGAACAGGAACGTATATAGTTTGGCCGTAACGGGTCACCTGTCGCTGCGGTCTTATGCGTAAACGCATTAGACTGTAGCGTCAGAGAAGGCTCAAATGACCCGGGCCAAACTAGGATGGTGGAGGGGACGGTGGAGGAAGCAGTAGGGATAGCGGAGCAGGCGCGCCTGTCTGAAACTGGTGATTGAGCTTGTACAAAGCTGACGCGTTCGTGGTGAAATACACCCTGAATGCCTCCGAGGTCCATCTGCCGAGCACCTGGATCTGGTCGTCGAGGATCCCACTATCGTGCGCATGTTGAGCCGCACCCTTCCGAAAGCTGTGGCCCGAGTAGCCGTCCGTCTGGATACCAAGTGCTCTCAGCTTAGTGGACAAGGTAGAGAGGAAATGGTTACGGCTGAACGGCTTTCGGTGGAAGGAGAATAACGGGGCATCGGGCCCTTTAGGGTCGAGCAGTAGTAGCTTCTGAAGCGCGTCTACTGGGCACGCTTCGTCTCCTGTTTTTGCGAGAACAATCTGTATTCCTTCGTGGCGGCGGTCTGTCTTACTCCGTTTGAGTGTGAGTTGCACATGATCTAACGAGGACGAGAATCTGACGTCGGAGCGCGTAAGCTTTGTGGCTGAGAAGATAGAGCGCGTGTTGAGGTCTTCTGTCTTGTAGGTGAATTCTCCGAGGCGGAGGAACCCAGCAAATGCTACCCGGCAGGCGGTTGCGAAATTCAAGTCATCCAGAAGGTTCGCGGTCATCTCTAGGGGCTGTAACGGGAGTGAAGCTAGGCCTGCGGATAGTTTCGTGATAATGACACGCGAGATCGGTTTTCTGACTCGGACTTTCGTGACGGGGTTGAGTCTTCTCGCGCCGTCTATAAGGCGCCGAAAGTGCTTATTATCAAAGAGTTTATCGTCAAGAAAATTGTCGGTATGGTAGGATCGTAGAGCGGCTAGGTCAGCGAGTGCGGTATCAGGTTTGACAGCCTTTTGGTTTGAATTCCCAAGAAGTCGTGAAGTTAGCCAGGAGGTTAACGACTGTGTTGAGGCTGGCCATGCCGATAAATTTTGTAGCGCACAGTGCTTTTCGTAACTACGTTGAACGGAGTGATAGACGGAACGTGTGTTAGCGCTGAGGCCGCTCCAGAGCAGTTTTAGGTGGCCTGCATTGAGCTGAGGAGCTCGTGAAGAGAACCACGCGGGCGGTTCAATACCGAGAGGTCCTGCCAGTGGGGACAAATGTTAGCAACCTCTTGAAAGTTATTGCGGGAGAGCGCATCAGCTAATGTATTTTCCCCGGAAGGGAGCCAATGTGGCACGATTTGGATGTCTCTCGCCGCCGCTAGTATAAGCAGGCTCTTGAGGGGTGCGTTAGGTGGACCATGAAGGAAGCCCTTTCTTAGTCCCGCGTGCGCTGTGGAGCTATCCGTGTGGATAACGAGAGTATGATGAATCCAATGGTGGATGAAGAGTAGGAAGCCTTGTAGGATGGCGTCTACTTCGTTAGTATTGATGTGCGCGTGTGCGGCTTGAGCAACGGCCATCGAGGCGGCATTGCGGGAATGATGCGCGTGTGCGTCTTGAGCAACGGCCATCGAGGCGGCATTGCGGGGATGGTGCGCGTGTGCGTCTTGAGCAACGGCCAATGGGGCAGCATTGCGGGAATGGTGCGCGTGTGCGTCTTGAGCAACAGCCATCGAGGCAGCATTGCGGGGATGATGCGCGTGAGCGACTTGAACAAGGGCCAGTGAGGCAGCATTGTGTGGGTGAAGCTGGTGACAATTGGCCCGCCAGCAGTCTGATGTGGACTTGGATGAGAAGAAGAAGAGTCCCTGACCGATACTAGAGGCATCTGTATATAAATGTGTGATAGTGCGGAGGCAGGGGTCAAGTAGGAGTACGCCGTTGAATAGAGACAAGGAGTCCCTCCACCATTCCAAATCGTCACGTACCTCGTAAGGGATACGGCGGCGCGCGCTACTCCCATGTGGGAAAGCGGCTTGGAAGGTGTATAGGGACTGTAGCCTTGTTCTTCCTAGCCGAACAACTCTTGAACAGAAGGCTAGTAAGCCTGTGAGGCGCTCTATTTGCTTGAGGGAGAGACTCGCCGCGTTCAGGGCAGCTGCGGCATCCAATGTGGCGCGGCACAACTTTTCTGGTGGCAGACGAGCTTCCATTGCGATAGCGTCTATCTGGATACCTAGGACTGTGACACAGGTCCCTTGCTGGTCTTTCTTAGTATTGCGAGGGATACGTAGGTAGTCGGTGACCCTATTGTAAACCTTATCGAAGGCACTCATAGGATCGAACACCGAGGGAGACCGAGCTTTTCTACGCGTATGGAAGTGATCTACAACAACAAATTGAGTCCTTGGGCAAGGTTGAAGAAATCTTTGATGAGTATACAGGTTTTGAAGGGCAGAGGGAATGGATTGCGGCATGCGGCCATTTCACTGCTGGCGAGAACGCCATCGACCTTCTGCGGCGAGTCCAGAGATTCATCTCGGATGTTCTAGACGAGAGAACATCGCCGCCAGATATCGGCCGGGATCATCTCGGTCGCGAACAAGCAGCGTTTATTAGACATGAAGGGTTGGCGATGGCAGTGCCGATGGAGCAGCTAGCTGCGTCCATCCAACAACCTCAAAAAAGCAAAGAGATGATAGTGTAGGCTTGCTAGCCTTCGCACATTACATAGGATATGTGACTTGTAGAGGAGAAGAGGAGAGGCATTTAGTTTCTTTGAATGACCGCGTGGATGCAAGGGACTTTCCTGTGGAACCTTGGCCGGTTGCGTTAGGAAAGCGTGATTGTTTTGGACTGGGCTGTTTGAAAATTGACAACGAGAGGACTCTTCAGAAAATAATGGGAGTAAATGAATAATTTTAGGAGACACGTTCTTACGGACGACCCTGTAACATGAAGGGCCGTCATCTATCTACAAATATCCCTCCTTGAGCCAACCACTCCCACGAAGGATCAATCAAGTTCAGGTGTATCATCTTAACTGAAATTTCCCTTTCATTTAAATAAAACAGGTGGCCAACCTTCTTGGATTCATGAATGAATTACGTGCGCTTTTCTTGATAGAAAAACAGGTACATCGGCTGAGTATATGAGCACACACGGGTTTTAAAATGGTGTAAGAGCTAATTTATGGAAATCAATAAAGCTCCGATATGTCTGGAACGTCAGATTATTAAGACGAACTGGGCGAGGTAATATCGTTTGAATATCTGGCCTCAATGGAACGCCCTGCGCAATATAGTCCTCTTCTGGGTCAAAGAGCTCAGGATAGGTACCAAAAAAGGAAGGATCAAGTTTATACTCCGAGATTCCATGATCCATATGCAAGAGCACGAATAGAGCCTGGGCGCATTCAGGGTTTGAGAACAAGCTTCCAGCATCTGCTACCGGAAGCACAGAAGGTGGGTCTATCATCTTGTTCTTAACATCAGCAGCACCCATAGAGACGTCCAAAACGCGGATGTAGACTCTTTGTGCGGGTGCTCCCAATATTAAATCTGCCATGTCGGCTTCGACTGTATAACTGCTGACCAAATCACAGAATATCTGGTCGATCTGAGGGTTCGCCGAGTGCAAGCGAATCAGGCGGTCTCTAATAGATGGAAATGGTATCCAATCGATCACTTTTGGATGGTCATGCTGTAGCTGGAACATTGTCGGACGATATTGCTTTTCGACCCTCTCTAGCGTTTGCGGACATGGGTGTAATTGCCACGTGGTTAAGTCGACAATATGGTGAAATCTCGTTTTCGCATACCATGCCATGGCTTCTGGTCGGGTTAAGCTGTTAAAAAGCCCAAGCACTGCAACGACTTGCCGGTAGAGCCTGCCGCATGATTAGCGAAGTTGAATTCATAATCAGAGCTCTTGTGAATGCGATACAATTCAAGCCAATTCCACTGTAACTCGAGGGGTCCTGCGTTTGTTTTTAACAATTGGAGAAGAACCGATATATGATCTGAGAATGCAGAATTCGATTCAACCCAGGGTTTGCGGAGTATAAGACTCGAGGATTCAGAACCTGCTAAAGCCCTCGCATACGGCTGGAAGCCCATCTGGTACCCGTAGCTCCAGATGTTCGGGATCTGCTGGTGATTCAAAACACTCGGGTTTCCTGACATGGCCTCCCAGTCAAGCCCAGCGCTTGATGTTGCAGGCCCGGCAGCCACGCTGAATGTCTCGGGTGGATAAGTAACTGGCATGGCGGATCTCGGCTGAAAGATCCCATCTATCATTAAATCCGAGAACAAAGTTGATTCAACGGGACCGGGGTTGAAAATATCAGTCTCAGCTGTAGTTTCATTTTGTTCAACGGGTGGATCGACCTTCGTCTCCTCGAAAGGAGGTTGATCTGGCGAATTTTCATTCAGGACGTTAGTCACGGAGCCAGCCAAGGTCATTAAACTCTCAGTGACACTGGCCAGCTTCGATTGAAAGTCGCATAGCTGCTTCCGTAAAAGTTGATTTTCCTTCTGCGTCTTCTCGAGAATTTCGTTCGGCGACGTAGTGCCAGCCTCAGCGCGTTCTCGGAGTTCTCTCAGCCTCTCGGCATGTCTGCGGCGGTATGCGCGCTGTGACAGTCTATTTCGAGCTCGCCTATGGAAATGAGTCAGTGAACGAACATGGCCTGTGCCGAACCCCACTAACCTCCTTTCCAGGTCGTCCATACTGCGTTTATTCTTCCCCTGGTCCATCTGGAGCATATTGGAAAATTAACGGGTCTCCTTAGAAGCCTCGCACGAGTTTTGCGCCACAAGAGAAGGCGGTGAAGCCCGGGTGGTGGCAGTGGATATGATGGTTAGACTTGATTATGACGCCTGACGCCCAACGCCACTGGCAGATGCGGGAAAACTGAAGAGCAAGCTACAACACTTCATTGGTTTTAACGATGCTTTCATTACCTCGTGGTCAAATTCCTATTCACGATACATGTCCCGGTTTTTAATTTCAAGTCATTCCAACACAGCACCTCTGCCGAGTCTATTGAAATACATTTTGAGCGCTAGGCCTCGCCACAAGCCGCCCACCGCCCAAACCCACCCGCGAAAATGTTAGGATTCTCCCTCTCCCCTTTCGGGTTTAGCGCCCCGACGTAGTCAGTTGTATATAAGGAGTTAGTCGTCCAATAGGAACACGGTGTACTTCCCGACTCTCACAGCTGTTTACCATATAATGACTAATCAAGGGGGTGGTCGCTCTAAAGAGGGGGTATATCCTGCAGGTATCGATACCAGATATCGATTAAGTAAATGGCGATATTGCCTTACGGCCGCGTATCCTAATAACAGAAACAGCATATCGTCAAAGAGCACGCGACGAATCTTGACAGCGTACTGATTACACTGAAATTTGCTGCACTACTAGATTCAAGTTGATGGACGGCATCATTTCACATCATGTAAGTTTTTGAATTGTTGGTGAGGCAACGGAAATCTGCGCTATGACGCGATGGGTGGTTACCAATGGCGGCCACTTCACCGCTCGGCAGTTCACTGATCACGTGCCCATTAATCACCATCATTGTTGAGTATCACGGTGGTCAAAGCTTATGTGGCGAGACTTGCGATGTACATTTAAATAGACGGGTTTCCCACTTTTGATAGTAACCTCAATAAGAACATTACAACTACCTATCTCAACAGTTGAAAGCGGCGTTGATGAAAGCGCAACTTTACGTCATACCCCACCAACTAACTAAACAACAATAAAAATACTTTTGAATAAAGACATATTATTTTGTATGACGAGAAGATATTCGAGACTTGTTTTGAAATCAGAACTTTGTATTGTTGTTGAGAAATGGAATTGTAATTCGTCGCATTTACTATGGTGTTTTGGGGTGCGTCACGCGGCCAGGTGCGTCGAACTGGCGGGAACTACGTTGGCTATAGTAACCAATCAACCACCGAACCGCCCGCGCCCGCCCATTTCGCCTCAACTTCTACGTGAATCAACAATACATAAACAGGTTTTTGGTCTTACACCTTTAAAAAAATGCGTCTGCCAAAAAAACCCTCAAATATAATATATCATCTTATCGCAGGAAAAAATTCGACCAGGAAGACTAGCCGCTGGGGTGTTCTGTGTATCAAGAGAAGCCATCGCGATCGGCTCCACGTTGTCTCTGTGGAGAGGTGGCTTGGCGACCCACTAATTCCCTATCCCGACCTAGCCGAATCCTCACTTGGCTATAGTCACGGTACTAGTATATTCTACCTTCTCGGTCTCTTCCTCCTTCTCCCTCTCTCTCTCTCACTCACACACACACACTCTCTCTAATTACCTTCAATATCGAGATCGTTCCTCAACAGCTTATTTTTACTCACACAAATCTTACGCAGAAACGCGCGCCAATGGAAAGTATCGACCTCAGCCTAGATGGCCAATGCCGGGAGCTGTCGGTAGTAGTAGTAGGCGCCGAGCAGGGTTGTTGAAGACGCCAGATACATTTTCCCTCAACAGTAAGCGCCAATACTGAACCGGAAAGTTTACGAATGTTACACCCGGTAGAGAATGACTGAATTGATGTACCTATATAAATTGTCTATGCATCCCATGGCTAGCCATTTATTCTGCACATCTGACTCTCCCCTGAGAGTTATATCGCAACGGAAAAGTTGAGACTCTTTGGTAGTAAATAATGGTCACTGCGAGATATTGAAAAGCGCCTTCAAATCACACTGAGAGTCTCGTCTTCGGGCATTAATGACTTCATGCCTTGAACCAAGTCTGACTTGAGATCATCTAACTCTTCAATACCGCAGCTGATGCGAAGCAGCCGTTTATCACAGCCTTTGTGTGTCATGGCTCGCCACTCCATCAAGCTCTCCACGCCCCCAACGCTAGTTGCATGCTGAAAAATATACAACCTGCTAGGCAAACGTTTGGCAAGTTCTGAGCTCTTGGCTATTATAGAGAAAACAGGACCAAATCCACCAGGCATTTGCTTTTGGAGCCAACCACCATCCAAGGCCTCATCCTGCAGCGAAGCGTGCTTCACAGTATCTAGGACCTTGGAAATGACTGTTTGTGGGCTTTGCAGCTGTTCGTTCAGCCAGTGAACTAGCTTTCTGGCCGTATCTGCCTGTCTCAGCACCCTCAAGTGCATTGTGCGGATAGATCTCATTCCAAGCCATCCTTCAAAGCTACCCATAACATTGCCGAGCACTCTGCGCTCTGCGTGAAGGGTTTCGGCCCACCCTTCTTGGACACGATCCGGGTGCACAACCAAAATTCCGCATAGCATGTCCGAGTGACCACCCACATACTTGGTTCCGCTGTGCATCACTATGTCTGCACCGAATTGCAAAGGGTCTTGTAGCGGCGGTGGGGCAAATGTTGAATCCACAGTCAGAAACGCGCCTTTCTGACGGGCTTTGGCAGAGTAATAGGCAAGATTTCGTGCTTCGCCGGTGGGATTTGAAGGTGTTTCGACATGGATGACGTCCCCAGCGCCCAAGTGGTCCAGATCCGTCAGGTCAAATTTTTGAAGTCCCGTCAGTTTGCTCATCACGTCAATCACACCATGGCAGCCGTGATAGCCATCTCCAATAAAGATGCGCTTCGGATTCAGTAAGATCATCATTGAATGGAATGCTGAGAGGCCGGTAGAGAACGTGACTGTCTGGCTACCAAAGAGGCTACCGAGCAAAACTTCGAGCCGACTGGTGTTAGGGGCCGAATAACGGGAGTAAACATGTGAGTCGAATGGCGCATTCGGCTGCATATTTCTGTTAGTGATGTCCTGATGACCAAGTTCAGGCACTCACATCGTTGTTTTCCATTTCAACTAGATAATCAGGATCTCTGGCATATCGGTAATTTGTGGCAACATGCATTCCAGGCGCGATAGCACGATGAGGGCTGACGAAATCATCCGCATGAATAGCCTTCGTGGCCATTGCCATGTTCGGAAGAGCATTTTCCAAAGCCTCGGCGGTCAAAGTAAAGCCGGCTGGCTTCTCAGATATCTGATTGTTCGCCATGGCGTTTAATTATAATCTAAGTGCGAAAGGACCAGGGTCCAGGATGAGAATGATTCAGTGAATATGGCGTTGGGTGTGAACCCCTCATAAGTACGATTATCAACTTTACTAAAGGGTCGTCTTCTTCTCATAAAAAGCTTACATGTTTTTTTATTTTTTGTCAATTTTAGGTCACACCCGCCCCACGCTTCTAGTGACATCAAATTCTGTCAGTCGCAAAATATTTGCCCAAACTCCATGCGGCTGACTATTCGCGTGACTTTTTGGTTACGTGGTGTGCGGGGATAGCTGGCTCGGTTGTGAGATACGCCAGTTAATTGAATGCCCCACATCTGTCGCCACCACGGATTTACTTCCTGTCCATCGTGAGATTTTTGTTATGTAATTTCTCCCAACATAATCATTTGGTAGGCAGTAGTGTACCCTTTTTTGTCAAATCCATTGGTGCTCCTCATCAGCGTGCTGCTCATATTCGAGGCATTGCGTCTACTGATACGCTTAAATTATCAGGACAGAGCCAGCTCTTACCCTAAAAGTACTCATATCACTTGCTGACATTTTGTTTCCTGCTTGGGTCTGTTGAATATGTAAGTACTTCTAGAATTGGAATTTGACTGAGTTTTGAATGTAGGCGTGAATCTCTTCCTGACAGCTTACTAGATCACAATGAAGACGATTGGAATTGTCGGGGGAATTTCCTGGCCAAGTTCATCTGTCTATTACAAAAAGATCAACGAGTACTTCCAAACACGCACTCAAGTTGACGGTCTACATACGCCTAAGCTTATATTAATTCAAACGGATCTGGCACTCATTGTCAAAGCAGAAGAAGAAGACAATTGGGACGAGGTTGGCAGACTACTTTCTGCAGAAGCAACCAAGCTCAAAAGGGCCGGTGCGGACTTCTTCCTCTTGGCATGTAACACTGTTCATGCAGCCGATGGCTATATTGTCAAGAATGTGGACCTCCCTATGCTTCATATTGTGGATGCAGCAGCAGGACAGATATTGAAGCATGGTTTCACCACTGTTGGCCTCTTAGGTAGTCGATACACCATGACCGGAACGTATTTTGTTGGACGCCTGAAGGAGAAGTACGGTCTGAACGTGTTGGTTGCCGAGGGGCAACATGAAGAAAACGTTCACACTGCACTCTTTCAAGAGCTTGCGAGAAATATATTTCTCCCGGAAACGCGCGAAAAGTTCAAAGCCGCGATTGCAGATTTGGTTTCACGTGGGGCGCAAGCCATCATCCTCGGATGCACTGAGTTCGGATTGTTAGTGACTCAAGAAGATAGTGCTGTTCCTATTATCGACACTAGCATAGCACATGCGGAAGCGGCGGTTGATTTGGCACTGAGTCCTGACTTCGGAGGTCTTTAGCTGAGCTCGGGTATTCATGGACGGCGAATTTGACGAAATAGAGGAACTGGAACTGCCAAATTGCCACCCACAAGCTAATAGGATAGTACCGTGACTTTTTCAACCATTTTTGCTCCTTCCTGTTTTAAGGAATTCTCTATTTGTTTAAATTCGTGCCCTAGCCAGCCACAATTCTATAATTTCTGGCATTTCTCTGGGAGACACTAGGAACTACTGTTAATAGACAGTAACTTTCAGAAAAAGAATTCGACATTCAATAGATAATCCGCGTGATTTATCCTATTATGAGGTTTGCATATTAACCTATATGTCCGACTCCAGTTGGAGTGTACTCCGAACACAATTGCAAATATACAGAAGATGTGGAATCATCAAAGGATAAAGATGTTCATCAACCAATCCGACCTGCTTACCTATTTCCCCATGGTCAATCTTGAGAGTAGAGCTTAATATTCAATAATTTTGAGGGCTATCTAAATTTTGGAAACGGCGGGCTTATGGCCAAAGAGCTCGCGGACATGATCTTCTATCTGCAAGAGAAGAGGGCCCGGAGTTTTAGATACTAGCCTCTTTTGTATAGCCAAAAGTCGATCTGCCACCTCGTGCCAGTGAATATCCTGGTTTGTTTCCACGAAGCCGCTCTTGTCACTCCACTCAGTACCCTTGACTGAACATAACTTGCCATTTTCTTTTCTCACCTCCCCATCCACAAGCACAGTGTTGACATCGCGTATTGTGGAATGTAGGACAATAGCCATGACAGGATCCCGCTGAGCAACACCAATCATAGCAGGACTGAGAGCATCAAATATCACCAGATCCGCCTTTTTGCCCACTTCAAGGCTACCAATGTCATGCTCCATGCGCAGAGCACGGGCACCCTGGATAGTGCCCAAGTTGAAGGCATGAGAAGTTTTCTGCGTTACCTCTCTCGGCCATATGCCACTTTGAATGTGGGATTCACTTTCAATTCCTCTTGCGGTCTGCAATGCCATCCGCATCTCATTTACCATGCTGCCGCTTGTTGCCGAGTGGCAGTCGACACCTAAAGAGCATACTCTATCGATACCGGTTAGGTCTTTCCGGAAGCAGACTGGCGGTCCGACTGCCATGGCAAGCTCGGTGTTCGGCGTAGCAGAGACAAAGCAGCTTGCATCGCTTAACAGTTTGACATCTTCGGACGTAGCTCCACCACCATGGGAAAGCACGATGCCTTTCTGTAACAAACCATAAGACTTCAACAAAGCAGGTAGACTCTCACTATCTTTGACAAAGTTTTGGATGAAGTGCGATGTAATTATCCTGGTACCCAGGGACTTGACTTTGTGGAAGATTCCCAAGACAACTTCTTTGGGAAGGTGGTAGAAGTCAAACCCGAATCCCAATTGGACACGAGAACCAGAGTCATTAAGTGGTTTCGATGTGGCGAGTCGTTCAAAAGTCTCCATAATCCAACTGGGCAAAGGCTCGGGCGAAAATTCAATTTTCGGCTTTGTGCTCGCAACAATGGAAACCGGAGTATAGCCAAAAATCGAGCGGATACCCGAGGATATTGTCCCGGCGATTGCCGAACAGCCTTGAATTCGGAATTAGTATCTGAATATCTCATTAAGGGCAGGTAGGCTTACTGTGATCCTTGGACCAGTTCATATGAGCATGATCCAGGGTAGTGGTTGTTCCGGCATCGATAGATTCCAAACTGCCAGCTAGATTCGCCCAAAACATATCTTCTGCTTTGAGTTCCATCCCGGCGGCAATTACTTCATATTGTCAGTGAATGATCGCTTCGATTTTCATTAAGAGGCACGAACCGATTGCTAGGTACGGAAACAGAGCCGTGTCTCCGAAGAATCCTTTGAGGGGCGACTGCCAAACATGGCGATGTGTATCCACAAAGCCAGGGGAAATGATTTTATCGGTACAGTCTATGATATGACATTCAGTAGGCGCAGGAATGGCGGCATCTATCTTAGAAATTCTGTCCCCCTCAATAAGGATGTCGGCCAATTGTGGGGAAACATGGTCCTTCTCGCCATGGATAAGAACGGTTCCTCCTCTGAGGAGCTTTGAAGTTTTGCTGCGAACAGCGGTGCCTCCTCTTAGAAGCGAGGACATAATCGGACGATGGCTTTGTTGGTTGTTGAAGGAGCGAACCGAGTGACAAGACTGCCAGCGGAGGTAGAAATGGATGGACAGTTAGATAAATGGCAGGTCTTATATACCAAAGTCTGGAGAGGGTAGTTGACAAGGGACGCAAAAAGTGAACAAGTCATGACGTCTTCGGAACCGGACATATCGTCGGTGTTAAGAAAATGAGGCCGCATTTTTCACCATCTTTTTCTAGGGCCACAAAAAAACTCCTCTCACATCGACACTAACATACTGTCTATCACAATACAAAAGACCTCGAGGCTTGTACCGTGGCAACTTAGTCAGTCCACTCGCATAACAACCGGGTCACATAACCGTGAACTAACGTAATCTAAAACTCACGTAAGGGCCCACATCCATTCCCATACCACGGGAAAGCCTAATCAGAAAATAATGCCAAGACTTGAGTAGACTGCTGGTTGACATCTAGTACATACACTGTAATTGAGTCATGAGCGACCGGCAGTAGATTTGGTCCAGCCGGTACTATCAGTATTTTCCATTCACTACCAGTAGCTGCAATCTATTCCGCACAAACTTCATCTTCAATTTTTCTAATTTCACATCTTATAGTCATTGTAAGTTGGGAGTGGGAGGGGAGTGGTGGAACCGGATAACATGTTCCGTGCGAGAAAACGGACGGTAGCATCAGTTACGGGTTTAGTGACTCATTCTAACTCCGTCGAAACTCCGGCTCCCTTCGAAGTATAAGTAACCGTGAAAAGGTGGTCGCAGATCGGCCCAATTAATTCACAAAGTTTCGCGCAAAATGGTGAAAATTGAGTTTTTTGAAGTTGATCATGTATTCATTCTCAAGACCCCACGCTTCAATGTTACTTTAGATTACTGACGTCCTTCTAGTGGATCCTATCTCAATCCTCGGATATCAAGCACAACCTTGCACATTCGTATTGTCTTCCGAAATCCATTAGCGATGTGCAACGACAAGCCGGGAGTTCCGAAACTGGAACAGATGTCCTTTCTCCCGTACTATCGAAAGCGCTCGACTATGGTCCCATGAAAGGATCCGAAGCTCTCCGATCGAATATCTCCCATCTTTATTCATCCGAATCTTCCAGCCCTTTATCGATAGAGAAGATAGTCACTACCCCTGGAGCATCGCTAGCGAACTTCATTGTTCTATATGCCTTGCTTGGGCCTGGCGATCATGTCATTGTCCAGTACCCCACATATCAACAACTCTATGCTGTTCCAGCATCGATCGGAACAGACGTCAGCTTGTGGAAAACGTCTCAAAGTGAGGATTGGAAGTTAGATCTTGACGAACTGGAAAAGCTCATCAGACCGAACACCAAAATGATCATAATCAAGTAAGTTCAACACTGCATTCTTGATAATCCCGCACAGTTTCAGACCATTTTAACGCCTCACTCTAGCAATCCACAAAATCCGACCGGTGCGATAATTTTCAAACAGACGCTCGAACGTATTGTGCAAACTGCTCGGAAACATTCTATCACGGTCTTCAGTGACGAAGTCTATCGTCCCTTGTTCCACTCAGTATCACCAACCGACTCAGAATATCCACCATCAATCCTATCTATGGGCTATGACAATACCATCGCTACCAGCTCCTTGTCAAAAGCATATTCATTGGCAGGGTTGAGAGTCAGGATGGATTGCATCTCACAACCCGAAGGTCATAGACCTCTGTGTCAACGTACGGTCTTATGCCTTGATCACTGCCAGCCAGATCGACGAATACCTGGCCTCCTTCGTCCTCGGCCCTCCAGTCCGGCAACTGATCGAAGGAAACCGCATACTGACCAAAGAAAATCTCAACATCGTGCAGTCATTTATTGACAAGAATACTTCGTTCTGCGAATGGACGAGGCCCGAAGGCGGACCCATCGGCTTCATCAGATTTGTGAGATCTGGTCGGCCTGTTGACGACGTGGTGCTCTGCACTCAGCTGCTAGAGAAAAGAGGCATTCTCCTTGTTCCAGGCCGGAAATGCTTCGGGGACGGGATTAATTTCTCGGGCTATATCCGTCTTGGATTTGGTGGAGATACCGACGAGCTAATTGCGGGACTGGAGGCCCTCCAAAGCTTCCTTGACAATGACTACATGGATGTGCCCTTGTCCCCATGCGCTTAGAATTTAAACACTATGTGATTCAAGGCTTAGTTATTTGTGATCGAGAAATACACTTAGGTTTACCATCGATTTTTCATCTTGCACAGCCAGAGAATAACGTAATTCCCGCATGAGCGGGACACCCTACCTAAATCACCATATTAAAGGCGATATTTTGTAGTCCTGTATCTCAACCACCACAACTTAGTTCTATTGAAGATTGAACAAATTGACTATTAGCTGCACTGATAGTTATATTCTGGATTTTCGAATAGCTACGATGCTTATTTAATACCATTACAGTAAATTACATTGTATTTTTGGCTCAATTGATTAAATAACAGATACTCGAATCGTTCCTCGTAAAGAACACTCAAAAAATCTTATACGCCTTCTTTATTACTATATGAGTATTGACTTACTACAAAACCATAATACAAATTCTGGTTGCTAAGATATGATGTTGTAAATTATTGCCTTTAATATGGTGTTTTGGGGTGTCCCGCTCAACCGGGGTGTCCCGCTCATGCGGGAATTACGGTAGTGGAGATCATGTGACTAAATACCTAGTCACGTGATTAGACAGGCATGTCCTCAAAACGTATTTCGATGGACTTGGCAGAGATGTTGCTGTAGAATAGGTTGAAATTAACAGTGGGGCTTTATATCATGAGTAGTAAACTGTCCATAAGTAAGGAATGAATCGTTCATTCCAATGAAGTATTGTAGTTTGCTCTTCAATTTTCCCGCATCGGCCAGTGGCTATCCAAGGTTGGCATCATACCTAGGGTTCCGAAAGGAATAAAGGAATACGAATATACGACATATTCATATTCGCACTCCGCGAATATGAATATATGAATTTTTTATTCGCGCGAATAAACGCCGTATTCATATTCGCATTCATATTGTTGAGATAGGTATGTTAAATTGGTTAAGTTGACTATCTTGTTGGAGGTGGGGCTCCTCATCTATTTATCTGTCTCTTGATGATCCCCACTACATACTTTGACCACCCGTGATACTCAACACTCCCACTCGATGGCAACCACTATCAAGAATGCCAGTGATCATCCAACACGGTGGTGCAAGGTCCCGTTAAAACCTTCAAAAAACCTTTAAAGGAAAAGAAGGAAAGGGTACCCCTGCGATTAGTCTCTGCTCGAAACCCGTGGGCCGAGAGAGGCGTCACTCAATGCCAAGCCCTCTCCGAAACCACTCAAATCGTCCTCGTGCAAGAGGCTTGGTGAGTCCATCTGCAATTTGTTCTGTAGTTTGGATGTATTGCAGCTCCACTGTTCCAAGGTCTTGAACTTCTCCTTGCCACTTGCGTTGGATTTCCATATGCTTCGTGCGGGAATGGTATTGTGGGTTCGACGAAAGGGCGATGGCTCCTTGGTTGTCACCGCAAATGATTGTTGCGGTTTTTCCTTGGCTCATGTTTAACTCATTTAGCAGTCTTCTTAGCCAGATTGCTTCTTTGCTTGCTTGTGTCTGGCCCAGGAACTCAGCTTCACAGGTCGAGAGGGCAACGACGCTTTGGCGTTTCGACTGCCAACTGATTGCACCACTCCCGATATTGAAGAGATATCCAGCTGTTGATCGTCTGGTGTCACGACATCCACCCCAGTCTGCGTCTGTAAAGCCTTTCAGCATCTGGGGCTGACCTTTGTACGTGAGCCTGAGGCCTCTTGTTCCTTTGAGGTACCGCAGGACGCGTCGGGCGAGCTTCATGTGCTGCGGCCCAGGATTTGCCAGGAATCTACTCGCCACAGACACCGCATACGCAATGTCTCCTCTGGTTCCAAGCATAATGTACATCAAAGACCCGACAATGCGTTGGTAGGAGATTCTTTGATCTGGAGGGCATCGGTGGTCTGGACTACACTCTGGGAGTGGTGAAGTCTCTATTGGTGTGCTGACGGGGGCGCCATCGCTGACTCCAAACTGATGAGCGACCTTGTCAATATATGCTTCTTGACTGAGGTACAGTATCCTGTTCTGACGGTCTCGCTGGATAGACATCCCAAGGTAGTAGCTGCACGGCCCCAGGTCTGTCATTTGAAAGCGATTTCTCAGGCTCCGCTTGATTCTCTTTATCTCTGCAATGCTTGGTCCCACAATGAGGAGGTCATCGACGTACACCGCGATGTACATATTGCTCCGCACGAAGATTCCAAGATCTGCGGTGATTGGCTCGAAGCCGAGATTGCGTAGGAAGTTTGTAAGGGTCTGGTACCAGATACGAGGGGCTTGCTTCAAGCCATAGAGAGCCTTGCGAAGTTTACAGACCTTTGACGTGCCATCAGCCATATGGTGAGGCTGCTCGACATAGATCTCGTGGTCTATATTTCCATACAGAAATGCCGTTTTGACATCCATTTGCTCGATCTCCAGGTCTAGGGCCGCTCCGATTGCGAAAAGGGCCTTGTAGCTCATTGGCTTGACAACTGAGGCGAAGGTTTCATCATAGTCAATTCCTTCTTCTTGTGTGAAGCCTCTTACTACCCATCTGCTTTTGTGACGGATTACTTCGCCATGTGGTCCTCGCTTGACTTTGAAGACCCATTTTCCGCTGAGGATTCTGCGATCCTGGGGAGGATCAACAAGCTCCCACGTTTTGTTTTGGTTGAGTGAGTTTACTTCTTCAAGCATTGCGCTTTCCCATTCAAGCCAGCTGGCGTCGTTCTTCGCTTGCTGCAGAGTCTTTGGCTCAAAGGGTTCCGTTTCCTCGGAGGCCAATGTTAAGAACGTTGGGATGATGTTCCCATTAGATATGTTCATTAACGCAAGCTCTTCTTCGCTATCATTAGAGGTTTCTTGTGTGCCCTGAGCGTCACGAATCCTGAGTTCAGGGTGATGTGCTAGTGTTTCCTGTCGCACTGCATGAATTGGACGGTCAAGTTGGGGTTCTGGATGTCGTTGCCATCCCCCGGAAACTTGTCCCTGTTGAGGGTCGTCTTGTTGCTGGTCGCCGTCAGTTGGTGAGTCACTTGTTTGGGCATTCTCTTGTAAAGTATCTGAGAATGGTCCGAATACATCGTCACGCTGCGTGGGCGACAAGGTCCTGTCTCCCTGTTCAGCAACAGGTGGCTGCGAGTTCTCGTCACTCGTTTCAGACGACGCAGATATTAGCGAGTTCTCGTCACTCGACTGAGTTAGCGCTCGCGAGTTATCGTTACTCGATCGAGGCAGTGTATGCGAGATATCGTTTCTCGACTTAGGTAGCGCTCGCTCTGGTGGTGCCATCGACAATTGGCGCCCAGAGGCGGGTACGGATGATTGCCGTATGCCTACCGACGGTTGATTTATTAGTCCCACCGTCTCACTCCCCCTGCGGCAGCAGCCGTTGCCTCAGGTAAGCCGTCTCGTCTGGCTCCCACATCTTCTATAGTCCGTGTGGAGGGAGCTGTAAGGACTTCGTGAAATTCAGCATTTGGGGTCCCAACGATTCTTCCGTCTTCCAGTAGGATACGGTAGTTGGTATTTCCCTCATAGCCTAGCAGAATGCACGGTCTTGTTCGTGGTTCCGTGAGCTTCTTCCTCTGTTTTGGCGGGATCAGATATTCCCTTTTGGACCCAATCACTCTGAGTCGGGATAGATCAGGCTTGTCGCCGTACCATGCTTGGTACGGAGTCATATTGAGTTTTGATGACGGCGACCGATTAGAGAGGAAGGCTGCGGTTCGAGCAACCTCTGGCCAGAATTTAGGAGGTAGCCTTGCATGTGCTAGCGTAGGCCCAACCCTATCATAAATTGTCTTATGGGCTCTTTCGGCAACCCCATTCTGCTGGTGTTGGTCAACTCCTGTAACCTCAGCTTGAATTGCCCGTGAGAAGAGCATGAATGTCATTTCTTCTCCCACTTGCTCGGGTATCCGGTCAAGGCGTATCCTTCTACATTTTCGCTCAGGACGTTCGTTATGGTCGAGAAAGAAACGTAGTGATTCTATAACGAATTCTTGTCGTCGGGGTATCGGAATAATCTCTATCCATCCCGTGAAATCGTCAACGATGGTGAGCCAGTAACGACTCCCATCGAGGCCCTCTTCAAATGGCCCTGCAACGTCAATGTGGAGGAGTTCCATTGCGTACTCTACTCTTCTGCCCTTTCGCGACCGGCTGTGGGGCTTTTCAATCATTCGTCCCTGGAGGCATGGGTTACATGGTTGGCGTGGCTCCATATCCCGAATACCGTAGGCCTGTCTTTTAAGTCGTTGCAGATTTGCATCACTCATATGAGCCAGCCGACTATGCCACAGAATCATTTGGGGGCTAACATGGTAAGACGCAAAGCTGATATTCGTCCACAAATTAAGTGCGTAGACTCCATGGTATTGGCTTGCGGTGTAAAGGTTCTTTCCGGTTGACTTATTGCGAATAATGGCACCTTGGCTTGAAAATTCGACCTTTGCTCCCCGTTGGAGAAGTTGGAGTACAGAGACAAGGTTTGCGTGTGCAGTTGGGACATAGAGGACGTTGTCGAGCACCAACCACTTCCTCCTGCCTCGTACATTGCACAGGACATTTACTGTCCCAACTCCGGAGGGAATCGTCGACGTATCAATGCTTCGCAGTGGTGGCCCACGGTACTTGCTCATCTCTACAAATCTTGAGGCGTTATTACAGACGTGCTGGGCACATCCACTGTCAACTATCCAGGCGTCACGGATCGAGGGGGCTTTAATAGCCATCAGAGCGGGGACGTAGTCGAAAAGAGCAAAGTTGCCTTCAACATCCTTTCCAAATGTATCATTGACATCTTGTCCAGAGACCTTGGTCGACATGAAGGTGGGCTTCTTTGGGTCTTTCGGCCTGCCTGCGCCATCGTCTTCATCGTCAGTAGAGAGTTGCCTTTTCGGCGGTCTGCGTGCGCCCGTATGTGGAGTCCCTTGCTTTGATTTGTGTCTCTTTCCGTCTGTTCTCTGATCCTTCATTCCGGGATTCTTACTGAAGCATTCGGAGTCCACATGGTAAGGTTTTCGGCAGAACGAGCAATACGGAACATTATCAATCTCGATTCGACACCTGGTCCCGTCTGATGATGGTATCAGCCTCTTGTCACCTGGTCCTCGGATCAAGGTCAGGGCAGGAAGCGCTTGGGTCTCTGTTGGTTGTTTGCTCAATTGACCCTTCCTATGCTCTTCCTCGATTGCCTTATTCTCGATGTAGTCGAACGTGGGTGCCGCTTTCGTGATGTTTCCGTCTGGATCCCTCTCATTCACAAGATCCATTTGCCGGAAAATATGATCGCGGAAGCTCTCATATTCAAGACCTAATGCATGCACGAAAAAGAATGTTCGCTCAATCTCGGAAGTCACGCAGTCAGGGTCAAGCAAAAGTTTCTCAGCGTGAATCTTCCTTATCTCGGCTCCGAGGGCCTGGGCACTTCCACATTTTCTCTTGTAAGTGACATATACCGTCTCTGGAGATTCACGTATGTCCCAGTGCCTTCTGGTTTGAAGTTGTCCTTTACTGCTTTGAGGAGTGACTGAACTTGAGAGATCTCAAAGGCGTTGATTCTCTGTGCCGCATTGTGTGTCAGCTTCGCTGTAATCATCGCAGAGTAGAACTTTTGGCGACGAGTCCATTGCTGTGCCTCTTCGTCTTCTATCGGTGGCGTTGCTCCATCGTCGGCAACGGCAGATATCCGAATGAACTCATTGACCTTCTGGTTCCACTTAAACCAGTCGCTGGCATTATCCAGTGTCGGGATGCCATTGTAGAATGTATTCAATCCAAACTGCTCAAACTTCGCAAGGTCAGTCATGTTGTAGACGGTTGCTCCTCCGAGCTGAAGAATTCTGGGCTGGATGTGTCGTCGTGTAGAGTGGAAGCAACCGAATCACGATCAGATGAGTGGAGAGAACGCGCTTCTAAGCCAAATAGTTCAAGGCTTGATGCGACACTGGGAAGGCTCGAGACGATGGAGAGGCTACGATCTGATGAATTTGGCGTAGGCGTTCGAGATAGTGGAGTATAGTCTCTGTCTGGAAACCCGCACAGGTTTAGAGAGCGACTATACGATTTGGAGAAGTGAGGGAAACGACGCCAGTCAACTAGATATCGCGGCTCCTTTTGCGGGAAGGTTGATGGTCTGTTGGGCCGAAGCTTGTAGCGATTCGTATTATGGTTATTGGATAGTAATGGTTCGTCTCCAATCACAGGATCTGGCGAGGTCGAAATCGAGGCCCCAACGCCGTTTTCTGACTGAGAGAAAAAGCCAGAAGTAGGAGTATTATCGTGACTTGGTCCTTTCTCAAGGCTGGGACGTGTGGATTGAGCTTTGGGGGTACTCCGAGAGTCTTGTATAGTGCTATGAGGAGTCGTAATTGGGACAGTGACCCTTGATGCTCGGCGTATGCGGTCTTCAGTGGATAAGCGCCAGTAGGCTCCCAAGAGTGCATTCGGTGAAAGTGTTGGAAAATATGACTTCTGGATTTGTTTGAAGCGCCAGCGACGAATGCATCGAAAATAGGAAAGAAGATTTAGCTCTTCATCTGTCCAAGAGTGTCTATTTTGTTGTTTTGCATTCCGCTTCGGAAGTTGAGCTGGCCTTCCCTGAGATCGAGATGGTGGCCCTGAGAAGGCAATTTCTGCGTTCGCTGTCGAAGGGGACATTTTTCAGCTATGGATTCAGTTTTGCGTTATCCTGTGCCAATGTGATATCTACAATGGCGATAAGGCAGCAGTGTGATAGTGTGACAGTGATAGTGATAGTGGGCTAGTGTCAGTGTGACAGTGACAGCGTGATAGTGTGACAATGTGACAGTCGCGGTGATAAAGTCCATCCGCTTCATTCCACCCAGTCGGTTTGTACACTGGAGCTCGACATTTTCACCAAGTTACTGATGCAATGTGGTCAGGTCCTTGAATTGATAAAGTTATCACTTGGTAGGGAGGCTTAGCTGTAAATAGCAGGCAAGGAACTGTCTGTTTAAATTTCTGCGTGCGCTCTAAGGTTAAGCCACCCGGGCTCATAACCTGTTGAGATAGGTATGTTAAATTGGTTAAGTTGACTATCTTGTTGGAGGTGGGGCTCCTCATCTATTTATCTGTCTCTTGATGATCCCCACTACATACTTTGACCACCCGTGATACTCAACACATATTATTCATATCGTGAAATTTCTCCGCATTAATACTATGTCCGGTACAGCGGTTATCGTATTACCGAAATGCGCTTAGATGTCGATTTCACAATGCCATCACTTCATCAGCAACGCTGGACTGTGAATCTCCGTTGCGAATATATGTTGGAAGGTACAACCCGCTCATATAGGATTTGACCGGTATGATGTGCCGTAGTTGATCTTTTTGAGATATGATACTCATTCATAAGTGCCTATTCATAGATACTTGACACGACCACAAAGATCCGTGAAGATTATATATATCTAACAGTGCAATTGCGAACCAACTTGGGCAATGAATTGAATAGATCTGCTTACTCTCCTGATTCAAGTTCGATCCATTTCAAACTCCGTCCATATAGCAGTCCTGAGAAATGGCACGTGAAAACGCGTTTGCCTCACGATCCAGAGCCTCAGATGACCCTGGCTGCATTTTGTTTACGTTCAAAATCATCGATATCGCGTTGCAGAAAACACAAAAGAGACCTATCAACTTTCCACGTCAAGAAGGGCATATAAAGCGCGAACATGAATGGGCATGTCAACAATCATCCTACCCTCAAGCCCCCCTATCAGTTTCTAAACCTAGCCCAGATAGATCAAGGTATGTTATGCATTACCGTCGATACCACTTTGATATACTGATAACAGGAAATAGTAGCATGACATCTACACCCAATCCATCCATGCGGAGAACTTGCGGTCTTCCACGTCGGGACTATAATGCTCTACACAATGGCCTGGTTTCTTCGCCTTCACAGCAATCTGAGGAATCTACCTGTGAAACAGGACGCCCTTACTCTCCCGAGCCCTCTCTATCTAGGGACCTAGAAGACACGCCTCAGTCGAAGCGGACTTACTCTTTCCTTAGCTCCTCGCCCTCCCCACTTGATCCTGCCTTTTCAGAGAGCAGCAGCAATACGAGTAGTCCGCACCCGTATAAAAGACGAAAGCCGAAGTCATATTCTAGTTGGACTTTCGAGCACTTTTGGACCACAGATCTGGATAACACTTGGTGTCGGCAGGGTGGCCCACCAAAAAAGGACTGACTGCTGATTTGTAAACATTGCAGCTGATCCTCCAGAGATTCAGCGCGCTATGGTTCCACTTCGAATTTGTTGGTGCATCTCCAGACCAAGCATCGTATCAAGTCTGGAGCCGACTCCATCTTCCTACCCGCGGTCGAAGGAAGCCTCGACCGGTTCTTGGAGTCCCCGAGAAAGAAGGCTGGCGTTGAAGAGATGCTAGTCCGATGGGTCATTCAAACAAGACAGCCTTTTACAGTGGTAGAGCATCCAGCTTTCAGGGCACTCATTGAAGCAACGGGGGCCACTTTGCCCATCAAGACTGCTGATACTCTCTTCAACCGAATTAAGGAGGAATTCTATTCAAGTAGGACTTCCGTGAAAGAGGAGCTTGCGAGGAGCAGCCGGACACTCGCTTTGTCCCTTGACGTTTGGACGTCGGAAAATCAGATTGCGATCATGGGTATCATTGGTCATTGGATCTCTCCCGAGTTTGAAAAGCGAGATGAACTTCTCGAGTTCACCGAAATCAATGGACCACATTCTGGAGAGAATCTAGCAGAAGTTGTGTTGAAGATGCTTGACGAACTAGACATCGCTCCAAAGCTCCTGACCATCACAGGGGACAATGCGGGCAATAACGGGACGCTCTGCGATAGCCTGCACGATCAGCTCCTCAAGAAGTATGATAATGACGATGACCGCTTTCGCATTAGACCTCTAATGCGGTTTCGTGGACGACAGAGCTTCATTCCTTGCCTTGCCCATATCCTCAATCTGATTTGTAGAGATGTGTTAGCTTCTTTAAGGGCTGGCTCGGCTCGAGAAGCAAAAGCGATACTGGACGACATGGCCATTCATTCTAGTGCATCATTTAACTCCCTGCACAGCACAAAAGGAGCAATTATGAAAGTCCGGCTCCTGACGCTATGGATTGCCCGTAGCCCACAGCGCCGCCTAGATTGGAAAGAAGTGTCACCCGGCAAACAAGTCAGTTATGATGTTGACACCCGATGGAACTCGACGTATATCATGATTCAGGACGCCCTTCGGCTGCAAACTCAGCTCGGACAGTTTGTTAGGATACACCCAGAAGTTCAGGCCCTTCAGCTTACTGGTGACGAATGGTCGACACTACAGCAAGTGGCCAAGATTCTCAAGCCGTTCTGGGATCACACAAACTCCGTTTCAAAGTCTTGCCCAACAATTGTGGAAAGCCTACCGATTTACTGGAGCCTGGACGACTTGTTAAATGACGTTCGAAATGCAGAGGGGGGTTTTGAAGAAGTGAACATTGAAATTCGCGATGCGGTGGAAGGAGGGATTCGAAAGATGAACAAATTTGCTAAGAAAATGGACGACAACCTTCTTTACTATGTGGCTTCTGTGTTGGATCCGCGCATCAAGTCGTCTTTGATTGTGTCTCAGATGAGCGAACAGGATTCGGGGCTTATCGTTTCTCAAGTGCGGGATTTCTTAAAAAAAGAGTATCCCCCGGAGCCACTCGTTTCGCGTGAAGTTGACCATCCACGCCCGCCGGGATGTCGGAAACAATGTGGAGAACTCTATGCAAAGTCCAGCCTTCCAAAGAGGCTCCTTTGTCGGATATTGATAAGTATTTGGATTCGCCGCCGGTCAACTGGTCCCACCATATGATCAGTGATGTGGACGCAGAATGGGTCCTGAAGTGGTGGAAGGCTAACGCATTTAATTTCCCACTTATGGCCAAAGCCGCTCGCGATTATTTGTCTATCCCTTCTGCAGAGGTTGGAATTGAACGCGAGTTCAGCAACTCTAGAGATGTCTTGGGCGTCCGAAGACACTGTCTGAACGCGGAGACTATGCGATGGTTGATGCTGTTGAGAGGGCAGTTTCAGACATCATTTTTGGGTGGTGCATGCATGTGAATTCATTGATGAAGAGCTAAAGTCTCGGATGTAACTTGTACGGACTAGAGTGTATGAGCTTGGTAGATGTATTGGGATGTAATGAAATGAATGATTATGTATGGTATTTTATTATATGAATAAATATGAATTATTCATTTATTCATGAATATTGCGAATATGAATTGTTGAGATAGGTAGTTGTAATGTTCTTGTTGAGGTTACTATCAAAAGTGGGAAACCCATCTATTTAAATGTCCATCTCTAGTCCCGCCATAAGCTTTAACCAACGCGATACTCAACAGTTGGAGGGAAGCGTTGGAGGGAAGCGTTGGAGGGAAGCGTTGTGTTGAGTATCGCGGTGGTCAAAGCTTATGGCGGGACTAGAGATGGACATTTAAATAGATGGGTTTCCCACTTTTGATAGTAACCTCAACAAGAATATTACAACTACCTATCTCAACACGTTGGAGGGAAGCGTTGGAGGGAATTGGGGGCCGCGTTGAAAAACAATTCCATCGATAAAAGCCACTAGGGATCATCCGGTGAAAAACTAAGATCAGGAATTCGTCGTTCTTCTGACATTTTCTCGGGCATTTCATTATTTAGCAAAATGAAATTTACGGGATTGTGGGGAGGGGGAATGTTGAAGGGTCGTTGAAAAGTTTTAGATGACTGAGACCGTTGAGGGGATATCAAGCGTTTTCTAACAATCGCTCATAGAAAGTGGTGCAGGATTGAACTCTGCAGCTAATTGGAGTGGACTCATGAAGCACTTGGCAAGAATTTCATTTTACAGAGCGTTGAAAGAACCAAAAAAAATAGTGTGCCGAAATCATCTATCCTACAGAATCTTGAAGTGACTGATGAATCCATGATGATTCATGGCCCGGGAACTTGGTGAGTTTCTTTCGAAAAACATTGAGCGTTTACTGTACGTTGGGGGAGACATTGGAGGGGTCCGTTGGATTTCAAATTCAGGGATCAGTTGTACCCAGAGATACCCGTCTAACGACCTTGGAGTGCTATGTTAACGGTCAGCTATTTAAGCCGATCGTCGAGGGCGAGAGGTGGGTCCTCGTAGCTTCCTACCCCGCATCGGATCGTGATCAATTATGGAAGAGATGGTCGAGTCCTGCATTGACAAAGACAATTGTGATTATAACAGCATGTACAAAACCTGGCTCGACAGCTGGCAAGTTGATCCTCTTGTAAATACCTAGTGTCGCCATAAAATCAAATTCTTCTTTCCAACACTCGTTAATGTTGCTAACACGCTTGAAATCAAATAAAAAATTCTCAGTGTTTACATTATCTCCATGAAAACACATTGTAATAACTCCTACTGCATATTCCCACAATACACCATATCTTCAATCATCCCTAAGTCAGCTCGGTGCAAGTCACGGTTCTTCAACTGCTCCAAGTTCAACTCAGCCACTTCCAGTAAGATTAGAGCACTAGATTAGATTTACAATGTGATAGTATTCTATAAGTCCTTTGGCGAATGAACTCGAACACATTCATATACGGAATTGCGTCCCTCCAGCAACTAGCCAAGTCGGCCAAATTCATTGCACGTGTACAGTAGAATTCGAAAGCATTCGGTAGCGCGACAAGATGTTCTAACCTATTATCGGAAGGCGGCGACAGGAGCGGTAAATAACCACCTTCATGCTTCGATTGCAGGAGAGATGAAATTACCAGGATGACTAAATGTAGGCCAATCCTCCTGAAAGGCCACGGGCTAAGGTTATAATGAAATTTTCAGCGCTGAACAAGTCACCTGATGGTGGGGCTGAGTATGGTACCATTTATGGGCTCGCTCCGTTTTCCTACCAAAAGAGTAAGACATGTTGACATGGCTGCTGTATCATTCGGCGACGTAAATTTGGGAATACAGATCGGGACAAATCAAGGCCCGATATAACTTCCCGGTATGTTCCTCAAGGTCCTTGAAAATAGACCCAGACAGAGCGAAGTGACTAACAGTGGCTTGACTTACTAAAGCCACCAAAATCCTGCCCAGAGCCACTATCGAGCGTGCCATTCCCACATAACCATAGTTTTATTAGTCGCGATGTACTTATTAACCAACTTCATAATAAATCTGTACCCCCAAAACGTATATTGTTCGTAGGGAGGGAATTATTGGGTATTAAAGCACTAACTACTGGGGTATTTCCTAATTTGTGCGAGCTCCTGTCATGGTATCCATGGTAATTCCGTCATTTCGTAGGCCCGGTTCTAGCTCGTCAGAAACAAAAGAGTTTCGGTCATTTGAGCTTTCCTCAAACTGCAGGTATAAGTCACTGGCAGAGGCTCCTTCCTCGTTCTGTCCAGCGCATGTTCCAGCTCTGTGAGGGCTTGTAGGCGGGTGCCTCCTAGTCGGTGAACTGCCAATAGTCGCGACGCCGTTTACGCACTTAGTCGCGGTATTGCCCTTCCCCCCACGGCCACGTAAGTGTCTGAACAAAAAGCGAATCACGGGTAGCAGTGTCGGGAGACAGGCGCAGACACATCCAATTGAAATCTCCACGACAGACCACCACCAGACACACGCTACACGGTCTGTCAAGGTCAACAGCCGCTTCTGGCATCAGCATTAGAGTTGTCACCTACATATGAAGTCTGTATTGTCCCCCTCGTGAAGGTTAAGGACGCATCTAGCTCGGATGCAACTGACAATAGTGACGCTTAACTGTGTCAGTTCAACATCGTATTGCTGCAAAGGAGTTGGCACGTACAATCCGCCCAGCAGAAAGGTGCTAGCAATGGCAAACTTCTGAGCATTAGGTAATCTCAGTCGCCAAATCTCATAGATTGGTACTGTCAAAATTGCCACATCAGTGACAATATTCGGGACCGCAGCACCGAAGTACCATTTGCCCTTGTCAATGCACCGGCCCTCTAATGTTGACATGCCCCAGGCCTTCTGGATTGGCTGGCATTGGAACACTGTGACAAGGCAGCCCTCGAACCACCACATGAACACAATTACTCCAAGCACTGATACACTGATCTCAACAAATCGGGTAGGAAGTATTCGATAGTACATAGTCAGGATGGAAGCTTTGATAATGGCGATGCTAGTGGTATAGAGGATATCCAACAAGGAAAGGTACTTCTATAACGTCAGTTTTAGGTGAAACAAAGATTTCCTTGGACAGACCAGCTCAGCTCTGCTCATTGTTATGACGTTGCTTGATTTGGCGAAATCGACATGTTTTCCAGTGTCCCCCAAGTAGACGGCTTTTGTAGTTATATGAGTATTCAAAATTATCCTTTCGGACCACTTCATGATCTTAGTTCCTTACCTACAATAGTGAGAGCGATCATTCCGTATATGAAAAGCTTAGAAGTTAGTACAGGTAGCTTGGACTGCTCTTAGAGGCATACCAGGGAGGTTGCCATCATCCAATCGTCAGGTCCATGCCTTGTTCGCGTGAGTGCCCTCGCCCAGAACCGCAAACCCACAAATACCGTCGACAGAACACCTATAGAAAGGCTCAGTCTGGTAATCAACGGGCCTTTATTGTCTGGCGTCTGATCGAGATGGTTGGACATGTTTGCTGCTCGGTCGACTCATTGGATTATAGGGTGGTAGCAGTTAAACTGTTAAGGATCGGGTCATGAGTATTATAAGAAGTTGGGAAAGGGGGCAAATCAGTCTACCAATCTTTTATAGATTAACTTGCCTCTTAATAGAATAGGGAAGTCTTTCTCCTCATGGCTCCCCATCGGAGTTATCAGGATCTGGTCTCAATACACTCAGCTCTCGGGCAAGATCAATACTACATTCAGCTAATAAATTTCATTTTGCCCTTTTCATAGCGACGCCTCTCATTACCTCCACCGTTTGGCGATCTATTATCCACTGTACTTCACTTGTCCAGGGGCGTAACGATACTCTAGTCTCATGCCACATACGTCATGACTTCGATGGAGGCAGTCTCTCTCGCGAGCCAATATTGTTTCGTACGAAGCATTACGCCGCCACCTAACTACAATTCGGCTAAATACCGTAATATTACCAGTTCTGGTGCAGTTCGGGTTTTAAGCACATGCGCAAACGTACCTAGTTTCATATTCAGCCTAGTTTCATATTCAGCGACCGTGCTGCATACTGTTCAGGGGTGCTGGAGGATATGAATATCTGAGTGAACCCCCCCCCTAGATCGCGCTCCAAATCATAACAGACGTAACTTTGGACTTCGATTACGGCTGTATATACTCTTTTTTCCATTTCTCGCCAAGCCGATTAAGCCTAAAGCATCAAGGTTCGCGTTGTCCCTTGCCGATTTCCAAAGAACATATTTCTCACTCCAAATAACTCGTCGTCAGTCGCGGTCAGTCCAATTTCGATGCTTTATAGCCCATTCATAGCGAATGCGGGCCACTTCAAGTGATATTCGAGGTCCGCCAGTTGGCATAACCAGACTGGTTTAGCAATCGAAGTATAGTACTATTCGATGCAGTAATGCCACATCGGACGTGTATATCGTGATAGGTGGTAAAGTGATCGCGTTTAATCAACGTCAAAATCCTTCGCGTGTCGCTTGGCGATAGGATCGGTGGATGGCCGCTGCGTGGAATGCTATTGCCGTCGTGACGTTGCCTGTTCTTCTTGAGGATATACTAGTTATATGCACCGTAGTAGGCGATGATTGAACAGCCTTAGCGATCTGGGGAATACTGCGACCAACAAGGTGCTGACCAACTAAAATACCACGCCGGTAGGGAGATAACGCAGTGTTCCGCCTCCGGTTTGGATCAATAGGCGATAGGGGGGGTTCTGAGTACCATTGTTGTTGAAGAAAAAAGTAGTGGTCGGACGCGTGAGCGCGCGAAGTGTACGGAAACTAGTGGGGACGACTGGATGGAGTCCCACGACCTTCATCTCCAACGGACTAAAATCCCAGCGGACTTTAGTCCGCATGCAAATAATATACTTTTGCCTTGGACCCTGGAGAGCCGCCACGGAACGATTAGCCCTGGAATGCTATTCTCGGAAGTTAAACTACGAATTTCGGAGCTAAGGATGAGCCGTCACTTGCTTAGACGCCCGGCCCGGGCTATTCTCCCAATTGGGTGCGTGCTTCCACTCGCAAGGTCAAAGTGGACTTCTATGGGACACTCAAACCATAATTGAACCAGGACTCTCTCTCAAACCTTGAAAAGCCCGTCTGACTAACAAACTTTTTTCCGTAGCAACCCCATGGGGAAGCAATGATCGATTTAGACATACCCTAGAGACTGCATACCAGAACCTCCTAAGTGCAAAAGTTGGGGGGTATTAAAGGCCCGGTTTGGTGCTTTTAAACACCATTCCATTCTCAGCCATAAAACTGTCGGCTCTTTCTCATCTCTGTATCTCACTATTTCATTTTTTTATTTCCTTGTATCTTTGCTTCTGCCACGAGACTGCTCATCATGGCGCTGGCTGTGGATAGCTCGGCGATCCCTGGCACCGTCACGCTTGTCGATGTAGAGCATATGTTGCATACTCGCCATTTGGAAAGTGGCAATGGAGATATCGTGCTGATCCCGACACCCTCGCATGACCCGGATGATCCGTTGAACTGGAGTCCCAAGAGGAAACTTTTGTCAACTGTCTGTGTGAGCGTGTGAGTATCAATAAATTCAAGTGTGCATTACGGAAGGTGAATACTTATGAGCCACGCGGGTCTTCTAGATATACATTGTTCGCCGGTATCGCCACCTCCGTCCTCTACTCAGTGATCACACCGCTCTCGAAACAGACAGGACTGCCGGTCAGCACTCTTAATGAAGGCACGGGGTATATGTTTTTGTTGATGGGATGGGGTCTGCTCTTCTGGCAGCCCTTTGCAATGCAATTTGGCAAGCGATTGACTTATATATTGTCGTTGGCGGGCATTTTGGTAGGTGCTTTGCTGAGGTGATACATGAAGAACCATGGCTAACAAGTGTTAGGGTACAACAATGTGGGGGTAAGGAGTTTTGATGCCTCGGGAAAAAAGACACCATTCCTAACTTCATTTCAGTCCCTATGCACACACCAACGGCCAATGGATTGCACGAAACGTCCTCTCTGGCTTTTTCACTGCCCCTATCGAAGCCCTACCGGAGATTACGGTGACCGATGTGGTACGTCCGCATCCCGAACCTGCGAGGCACCAAGTACTAACAGTGTCAGTACTTCACCCATGAGCGCGGAACCTATATGGGGCTATACGCCCTTTTCCTCGCTGGCAGTAACTCCTTTGCACCGGTGATCTGTGGTTTCATCGCCGAGTACCAGGGCTGGCGCTGGGTCTTCTACTGGCCCAGTATCTTTGTTGGTTGTGCCATGATCTTCCTCTTTTTCTTCATGGAAGAAACCAACTACGTTCGCGAACATGTTGAAGATGCCACTATCGCCAACGTTCAACTGAGCTACTGCCACCGCTCTCACAGTGATGACCCCGAGAAAGTCGTGCCGGTCTCTGACCATTCTTCCCCGTCTGCGGAAACTGGCGTATTCTACACCAAGAAGTCTTATGTGCAGAAGCTCTCGCTTTTGGGCCCTCGCCAGAAGCAGAACACCATGTTGCGTCGGATTTGGCAGACTTTGAACTACCTGTCATGGCCGGTGATCTTCTATGCTGGGCATGCGTCCCTCCCCTCCTAGCTCCACAGATGACTGAAAGCTAATGTTTGGATAGTTTCTCGTATGGATCTTACCTGGTTCTGTTCAATATCCTCAACGGAACTGCGTCGATCATTCTGGGATCGGCCCCATATAACCTTAGGTAAGCCCCAAGCTCACTACGGTCAGTGGTAAGAATCTAACACGTCTCAGTTCTTCTATGGTCGGCCTCAGCTACTTAGCATGCTGCCTGGGAGTTATCTTCGGGTAAGTTTCTTTACGAAAGTTCCACAATCCAATACTCATAAACAACAGCTCCATTTTCACCGGCCGATTCAGTGACTGGCTGACGATTAAACTGGCCCGTCGCAACGGCGGGATCATGGAGGCAGAGCATCGTCTCTGGCCCTTCCTTGCCTGTTTAATCCTCGTACCTGGATCCCTACTGCTGTGGGGTGTCGGCGCTGCACACGAAGTTCATTGGTTTGGTCTAGTCGCAGCTATGTGCATGTTAGCATTCACCACTACCTGCGGCATCACGCTAAGTGTCAACTACCTTGTTGATAGCTACCGAGAACTGAGTGGCATTGCAATCGCTAGTGTGATTCTGGTGCGGAACACAATGTCCTTTGCCATCGGTTACGGGTGAGTTCACAACACTAATCTGCCATCTTATAAGCCGGATGACTAATGATGATAGTATTACGCCATGGATAAACAATTTGGGCTATCAGAACTGTTTCATATCGGCAGCTTTTGCTGGTATGGCCTGCGCAGCCGTGTTTCTCGTGATGATCAAGTTTGGCAAGTCCTGCCGCATTCGTAGTCGGGGGACGTACTGGAAGATTGTGCAGGAAAACCTGGAGAAGGGAATGGGGCACTAGGCCACATTGGTAGCATGGATAGTTCCTTTACTTCACCGAGACAGTGGACTGTGGTATTTATTCCAATGTTCCGTCCCAATTCCGTGTGCAATGCTGTATCCATCCACTGCCCAACTACCCATCTCGACTGTTCCGCACAGTTAGCCAGCGCAAATAGGCACCCATTGAACCCTTTTTTTTCATTCACAGTAAAGGTCTTACTTTCTCCGACACAACCAGTCCATGATACGCCCCTCTACGTGTGACAGGTCCCAATTGGATCACAATATAATGTGAGACCAGCCGGCCAGGTCTAAGTGTCAACTACTAACGTTGTAAGCACAAGCTTAATTGAATCTAGTGGATCTAAATTACCTGCATTTGTTTAGACTGTGGGCGTCAACCAGGGCCTAGACTCCTCTTCGGCCGACTGCCAGACGAATTTAAAAGGCTTGTAGATCGGGGACAGACAATTTCAATCAGATCATTTTGTACCATCACATATCCAATATGAACCAACTCTGTAGATGTGTATTTAATACATCCTCTGGCTGCCACTCATTTATCTACAAGCAATCAATTCATTCCATTTTAGTTACGCGTGATCCTCATTCGCTAGAGTGTATACTGGCAGATGTCACAACCAGGAAGGAATCAGGGATCAACTTGTGCCATTTGGTGAAAGTATCAATACTAGAGAAGGATAAGAAAGACAAAGCTATCTCGTGAGGTGGTGTTTGAATATTCCAGGAAAAGGAGCGAGTGCCTTTTCTTATCACCCCGATTTGGCCATGTAACATGTTTGCTCCCTTTTCGTCAACGTCGTCGTATTCCTCCCTTCTTTAAAAAGACCTGGCCCACCAACTCTCATCAGGCTGGTTTATCGTTATCAGGATGGTCAGGTGCAAATCAGTCGTTTAATGCAGCTCGGGCCTAAATCTGTAAATCGTTTGGGAGTTCCAGGTAGATCGGAATACCGACGGTGGAACTCCATTAGTTCTCGGGTGCGTTCATGAAATCTCTCGCCGGATTCCAGTTGTCATCTTTATTACTAATCCATTTCACTTTATAGTTACAAGAGTTTTCAGTAGTATAGCCGGACGGAAATTATATCTTGAACTTCCCATTCCGAGTCGCCAGTCACTTCCACTAGTGGCGTAGGGTCGACAACCTGTCCGAAGAGTGGCTCTTTCCTGGAGGTCCTGGGTAGTTTTCTTTAGATATAAACACTAAGTGAACACGAATCAAGTCTGGTAGATTGATTGGATACGAATGTCTGACTTTACCAACGATCTTATAGGGGTTACTTGCTTACTTAGCGAGCTTACATCTTGGTTAATCTATTCGCTAGTATCTAGTTATGATGTAGACTATATCTCCTACGCATAAATCTTCCTTAAGTCGATACCAATTTCATATTATCGCTGGCGTTCCTATATGTATCTTACGTCTTATTAGGTATTGTCCTAGATGTCCTATATTTCCTATAATCGGCTTATATAGACGCGCGCTTCCTACGTCTCAGTATTAGTTGATTCATCTTAACAGGGTAATATTTAGCTCTACTAATCACAGACTTCAGGTGTCTGCTAGTTAAAGAATATACGCTATTTATATCCTCGTTCTATAAAGAACGGTAAAATATCTCTATGTTCCTAGGGTAATTTAGCAGCAGCAAAATAAATTACCAAGAGGTATTATAACTAGATGTATTGATAATAATCCACGAACGGTCTTAGGCGCTATACGATATATATGCTCTCAAGACCCTCTATATGAGGACCGTTTGTCTTCAAGATCTTCCGATTACATGACATAGTTAACAGGATCAATCGGCAAGCAGGGGTGTTAGGATCATTTCCTGAGGGCATCCTGATACGATAAGGATACGAGTGAAGAATGGGAGATGTGCCTGATATTGGTATGATCATATTCAGACTAATCGCTGGTCCTCCTAAGAGGATCCAGCTTCTCCTTTTGAGTGGATTCCTGTGTGCGTATGCAGGCAGGCAAGCGAGGTGATGTATCAACTCTGGTGGTGCATAGGCATTTCTTCCGCATTCCCTATACCTCTTTATATTGTTGGCGTAACAAGTGGCATTCTAAAAGGGGTCAGTATGAAAGGAACAAGGTTTGTGTAGACATCCTTCATAAAGGCTTTCGAGACGAGCTCGAAAGGTAGGGGATTTAACAGGTCCTCCTTGGGGCTCTATCAAGGGATCTTTTCAAAGAGAATATAATCTTGTCAGGAGACTCCCTATCTTCTCCTTCACAACCGGTCTCAATATCTGGGACCAAAGACCGCGCGGTCCGGTCTGGTACGGTCCTGGTTGCGGTCTTTTCGGTCCCGTGCACAGGCCTATCTCGAGGTACACTACCTCTTCACTATCTAAACAACCACTTCTCTATAGTCATGACTATGTGGTCATTTCCCTCTACCTGGCCCTTAGGTCTCTTCTTAATTTCGATTTGGTTAAGAGAGTCCTACCCCTTCATACACCACGTATAGATTAAAGAATTCCAGAAGCCTAGGAAAGTATCACAGAAGTATCCAAATATCAATACGAACGGGAGATAATATAGTACTAAACTAGAAGGTCCTACTGAAAGGTTCCTATAGTGTTCATCAGCATAGAACTGCTACCTCATGCTCTAGAAATTTAAAGTATGTTCGTCTAGCGGCAACGCAGTTATCGCACTTACTACTACCGTCACGAAAGTCGCACAGATTTAGATACGTACTAAACCGGGTGATATTTTTGGCGCAACAGACATAGATTGTAGGCTTTCAGAAGTCGAGACGTAGGTATTCTGTAACTTCATCGCATCTAGTGAACTTATTCAAATTGTGACGCATCTGAGATTTCAACGCGAGGCTCGCGGGAGCTCCACGGTCCGCTAAAAGCCCGACAAAACAAGATCGTGAGGAATATTGGTCGTAATAGGCATGATGGAGGCCTTAGCCTTAATCGTAGGACGATTAGAACGCACCGACTCATCCCGACTGGCGCGACTAGGGTCTCGGAACACAACGCCAGCAGGGGGGGGGATCTGATATCGTAAGGTCGTCGCTATCAGTGTCACCGTCGCCATCGCTACCAACGATGATAGGTCTCTATAATTTAGTGAGTCAACCTTGCTAAAAAAGAGAGCCCTTATGAATCTCAGTCTAGCGCTCATTGATATTGTGATCTGTAATAGTCTTACTACTAGTTACTACGCAGCCGCAATGCAACCTGTTAAAAAGCATCTTACCGATGAATGATTCTCCTACGATCTGGTGTCAGATAGCCTGCCCTAATCTGATCTGGGTCTATCAGCAGGACCTTTCCTCCTCTGGAACGCTGTATGAAGCGGAAGCGGCTAAAGCAGTCTTTTGAATTCAATCCAACACACTAAATTCTTTCAAAAGTTTGCACTATGGTTTCCGCTGTCGGCGGTCAAAAGTCCGCTTGTAATTCCGTGAGTGACGTAATGATGGGGCGAATGGCATGGCATGTTCATCGAGAATAGAGGTTTGGCGAGGGTTATTTCTTTTGCGGCACGCTGATTCGCGCATGAGTCCGCGGCCCACCATCTCCAACTCGGAGTAATTGGTGTCGCTGGAGTATTATAAAACCCTCGGCATGAATTTAGAAATTATCTGCTGGACAATTACTATCTTAACTTATATACATACCGATTTCAGCTGACTTGATCCAAGAATGGCGCCTACTCGCCGCGTTGCGATTATCCAGTGGTACATCAAGGTGTCTCCGCCAAGTCCGTAAATCAATGACGCAGATAACTAATTTGGAGACGTGCAGGAGCTGGCAACTGAAGACAACCATGCCAGAGCATGCAACTATATCCGCCAAGCAGCGGCTGACGGTGCAGAACTAGCTGTTCTCCCTGAGTAGGTGTATCTGTTTATTCTGTCCCAGAAGCCGCTGCTCACTCCGCCCAGATACCATCTAACCGGCTGGAGCCCAAACGACCCTTGCTGGGCTGTCCAAGCCGGCGAGTCAGCCAAATACCTCGTCAACTATCAGGCTCTTGCGAAGGAGCTCAAGATCTGCCTTGTCCCTGGCACTATCATTGAGAAACATGCGGTGCCCAATGGCACGGCGGTCTTCTACAACACCGCGTACTTCATCTCGAACGACGGCGCTATCCTCGGCTGCTACCGCAAGAAGAATATCTGGCACCCGGAGCGTCCGTATCTGACCTCATCCGCTCTGGAGCGCCACGAGGCAATCAACACGCCGATCGGCCGCATCGGCATGCTAATCTGCTGGGATCTGGCGTTCCCAGAGGCATTCCGCGAGTTGATCGCCGACGGCGCTGACATAGTCATTGTCCCTACTTTTTGTAAGCCACCTCACTCCTTTTCTCGGATCTGAAATATCAGTGACTTACTCTTTCAGGGACACCACACGATGCTTCTCCAGAGACCCTTCGCCACATCCCAGCCTCGGAGGCCCTCTTCCTAGAATCCACTATCACATCCCGCTGCTTCGAGAATACCTGCGGCATCATCTTTGTTAACGCAACAGGTCCGAAGGAGAACTTCCTGGGTATGTCTCAGGTTGCGCTCCCGATGATCGGGCCGGTGGTGAAGATGGGAACAGAAGAGGGCGTTCGGGTTGTGGATATGGATGTGGAACTTCTGGATATTGCGGAGAAGACATATAAGGTTCGGCAGGACATTGGAAAGGAAGATTGGCATTATGGTTACCGGCATTCGTCTCGTAGAGGGTCCAGAATCATAGATTTGAATGTCGATCTAGAATCTTCTTCCGCATAAGACATCCGAAAAGAAATTTCAGTTTCTCATACTTCATAAAAACAAGTCCTAGAAAGCGAGGCCTTAAAAGGTGTCAGGAAGGATTTGGAAGAGATCCCAGACAAAGTTTAAAGGGAGTGGTTTTATTGGGGTTGCCTCACAATGCCTGTAGCCTCACGTGATATCCACACCGACATTACTGAGGGCCTCTTCCCACAACTGCTTCACGAGACTCAGATGTTTGCCTCTGCGGGCAGCTCGTCATCTCTCACGCAGTCAAGTCTTGATTTTGTTTCACGTCCTTCCCTTCGACAATAGCACCGATAAGCCTTGACTATATCGCTCTCTACCATGACCTTCAGCCAGTCCAGCAGTGTCACTCCTGCCCCGCTCGACTCCGCTTGGCCGCCGGCCCACATTTGGGAATCCATGGGTGCGGTAGACCGTGCCAGTTGGTTAGGGCAAATACAGAGAGACAGGGCTAGACGCCTTGAATTGGATGTAGCGGAGACCGATCTCCGCCGCAGAAGGCCTCGATTGGACCTGCAAGATGATGATAATCTCGAGGAAAACCGTGAGCCACCCCCTAACGTCAAACCACTCATCGACATATTTCCGGGTGTCTCCGCCGCCCTTCTTACTCGCGTCTTCGAGAGGAAACTCAAGGCGACTGAACTTATACGCTTCTCTTTGCTGAACTTATACGCTTCAAAGAGAAGTCAGTCACCGAGCTAGATCAGGAGGACAGAGTCTTTAACATGACTGAGTCGGGAGGCACAGTGGGCTTCAAAAAGGCGGCAGCGTCGCTTAAGGATTGGGGCCCTAACCCTCAAATATGGACGACCTGCTTTCTTGCATATCTGGCCGTTGTAGGATATCTCTTCGGCGAGAAACATCCTAAGGCAGTTCCCAACCTACTCATGTTTATGAGACAGATCCTGGACTTCGCCCAGACTTATCAGTGGTCGGAAGCAGTACTCCCCCTTGCCCTTAATTTCCACCAATATATACTGGATAAAGGAGAACTATCGACGGAAAACTACCTAGTCACAGGCCCATTCCGCGAGAAATATCTCCGCCACAATCTCACCCTACCTGCGAAGTCACCAACAAACCCCCCCAACACGGCCTCGTCAAGCCAGGAATACCAGATCTTCGAACAATGAGTCAGAGGTTTGCGATAAGTTCAATACGACAGGGTGCTCCTGGGAAGGCTGCAAGAGACGTCATGAGTGTACGGCATGTGGCCTAAGCGAGCATGGCGCCTCCTCCTGCCGCAAGAAGAAGTAGCAAGTGACAGCCCTTAAGAACAATGGCGTCGTTCTTAATCCCTTATCCTTAAGCTTCGTACCGCAGGGGCAACCATCTAGACCAAATACTGCTGTTCAATACCCCGTTTTCAACCCGGAGCTGCCAAGGTTACAGTCCTCTCCATCACCACTATATGCGAAAGCCTGGAGCAATCTTCTACGCTACTATCCAGGCGGTCTCGGGCCCACTATCACTGGCATCCTGACCTACGGTGTCCAGGTTGGCTATAGGGGCAAGAAGCAGTTTCGCTGTTCTAACCATCATATACACGAACCTGGCATGATCACGGCTAAACTAGCAGACGACCTCAACCTCGGTCGTGTTCAGACTAGCCTCTGGGCCTTCCTTCGTTTCGCCGCTTGGGTTAGTCCCTAAGCACGATGGGGGTTGGCGCCGCATCCATGATCTCTCTTGGCCCCCTGGACAAGGCCTTAACCAGGGCATACCGGACTCCTGGTCAGCTATTGAATACATGACAATCGATAATATCTATGAGCAAGTCATACAAGCTGGCCTAGGCTGCGTAATTATCAAGAGGGATATCAAAGACGCCTTCCGAATAGTCCCTGTTGCCGAGGACAACCAGCATCTCCTTGCCTTCCAGTGGAACGATTCCACCTACGTTGAGTGCTGTCTCCCCTTTGGCCTGGCAACGGCCCCATATCTCTTTAACCTCTTCGCTGAGGCACTCCATTGGATACTCCAATGCCTCCTTCCTGCATTCTACATCAATCATTACCTAGACGACTTCATCGCAATTGCTCGGTCTCCCTCGGTGTTCGACCCTATGAGTGCCTTCGATAAGGTTTACAACAGGGTCACCGACTACCTACGTATCCCTCGCAATACTAAGAAGGACCAGCAAGGGACCTGTGTTACAGTCTTAGGTATCCAGATAGATACTCTCGCAATGGAAGCTCGTCTGCCACCAGAAAAGTTGTGCCGCGCCACATTGGACGCCGCAGCTGCCCTAAACGCGGCGAGTCTCTCCCTCAAGCAAACAGAGCGCCTCACAGGCTTACTAGCCTTCTGTTCAAGAGTTGTTCGGCTAGGAAGAACAAGGCTACAGTCCCTATACACCTTCCAAGCCGCTTTCCCACATGGGAGTAGCGCGCGCCGCCGTATCCCTTATGAGGTTCGTGACGATTTGGAATGGTGGAGGGACCCCTTGTCTCTCTTCAACGGCGTACTTCTAATTGACCCCTGTCGCCGCACTATCACGCATCTCTACACAGATGCCTCCAGTACAGGCCAGGGGCTCTTCTTCTTTTCATCTAAGTCTACATTAGACTGCTGGCTGGCCCATTGTCACCAGCTTCATCCAAGCAATGCTGCCACATTGGCCCTTGCTCAAGACGCACATGTGCACATCAATACCAATGAAGTAGACGCTATTCTTCAAGGCTTCCTACTCTTCAGCCACCATTGGCTCCATCACACTCTCGTTATCCACACGGATAGCTCCACAGCGCACACGGGACTAAAGAAAGGCTTCCTTCATGGTCCGCTAACGCACCTCTGAAGAGCCTACTTATCCTAGCGGCGGCGAGAGACATCCACATTGTGCCCCACTGGCTCCCTTCCGGGAAAAATAAATTAGCAGATCCGCTCTCTCGTAATAATCTTGAAGGCATTGCTAACATTTGTCCCCATTGGCAGGACCTCTCGGTATTGAACCACCCGCGTGGTTCTCTTCACGAGCTCCTCAGCTCAATACAGGCCACCTGAAACTGCTCTGGAACGGACTCAGCGCCAATACACGTTCCGTTTACCTCTCCGTTCACCGCAATTACGAAAAGCACTGCGCGCTACAAAGTATACCCGCATGGCCAGTTTCAAAACATTCTTTGACCTCATGGTTAAGCACACGACTCCTTGGTAACGCTAGCCAAAAGGCCGTCAAGCCTGACACCGCACTCGCCGACCTAGCCGCTCTCCGAGCCTATCATATCGATAACTTCCTTGACGATAAACTCTTCGATAACAAGCATTTTCGACGTCTTATAGACGGCGCGAGAAGACTCAACCCTATCACCAAAGTACGGGTCAGAAAACCGATTTCGCGTGACACTATTACGAAACTATCCGCGGGCCTCGCCACACTCCCGTTACGGCCCTTGGAGATATCTGCAAAGGCTCTAGATGACCTGAACTTCGCAACCGCGTGCCGGGTAGCATTTGCGGGGTTCCTCCGCCTTGGGGAATTTACCTACAAGACTGAAGACCTCCACACATGTTCTATCTTCTCATCCACAAAGTTAACGCGCTCCGACGTCAGATTTTCGTCCTCGTTAGACCACGCACAACTCACACTCAAGCGCAGTAAGACGGACCGCCGCCACGAAGGAGTACAGATTATCCTTGCAAGGACGGGAGACGGCGCATGCCCAGTTGAAGCGCTTCAGAAGCTGCTACTTCTCGACCCCAGAGGGCCCGACGCCCCATTGTTCTCCTTCCACAGAAGACCATTCAGTCGCAACAACTTCCTCTCGACCTTGTATGCTAAGCTAAGATCGCTGGGGATACGGACAGACGGCTACTCGGGTCACAGCTTTCGGAAGGGTGCGGCTCAGCATGCACACGATAGTGGGATACTCGATGACCAGATCCAGATGCTAGGGAGATGGACTTCGGAGGCGTTCAGGGTGTATTTTACGACGAACGCCTCTGTCCTGTACAAGCTTAATCACCAGTTCCAGATAGGATCGCCGGCCCCGCTGTCTCTGCTGATTCCACCACCGTCCCCTCCACCATCCTTGGCCCGGGTCATTTGGGCCCTATCTGACGCTACGGTCTACGACCGCAGCAACAGGTGACCCGTTATGGCCAAACTACACTCTTCTTGCTCCTCTTGACTGCGTGAGGTCACCAATAAAACTGGATAAACTATATAAATTATTTTATCTTTGTTGGATGTTGAGCAGATAACCTGTCAGCAATCATCTCCAACTTGACCAAAATTGTTTTGTTGTCTTTGCCTTTATACCTTTCTAGCAATATTGAGTGGAAGTAAACTGTGACGGGACTAAGGTATTAGCTAGTACTGATTGGCTAGATAAGAAAGAAAGAAAACCAGGTTTTGATTGTTAAACAGAAACTGATTCTTGAGGATCCCCTCACGAATCGAGAGCCTATCGCCCGCTTTATATAATTACTGAGGTCTTCATCTCGGGGGGAGAATCAGATATGATTTCCACTCGATCCCCTACCGATATTCCCTTGTTCCATCTGGTTCCGTCCGGTGAGAGTATCTTCATTGAACTGGATACAGTTCTGTATGAATTCTTCTACCTCCATCTGGTTCCGTTTCCCGGAAGTCAATCCCTGGGGAAACGGAAGTTGATCCCAGTAGAATCATTCTGAGAACATGAACCAGGTTAGGAAGTTGATAGGGAACTGTCATCCCTTCTGGATGGGATCGGGGAAGAATCGGGCCTTGTCCGGATGTAAATTGATATCCTGTGACACTGTTGACCCAGGAAGTACCACATAATCCCATTCCAGTCAAGCTCTGGCTGATGCTCTTGGTGTCAAAAGTGATATTTGTATATATCAATCTGCCGATGCAGCAAAGGTAAAGTCCCCTGTGGATGGCCACCATTGTAGTTGGTGGAGAGAAACACAAAAAGGCCAGAGATGACAATTGAGCCATTTCTTTTTCAAGCTCAGCATCCAGAGTCACTGCTAATTTCAACTTTGCTGAGAGAGGGGGCCAGATGTGACATAGAAGCTCAGGTGTTGTGAGCCACAGGCAAATACCAAAGTCTGCAATCCTTGGCAGGAGAGTCACATATAGAAACCAATAGAATGCTTGCTGTCTATCAGCAGTGACCTCAGGCTTCCACTGAAACCAGGGCTTCATGTTGACAAGAGTGTCAAATTAGTCAAGATGGTGGTAGATATATGCAATCCATGTCACAAGCTGGTGATGGCTCTTAGATATAGCATTCATCTCAAGAACCTCAAGAAGCTTGGCTGCATGCTCATGACAGAGGATTTGCTTGCTGAAACTGTAGTTCAGGCAAATGGATTTACCAATCTTCCAAAGTATAATAAGTTTGCTCTAAAGATCACCAGCTTTGATAGCAGCCTGAATACAGCAATTCAAACTACTATATTTGACAATTACATATTCAGGAGCTTGGGAGATAAGCTTTAGAGACAGGAACAATAACTGCCAGGGAGATATCCTCTGGCTGGTCAGGTCCAGGGACATTCACCATTTCAACATGCTTAGGCTGGGAGATGCTGGTGTTGGTGGCTTCAGGTGTTGGTGAAATAGTGCTGATGCAACTGGGAGGGTTAAGATTATTGCTGCCATCATTGTTGTCATCATCCTTATCTTCTTCATCTCATGGGTCTCTGCTGAGTCAATCAATAATGGAGTTGTTGACAGCATTGAGCAAATGCTTCCAAGGAAGCTTCTGCATCAGCATCTTGCTGATATTTTGGTGCATAGTTGCAGTCTTTGCATGGATAAGGAATGCTTTGGTGGCCAGGCCGCCCCAGTGCTGAACTGCCTTTGCCACAATACCATCCATGTACTTTTTGTCCTTTGCTCTCTTTGTAGTGATCTCAGACATCCTTGCCCAGCACTCCTCAAACTCTGTCTTGTTATCGGTGCCTTTGTACACCTTGTGGCCCTGGGCCCAGTCATGAATCGCACAGAGCACCCGCTCAATAGTAGCAAGCTGTTCGAGGGCGATATCTTGTGAGGAATTGACAATCTGGTAGGCGTCAGGCTTTGGCAGCATCTCCAGATACTCAAACAGGGCTGCAGTATCGTGGAACACATGGTTGTCGATGGTGATGGTACCATGGCTCTCGGAGAGATCTGCAATCAGGGCAGTTGAGGAAGGAGAGCTAGGGGCAGAGACAGAGTTGTTGTTCAGAGACTGGGAAACTGTGTTATACGCTATGATATTGTTAGCAGATGAAGATATTTGTTGTAGTATAGAGATGTTACCAAGAGTATCAGTTTCGGCAGGAGAATCAGCTTTGGCAGGGAGGTCGTTTTGGGGATGGCCTCAGATAGACATGGAGGAGTATCGACCTCCATAGTGTCCGTCATTTTGAAAAACCAGAGGAACAGAAAGCTCTCCTCAGAGAGAGGGGGGGCGAGGTCTGAGTTGAAAGGGGTAGGCTGAAAGAGACAGGTTGAAAGGAAGCAGAGGTCAAAAAATACAAAAAAAGGAAGAAGTTTGAAGCAGTTAAGTTTGAAACAGCCGAAAGAATAGCTTATATCCTATGCTTGCTTTTGATTGGCCAGTTTAGAGTGTCCGAAAGAGGCAGTTTTGACATGAGGAAGGCACGTCTGATAGAGACGTTCGTAGCTGAGGAAGGTACAACCCAGAACGGGAAAGATGGCGGCCCTGTAAACAAGGCCGGACCTAATCTTTCGGCTGAAAGATGGTCTCCTAGGTCACTGATAAATAAAGCTGCTGGGTGGCCATAGGTATAGGCATCATGTCAGAGGCTCAAAGCGACAGCAGTGGCTTCGGCTAAAACAGGAAGAAAGGCAGCCTTGTGAACAAGACCAAGCCTAATCTTTCTCCTGAAATATATTCTCCTAGGCCGCGGTAGCTGCCAGAGTAAAAGTAATAGGCATCAGGGTGGCCTTCATGGCTAAAGTGAGCCTTTAGGCCTGGCTAAAAAGCCTAAGGTTGGCTAAAGTATAAAAGATATGCTAGCCATATACTAAGTTAGCTGGTAGTTAAAGGACTGGGCCAAGTTTAGTTCTGGGTTGTATCACAAGATGCTGTTCCTGGCTAATTCACCATCTTCGCAGGAAATGTAACCTACGAGTGCCCTGGAATTCAAGCCTATGTTGGCGTCCATGCCGCGTCCGGGGCGAATAATCACACTTCTGGATTTACTGCAGTAGCAGGAACCAAGGATTCTCATGATCTCTGCCTTCATGCAGCAAAGGGAATGGCTATCGCGGGTGTGAGCGTCCTGCAGAGTGATGATCTTGCTGAAAAGGTGAGATTGGATTTCGAGGACGACAGGAAAAGGCGCTCTGTGCCCTCAACAACCAGGACGTTTGATTCGAATGCGGGCTTTTGCTAGCGAGACACTTGATGAATCACAATCACCGAACCCTTTTTGATACATTTGACTGCTTCCTGACCATGGATGACCTAGCGGGGCGTATGTCACATCGTACTCAATATACTGTCCAGATTCAGCAATAAATATTATCGAAGCCACCCTTTCGTAATCGTGGTTCAGGCCGTAGGTGTGAATAAACACCTAGAATTCGAACTTAACTCTGAGAAACTACAGAAATAGCTCATAGAGATACTGGATATTTAAGTATAAGACATTATCTCGTAGGTCAAGTTAATGTTTATGCTGTTTGACATACTTGAGCCTGAGCTCTCAGTCGCAATTGGCCTGGTCCCCCAGGCCTGGAATTCAGGCCAAAGCTGAGGCTCTTACTTAAGTCGTAACTACCCTCTACCCCGCATCCACACTTATCACAAATAAAATAACAGACAAGCAACCAAACAAGCACCGGAACAAGCATGCCCCCAGCCAAGCCACCTCAAATTCGTGATTATTCCCTCCAACTGAAGCACCAAACAGAGCTCGGGCCCAACATATTGACTTCGAAAAATTCAACGCCCCACTCCCAACATACAAAGGCCACATCGCCGCTGTGATAGATTCGCTGCGGAACCTCTAGCGCTCTCCAACGATATTATTAGCCGAATGACAGCAGCAAAAACACCACTACGGCGGAAATACACCTGTAGGCATGTTAAAACATTAGGCCACTCTGGTGTGCTAATCGTACGCGATGCCAACCGTTCAATTGCAACCAGAAAGGAAAAAGTGGCTATTCAGAGGAAGAAGAAGCTTGATAAACAGCCTGAAAAATTATACGGTAAACAGCCACTACCGGAGGTTACATAAGAGAATGAGAGTTTAAATTACGCAGAATGGGCTGCAGGATCGGGTGAGGAAGTTTTTATTGTAAATGCTATACCAAATCCGCTATACAGTTGAGAAAATTATCAATTTTGTGATTTCGGTGTGGCGCACCGCGAAAGAGCGGCGGGTGCGCTTGGCACTAAGACGCCAAAGTTCGGAATAAAAGGAGTAAGGTTGATTGACATCCAAGGCACCATCTACTACTACTATTCAGAACGCGCCCAGACATATCACCAAAACAACGCGTATCCGAGTCAGGGTAAAATCTAAAAGATTAGCAAAACCTAGAGATCTTTGAAGTTAGTAAGTAAAAACTTGAAGATGATATTTGTAAAGATCAGGTCAATCAGGGGTTAACACGTACTATAGAAGAAAGATATATTTCGAAGGTAAGAGCATACTAGTACTACCAGGCAGGCAGCAGCGGGAGTTCACAGCAGCAAATACAGCCCTGGAGATGAAATACATTTGGCCTGGCATAATATAGTATTATCAAAATAATACAGTCGGGACGACTATATTGTCCTCTAATATTGCCCGGATATGTGTATTGTAAACTTGGAGACCGGCGGGATGGCAAGTTGCTGCCTATCTAGGTAAGAAAGGAAAGCTTTGGCGAAATCTGCTGCTCGTCCCGAGGTCGGGATCTACAATTACTATGGTCGGGGAGACTTTCCACGGGAAAACCGTCCTCAAAATGCCTAGTGTCACCGCCCCCAGATGTATGGCTATAAGTTTAATTCGAGGTTTCCTCAATTTGTCGGAATATATATTACAGCAACAGGTTGAACCAAGTTATCCGACCGTCTTTTTGTCGCTTCACACGAGACGCTAGTGTCGTTAACGACGACCTGAACGGATTTGATTGCAAGAAAAGACCGTCACATCAAGAATGGCGTCGCAATCTACCGTTATCACTTCCTCGTCCGCCATCAGTCAATCCCCCGTTGACAAGACTGAGACATCACCTACGGGCGAGATGACTGCACTCCAAGCCCTCTCACGAGGCCCAATCCTTCCCGGAATCCCTATATTGCCAACCTACGAGAAGCAGCGCCGCCACCTTCTAGAGCACATGGCTGGTGCATTCCGAGTGTTTGCCCGCAAGGGCTACACCGAAGGTTTGGCTGGTCATATCTCTGTGCGTGACCCTGAAAACCCTCATACCTTTTGGACCAATCCGCTCGGCCGGCCGTTTGGCTTGATGCGCGCTTCTGATATGGTCCTCGTCAATTACGACGGAAAGATGGTAGGGGGTAATATGAGTCGTCCTGTAAATGCTGCTGGGTTTCTTATTCACAGCGCCCTACACAAGGCCCGGCCAAATGTCAATGCTGCTTGCCATACGCACTCGCCGTACGGAAAGGCTTGGTCGGCGTTTGCACGGCAATTGGAGATGATCAATCAGGATGCCTGCGTGTTTTATGGGCAGGCCCAGAGCGTTTATGAAGAATTTGGTGGCGTGGTCTTTGACGAAGCCGAGGGGCGGAGGTTGGCGGATTCTCTAGGGAAAGAGGGGAAGGGGATGGTGTTGAGAAACCACGGCCTTTTGACTGTAGGGCAGACCGTCGATGAGGCTGCTTACCTTTTCACCTTGATGGAGCGGAGCTGTCAAGTGCAGCTTCTGGTAGAGGCGGCAGCTGCGAACGGAATTCCTAAGCAGTATGTAGGTGAGGCTGAGGCTGCGTACACTTTCAAAATGACTTCAGACCCGGAGTCTTTGTACTGCGAGTTCCAGCCGGACCTAGAGGCAGAGGACGTATTGTGCAATGGCGATTTCCGCAATTGAACGATTAGGAAGCAATCGGGTTGAAATTCGATATATCTCTACTACCTAGGTAGTTGGCAAAGTATATTTGACACATGAAGTTTAGTCTCTTAATGAATCTATCGCGCACCTTGAAAATTTCCCCTTACTATCATTGTACCGAGAGCGCTGTAGAAATGGTCAGTTTATTGGCGAATTCCAGTCGCTCTAACTAGTTACATGTCTGCAACAATAACGTAGTTGTACGATAACTATAAGAATCCAAGCACATACTTGCTTTGACCCGCCAATGCCTGTGTTGGCAGCTATTTTCTCTTTTCAATGTAATAGTATTCGCTGGCCCGTGCAAAGAGCTTTTCTTGAGCAACTTTCAAACCTCAAATCTCCAGACTACTGTCTAAATAGCGGCACAAGGGGGTTAGCATCCACCACCTCGGCCAGCCCACGGGCCCAAAGGCCCTTAAAAGGATACTAGGATCCAGAAGATATCCTAGCATATGCTATAGGTTCGCTTTATGTAAACTTTCTAAACACTTGATCGCATCTGATATGACATGGTAGTAGCATTTTGTGACTTTGAATCGAACTGGCGAGTGACTAGAAGCGCGGACCCGGCGTATAAAAAATAGTTTCCTGGTCATAGACTTGATGAAACCCGAATCTTCCAAATTCAATCTCACGTCAGGTCAAAACCAACGTCAACTTCCGTTCGATAACCAAATCTACCCAACTAATTTCCGCGTTCCCATCCCCCCTCCGACGTTTCCAGAGATCCTGCAAAAGGCCTTCCGCAACATCAAAATTCCGCAAGCCGCTCGTTTTGGCACAATCCCGTAATAGTTTAGAAGAGCGCAATTGTAGGTCTGGATTCATTGTTTCGGCAGCAGCGATGAAAACCGGCCACACAATGCCGGTGTTGACAACAGAGAAGCCAAGCTTCACCTTTTCAGCGCGTTCAATGGCGACAATGGCCTTCTCGGCGTACGATTGAAGCAGAAAGGAGTTAAGCTTTCGCACTCGCCGGTAGAAAAATATTATAACGGCGCTGTGAAGAGCTACAACCAGGTGCGGTATAAAAGCACGGTTTGCAGACATCGAGATAGGGTCATCGATATTGTCACCAACGCTGTCTCTGTCGCTGCTCCAAGAGCAGATTTCATTTTCGAGATTTCGACAACGCCTCTCAAGCTCATCAGTCATCGTAAGCCCTTTACTCTGATTATTTAAGTTCCCAATTTCATCAGCAAGAGATGAAATGCGCGAGATAAAGGAAAGTAGCGTTTCGGGAATTCCATAAATTTGTCCGAATAGTGTAGAATTCTGCTGACAATCCTCATCTCCAGGCGCACCAAATAGCCCAAGTTCCAAATCCCCGCCGCAGTGTTCATCGAGATCTCTGCCAACATGAAGACTGTGTGTCCTTAGAGAAGGGAACTTCATCTTGTTGTGAGGAAGTGAGAAACTCAAGCGTTGTTGTGTCTCTTGTGGGAAAACGTATGTGCTCTCTTCAATAATTCGCAGGAAGAGGTATATTTGATGAAGCAGCTTTACCTTGCGAGACTTGTTCACTTTGGGAATTCCTCTAAGACAAATGAACATATCCGCGTTCAGTAAGAATGAACGTGCCTCGGCCTGTTGACCATTCACAACCTCCGCAGACAGTTCAAGTTAGTGACGCGATTCCAACGTGACACCAAAGACTCACGGAAATGGTAACCATTGTCAATATGGCCATCAAAATATCCTTATATTTTGATTTTCCACCACCAGATATTTCCGTATCGAAGCTTCGTCCAAGCTCCACCTTTGCTTTGTGTCTCAGGCGCTCACCAAAAACCCACCAATAATCTGAACTGCCGTCCTGTTCCAAACCAAGCCTATCAAAATTAAAGGCGCTTACAGCCAGTGTGCCATAAAAAAGGGCAGTTTCAGCATGGGTCGACTTATTGAATACACTCAATTCTGAGAATATAGAAAGCACACGCGGGAGGTGCATGATATCCCATGGTGATTTGTGCACGCGGCGAGGCGAGAATAACTTCCCTGCCTGAGCCCGATAGTGCCTTAGAAGAAAATGCGTGGTTGGAGATACTGGTGCTTCCAAATCATTCTCAATATTAAGACTGACATGGAAGCTAAGAGGAGATGGTAGGGCAATTTGAGAATTGTTCATTGGCGGCAAGTTGACAGCCACCAAACGCTCAGAAATGTTATAATTAGGATCCGCATCAATGTGGATATCGGGGTATGTTGACCAGCAGGGGGCGAATAGGCTGAAAGGGCCTGGAATTTGGCCAAAGGACGAAGTACAATCCATATCTACAGTCGGGGTCAAACTGATATCATCATGATCACCCGCGACATATAGGAAATCCATGCTTGCTGATGGCTCGGATGGGAGCTCATGGTTGACAGAAGCCTCAGGTAAAGCCGTGTTCGCCCAGAACAGTGCAAAAGGGCCCATCACAAGGAGGCCATTCGCTTGGAATTCATGCGTCTCCGAGTCAAGCTCACTCAGGACTTTGTCAATTTCGTCATCGTCGATTTGGTGGAGTATCTCCCTGGACATGGCCGCTCGCTCCGCTTCTGCCGGGATCATTAGATGGTTGGTTTCTTATTCTTTTGTTTTCTCCCAAGGGCAGTGCCATCGTCTTTCATCATCAGACTCGAAGACGCCGTGGGATTGATAGGTAATTACCTGTGAAAAGCACTCGACGACTGCGACCGCCTCCACATTGTCCGATATCATCTGCAGCAACAGTTGCAGCAACAGTCCAGTCTGAATGAAAAGTATAATATATAAAGCGAATTCTAGCTGCGTAACCACCACAAACAAGGCTAGCTCGTGAGCACTGGCCACACAGGGACGGGCCTCGTCACACTTGACCTTGCGCGATCGACAGGTCAAGCATCCTCCGAAGGACCGCGCCCGGTTCTGCGATGATCTCGCCGTGACTTTCGACATTGTCTGGTGTAGACTCGAGAGAATAGCCCCTCGCTGTCGCTCGGAATTGCATGCAGTTAATGGAGAGAAATAATGATAAATTAGGGTTTGATGATTGCTTGGGCCGCTATCGGCGTGGCAAGTTATCCCGAGCGGATCACAGCGGGGTTTTGTCCGCTGTGGAATGAGGATGAACCACTTAGAATACAGTCGCAAAAGCCTTCCTTGCCACTATCTGATAACTGCAATACCCCATGATCATTACCCCAAAAGGTTTAATGAGACCGATGCCATCTTCGAAGGGTCACTCATATATAAATGTAAGGACTGCGTAACATTGCACGGCCAAAGAGTTGCAAAGTCATTACCACCTCATCGCAACCGGAATCCCAAATCCCATTATGGAGAAGCTCGATAAGGAAACTCTCCAATGTTCCTCGCAAGACGCTGAGTCTGCCACACTGGGCACTCTGGTCCCTGTCGACCAAAAGGCTGAGCGATCGTACGGTAAGATCCACTCTTGGAAATTTCGTGTCTTCCCCCTAATAACGAATATGCAGTTCGCAAACTCGACACATTTCTTCTGCCTTTCCTCTCTTTGATGTACTTCTTCAACTCCGTGGACCGCTCAAACTTGGGGAACTCTAAAACAGATGGACTGGAAGAGGACCTCAATTTCGTTGGCAACGAATACAGCCTGTTGATCCTGCTTTTCTATATTCCGTTCGGCACTCTCGACCTCCCTCTCAACTTGCTCACAAAGAAATTCTCTGCAAAATGGGTTTTGCCCAGTCTGATGGTCACCTGGGGTTCAATCGCCACTCTTCAGTGTGCTGCTAAGAACTTTGCAGGCCTGTTAGTCATGCGTTTGATTTTGGGTGCCTGCGAGGCCGGCTTTTATGCTGGTGTAGTATTCTACTTCACCCTGTTCTATAAACGCTCGGAGCTCGGGTTTCGTCTCGCGATCTTTTTTGGTTCCGCTTTGCTAGCGGCAACTTTCAGCGGGCTCATCTCCTACGGCGTTTTCAGAATCCAAGACCCACACATCGCGGGCTGGCAGTGGCTTATGATGATCGAAGGCATCTTGACTGTCATTGTTGGCGTTTTCTCTTTCTGGTGGCTGCCTGCCTCTCCTGCTTCGGCGTGGTTTCTGAATGACAGAGAGAAAGCAGCCGCTGTGGCCCGTGCCCTGCGTGATGGCTCTAACAACGTTGATGTAGCTTTTAGTATGAAGGAATGTTTCATGATCTGGAAGGATTGGAAGTTTGCTCTGTGGTGTTTACTTTGCTTTACCTATCCCGTCGCCTTCGCAACAACTTCGAACTTTCTTCCGCAGATCGTGCAACGTCTCGGGTATAGTGTCGTCAAGACTAATTTATGGACTGTCGCCCCTAATGCCGTCGGATTTTTGGTTCTCCTCGTTGTTGCGAAGTCATCGGATTATTTTCACGAACGCACTTACCATGTCTTTGGTGCGCTTTCCACCTCTCTTGTGGGAATGTTAATTCTCATTACTATCGATGTTCTGAACCACAAGGCCGTCGCGTACTTCGCATGTTTTCTTATGGCTGCCGGCTCTTATATTCCTTCGTGTCTCGTCCAGTCTTGGCACAACAACAACAATCTGAATGAGAATAGCCGTGCCGCAACGACTGGTCTCCTGGTGGGCCTAGGCAACTTTGCGGGCATTCTCTCGGCGGCCACCTTCCGTGTCGAATATGCGCCGAAATACATACCCACCCTTATCACGACTTGCATTTGTAACGGCATTGCTATGGTCTGTGTGTTGATCTTAGGGTGTTGGATGAAGTGGGAGAATGATAGGAGAAACAAGGCCCAGGGTGTGAAACTATGTGCCTTGGATGTCGATACATCCGATTTGCCCGATGGAGAACAATCTCCTAGATTTCGATACTTCACTTGAGATGGATTCATGGGCCAAGTTGGGCGTTTGACAGCGTCAGGACCAATTCGACTTATAGGAAATTACACTTAACCTTTATAACGTGACAATGCCTGTCAATGCTATGATTTGTTTCTGTAGAGTTTAAGATTTTAATCAGCCTTGACTGCACGTGAGGCGCTTTGAGCTCCGCCGGTGGAGATGTGGTTTTAGCTAACAAACGACGCTCTTCAAGAGGAGCTAAGCAGTTGCTTTGGCTTGCTCAGGCTTCGATTACCTTAACTTGGACTTTCAAGGACTTGCACTCTCAGTTGTTGGACTAAACGCAATATTTTTTAATATTTCTGGTGGATAGTCCTCTCGTTTCACTTGGCCTACGTAAACCGCGTACAATAATCATCTAGGACTTCTAGACTAATTAGAGGTCAATTTATTGCTATTTCGGAACGCAAAAAGATAATTAGCAAACATATTTTGATGAGAGTTTGCATTTCGTTCTCCTTCGTTGGGATATAGATCACGAGAAATTTTGAGTATCAAGGATATTTGCCGCCTTTTCATGATCTATTCTCCACTTTTCTGCCTTCAAGAGTTCATATACCGTGCTCAATATCGGTGTCGAAACAGAATTCTCCTTTGCCTTTCTCAATGGAGTACCCAACAAAACTTCAAGCTCCATAGGCCTATTGTTCTCCAAATCTAGGAGCATACTCGGCCGGTATCGGCAGTCATTGGATGACCGATAGGCATAATGATGTATCATCTCCTTGGCAGGAGCATGTCCCACAGCTTTAGCAATTGCGTAGACCTCCCACATGGCAGGTATCAACAGGGTCTCCCTCCCACCTGAGGACTGCAGTTCTCCAACATCCATCTTCAGAAGTGTGCAGAGTGTGTTAAAAGTACTGTTCCACAGTAGCTTCTGCCAACGTGCAACTAGCATATCCTCCGTGAATGTACATTTGCCACTTATTGTTCCTGGTCCCACAGTACCAGCTGCATATAAATCCACAAACTCGCACGTTTTCTGGTGCTGCAAAGCTCTGTCCATTCCATCATGAAAGTGTGTTCCAATTACCAGCTCGTCTGGTCCGTCATGAATGATGCAATTTTCACCATTTACCCGTGAGCCAATCATGCTGATGCCGGATATGACAGTGTTGTTTGGAAAGGCTGCAATTATTGGAACCTCGATATCAAGGCCATTCTGAATGAGCACGATAGAGGTGTGTCCTGGGGAAACAGCAGGCTTGACTAGCTCGGCGACGGAGTAAGCTTCCGGGAGCTGCTTTGTAGTGATGACGATGAAGTCAAATGGTTCATTGGGCACGACGGCATCAACAATGCTCGAAACGACTATTCACCGGATCAGTCAGCAATTGAGCAGTTTCACGTGGTAGGCGTTCAAATCAACTGTTCAAACCTGTATCTTTTCGAATAAATATTGCTTGACCATCCTGGACCACAAAGATCCTAGGTATTCACAAGCCTCTTTAAAGGATAGAAGAGAGAGAAATCATTGATACCAACGGGAGAAGAATTCTAAGTGAAAAGAAACCAACCTCTTGTGGGCCTCCAACCCCTTAACCACCCATGATCAACAGACTCAATATCCCAGCCTCTTTCCTTAATCACCGCAAACTTACTCCGCAGCACAGAAGTAACCTCTGCGCGTCCGGATTTCTCAAGCACGAGACTTGCAATTGTGCCAACACCACCACTGCCAACTAGGCAGATGTTTCGTTTTCGTTGATTTGGGATTGAATTGAGAGTGTTGCCATGATCCATCATCACGGGTAAATGATTAGAAAGATCGTTGATGATATCAAGGGCAAAAAGGAATCAGCGGGAGTTTATGTAAGGCTAGAAGTTTATCGCCATGGTAAAGAGTAGGGTAAAAGCAGGGCTGAAAATGAACCTGTCTTGGGAAAGCACTGAAAACTAGGCTAAAACACGGCAAAGGAGCTGCTTCTAAGAGGAAGGTATTCCCGAAAGTAAACATTGTACGAAACGTGATACGCTATCCCATATTTTGTTTGATTCTCTTTTTGGTTGAGTTAATTGCTGAGAGTTAATCGCCGCTCGGTCAGCGACGTGGTTGGTTCTCCCTATAAGCGGTGAATCGAGCGGACATTCTCCGCTTCTTCGCAACAAAAATTCCTAAGCTCTGGAAGCTTTTTGGTATCCACTAAAAGCTTGGGGTGCAGGTCGTTGATCAATGGCTGTGAAAGCACTTTAGACTATCATCCTGGACAGATGGACTTATCTTCAATGGCATGACGATCAGTCGATTGAAACTTGTCTAGGCTATTCTTCAATTATGGGCAATTCTTATGGTTTCAAAGTTTGAAAGGTGCCTCCGATTGGGCCGCGCTTAATCCTCGGCTCGACTTTTGATTTGGAGTATAGCGGCTCGAACTTCCCTCCTCTATCTTAATGTACTTGGTTTGGCGACTTCTCACAAATCGCCGCCACGGCTCTGACAACCAGCCAAGTTTACTTTGAAAGTCCTCCCAAGAACCATACATAATGATGAATCAACTAATACTCCGATAGATATGGGTTTCATCGGGCATGTGCTCGCATTAAACAAGGTCCATCGCGAAGTAGCGGGGTCAAGTTACATAGAAACAGTTTCCAAAACTTTCACATTATCTTCCTCAGTCCAGCGGCTTATTATATGAAACTCGGCCATGGCCCTGGACGTAGGTTGTAATGGCTGTCAATGAGAGGAGGTTCATTATCTCCGGAGTTATCGTTCATCAATGGTGGGGAGCGGACAATACTCCGCTGTGCTCCAAGAGGGCGGACTATTCTCCGCCACCGCCACGTTGACGGGGTTATATGCTTGCCAGCCTCGGAAAAAGCCAAGTATTACTCTCTGAAGTTGTACGGGCATTGATAACATAAGCCGCATCTCAAAACGTCAACTTGGACAAATATATCCTCAACCATAAACTTCATGGCTCAACAAAGCCAACCCGAAGACTTCTCGCTCCTCGACGCAAATATCTCCGAGCTCCAATCCGCCCTTTCTTCAGGATGGCTCTCTAGCGTGGACTTGGTGTCACGATACCTGCGACGAATTAGCGTTTACGACGCGAATGGCCTAAAGCTCAGCGCCATCCCAATCCTTAACCCATCCGTCCTCGACGAAGCAGCCGCCTCCGATGCCCGGCGCGCTACTGGTTCACCACCTCGTCCACTGGAGGGTATTCCATACCTCGTAAAAGACAGTATAAAAGTCAAGGGCATGACCGTTGCCAGCGGATCACCTGCATTCGAGACGCTCATCGCCAACGAGGATGCTGCGTGTATCCAAAGTCTCCGAGAGGCCGGTGCCATACTTCTGGGTCGGACGAACATGCCTGCGATGGCGTACGGCGGTATGCAACGCGGGTCTTATGGGCGTGCTGAAAGTCCATATAACAACACATACCTGGCTGCGGCGTATGTTTCCGGCTCATCGAATGGATCGGCCGTCGCAACTTCTTCCAACTTTTGCGCATTTTCTCTCGGCACCGAGACTGTTTCTTCTGGTCGCTCGCCTGCGTCTAATAATGCTATTATTGCATACACACCTTCCAAAGGCCTTCTTCCTCTCCGCGGTGTCTGGCCGCTCTACCCGACCTGTGATGTCCTGGTGGCTCATACCAGAACTATGGCAGACATGTTCCACGTTCTCGACATTCTAGCCGTTTCCGATAAAACCCCTTCAGGGGATTTCTATCAGGAACAGAAACTCATCTCACTCCCTTCAATCAATACACTACGACCAAAGTCTTTTTCTATATTACAGGATGGCACTTCCTTGCGCGGGAAGCGTATCGGCGTGCCATCAATGTACATCGGAGGCGACCACTCCTCTCTATCCCCGGCTAGCAAAGTAAATACCCGGCCCTCCGTTATCAAGCTATGGCAGCAGGCTAGAACGGTCCTCGAATCCTGCGGTGCAGAGGTGATCGAAACCGACTTCCCGCTTGTGACAATCTACGAATCGAACGCAGATAAGGGCCTGCTCGTCACTGTCGCAAATCTACCAGAAAGCTGGCCTACGTTGGAGAGGTGCGACCTGGTTGCCCATGTCTGGGATGACTTCCTGATCAACAACGGCCAAAAGGGTCTCGAGTCTCTTTCTCAGGTTGATCCGACAACTATCTTCCCACCCGCCCCGGGGTCATTGAATGGTGCGCCTGATGCGGCTAATGCGTTGATGTGGGATGAGATGGTTAAATACCCGCACAGGAGGCCAGCGTCTATTTTTGACATCCCGGGGATTCAGCAGGCAGTCCAGGCTCTTGAAAATGCGCGCAAGGAGACTCTTGAAAACTGGATGGATGGGCTTGGACTCGACGTTGTAGTATTCCCGGCTAATGGTGATGTGGGAGCTGCTAATGCGGACGGGGATGAAAAGGCCTCGCAGTATGCCTGGAGCAATGGCGTTAAGTACTCGAATGGGAACAGGCCTATGCGTCATCTTGGTGTGCCAACTATCTCTGTCCCCATGGGTGTTATGAAAGATACCGGGATGCCTGTGAATCTTACCTTTGCTGGGAAGGCATATGATGATATCAGCCTCCTTAAATATGGCTTTGCCTTTGAGAAAGCGATGAAGGGCCGTGTTAAGCCACCTCTCGTCCCTGCTCTTGAATCTGATTGCGTTAAGGTTGGCCGAGATATTCGGCCATGGACTTCTCAATCGACCTTTGAGTTAATGGTGGATACTCATGTGAAGAAAACTCACGGCGCTAAGGTGGTTGTTCAAATTCAGGGATCAGTTGTCCCCAAGGATACCCGTCTAATGACTTTGGAGTGCTATGTTAACGGTCAGCTGTTTAAGCCGATCGTAGAAGGCGAGAGGTGGTTCCTCGTAGCTTCCTATCCCACATCGGATCGTGATCAATTGTGGAAGAGATGGTCGAGTCCTGCATTGACACAGACAATTGTGATCATCACAGCTCGCACAAACCCTGGCTCGACAACTAGCAAGTTGATCTTCTTGTAAATATCTAGTGTCGCCATAAAATCGAACTCTCCTCTCCAACACTCGCTTATGTAGCACGCTTGAAATCAAATACAAAATTCTCAGTGTTTACATGATCTCCATGAAATTACCCTCTAATAACTCCTGCTGTATAGTCCCACAATACACCATGTCTTCAATCATCCCTAAGTCAGCTCGATGCAAGTTACGGTTCTTCAGCTGCTCCAAGTTCAACTCAGCCGCTTCAGCAAGACTAGAGCACTAGATTAGATTTTAAATTTGCCAGCATTCCACAAGGCCTTTTGGCGAATGAACTCGAACACATTCATATACGGCATTGCGTCCCTCCAGCGGCTAGCCATGTCAGCCAAATTCGTTGCACGTGTAGTAGCAATGGCTTGTTAATTTGGTGATTGAATTTGCGATGATCTACATAGGGTTCGTTCTATCTATCCGATAATGATTATTCGGAATACGAAACAGATGATGAAAATGTTGCGCAGGTCTTTGCTTCTTCGAATATCTTGGATACTCGAATACTGGTCCCTAAAACCACGAAGAGGTGCCTGCACATCGCTAGAGGCCTTGTTCTCGCAGCAACCCCCTTTGAGGGAGTTTGTTGACGTAGAGCTCGTCCTGCGAAGCACCTTTTTACACTCGCGGGGCTCGGGGCAGCGAAGGAGCGCATTTTAAAATCACAGGGCTCATTGGCTGTGAGGGAGCACATTCTTATATCCCTGGGCTCGGAGCAGCGACAGCCGAGGCCACGGAGACTCTCAATCCCGCAGGCAAGAGAGGGACACCATGACACATCGGAGTGTGAGGACCGAAGTCCTGATTCTTTTGGGCTGGGAATCCGGCCCCGGGTGGTGGATTGCGCAGATAGTAGCGAGAATCACTGTCTCGTTGATAGGCGTTGAAGTGGTTGAAAGGACGTTGAACTGGTGTCTGGAGACTTTATAGCCTGCATACTCAAGTTTCGACCTGGATTTATTCCTTTCTGAAACCTGCATTGAGTGTGGTGAACCACTTTCATCAACTGTTGAAAGGACAGTAACGCCGCAATTATATTATTCCTACATATGTATCATTGAATTTGCAATTAAATCGCTCAACGCGGTGGCACTCTACACCTGCCCATTTTAGCCACGTCACCGTCTCTTTCATGAGGGTTGAAGTGCTTCAACAGATGCCGAAATAATTGGTTGGGGACTTTGTGGCCGACAGAAATGCTGAGCTGTACCCGCGGTTGACCGAGAGGACCCTTTGGTCTCCCTAGAATCAATCCTGTTCATCCTTGGCCCCGCGCCGCTGAATGATGTTTCTTTCCTGTCTAATCGTAGCCAGGTAATGTTGCCTTTACTAGAATCTTTACTCCCTGGCCCCGCAGGAACTAACATACTCTTAAACTCAGGATGAAGATTTTCTTTGTTTTCGAGGGCATAATCAAAGTCCAGACCTTATTGGAAAGCCTTTCATAGGAAACCGAGCCTAGTTTCCCGGAAAACCATATGCACTGTTGCAACCAAGACTCACGAGCTATTTTCTTGTGGTCGCCACCCCTCGTAAGATTGCAACGCTACTATCACACTGATGAGACCCTGGATACAAAAAGCACCTGACGGACCAATCAAACACCAGGCGCGAATTTAGACAGACGCAGGTACGGGGTGCGATGCAGATCTCAGCGACGACCCACGGGACCGGAGCTCAAGGAGGTTCTATCTGTGGTCTGGAGAAGAAATTAGAAGGGTTTGCAAAGGTCCAGACACGATCCACAAGCCTGAACTTGACGGGCCGTCAGCGTACCGATGGAACAGGTCTTTGTTGCTTAGGAGGTCGGTTGGGGCAGGTGAGGTATTTGGAATATCACACATACTTTTGGCAACAGAGATTCGATCCGTGGTCGTGTTCTCCTAGTTGCCATCGCAATAGCCTGACTGGTCCTCCGTCGAATGGGAAGCTGCTGCTTTTTCTAACTGGTCTAGAGCGTTCTAGAAGCTATGTATCTTCTGCAAGAACCTCCCCCTAATGAGTAAACTCTTTGGCACTCGACACTTCCTCTGCCTATCTGCTCCAATTTGATCGCCTGTCTGACAACTCTAGTAGACAGCGTATGAAAATCTATGCTTATCATCGACACAATGGCTTACGTAAACAGGTCCCCGCCTTTTGCACTGAAAGCCGAGAAACCGATTGGCTCACGAAAATGACAGAAGCTGTCGATTGCTTTCCGGACGATCATGACCCACCGAGCTGTGGGTCCTGCGCTAACCATTTTCAGCGGCCACTGAATATTCTCCGAGGCTGCACTTTGGCGGAGCGAAAGTCTAATCAAAGGACTAATCGGCGCATATTTTTATCTTTTACTATGTCATAAGACTGTGGCGGTACTAGTGAAGATTATGTCATGAGCTATCTATATGCGTAGTGGTTATAGAAAATCGACTATGCGGGTCGCCACAACTGGCAGAACGGCGAGATCCATGGAGAACTCAACACATGAATTCCAACTCGACTGCCATTTAGAAAGAGCTTGATTAAAGCGTTCGATTAAATCAGCGGGTAGGCCCGGCGATAATCCCATCAAACAACGAGATCCGTGTCTTTCAAGCCAAATTTGCTGCAAGTTGAATGTTACGGTTTGAAGACTTAGAACAATATATGCCGCGAATATTGTTCGCCGGTATACTTCCTATTGACACCATGTCTCTCATTCAAAACCTGAGCCCGTGCCAGTAGCGTGTGCCAGGCTTCCTGAACGAGCACAGCTAGTTGGCTGGTCATAGAAAAGGCGTCATATATCACCGGCGGATCTACCCACGACGTGAGCTGTATGAGAACTATCAGGGCTTGAGCAATCTCGAGGTCTTTGAAAGTTATGAGATTTTCGGATATTGACTCATTCTGATTGATTGCATTGAACCTGGGAAAATCATCACAAGGAAGTTTGGCATAACTGCGATACTTCGCTATGAGATTGCGCAGAGATTCGGGGTCGCCGCTGTTCGAATTTCTGACTGATGGCAGCTCTTGCCGCAAGATAGAGGGAAATAACCCTGCGGGTGTTCGAAAGCATAAAATGCCCCAGCAGTGGCGATAGCCAAAGGAAGCGGAGAAGACATACCATTTGGCGACGTAGTCGGTAAGTGAAGAAACGGTAAATGTGGATCAAAGCCGCGCAAATAATTTGACAGATATCGAGAAAATGCAGATCGGCCTGGAAACTAATATCCACTTGGCTTTGCGTCTGTCAGCTTCTTGACTTTGACTGACAACCTCTCATAAGCCTGCGCAAATATCGTCCAATGTTCGATCTTCCATTTATTGTCAGAGAGATAAGTCTTGTGTAGAAATAGATCAACCTGGTCATTTGGCTTATCCTGGTGGGTGCCTGTGTATGGTGCTTCCCCTGTTTTCGGCTGGGCTATTGGAAAAGTCTCAAGATCCCTAGTCGGGATTAGAGTGTCTGTCGAATTTGCGTGGAGTATGTCATTAATGTAATATTCACCACATATACCTTGCTCAGCCGGCGGGAATTGGTTATAAAGAGACGATAGGGCGATATCAAGGTAATTGTTGTTTGTGATTTCGCCCAAGGAGAAGTCAAAGCCTAGGGAGAAACATTGGATGTTATCGGATATTCCATTCGTCATTCCTATACTGCCATCGACTTGATAATTCTCGCTGATATGGTTTCTTGTGTTGACTGAGGGTTCTAGAACTAAAAAGTCTTCCATGAAATCATCTCGAAGATAATAACCCGGTGGATCTAATCAAAAAGGGGGACTGGATGTGCCTGAAGTCCTGCCACCCTGTGCAGTTTCACTGGGAAACCCTGATGCCTCGTTTTCTAAAGTGGACAGCGAGCGCTGCTGGGGATCGGCCACGAAAATGAAAGGTGTCGGAGTAGCAAGCTGCATCGGACCAGCAATGGATTTATTCAGTTGGTGATCTTCGAGTAGTTCTTGGTCAGTTTGTCCCCAGTGTGCAAGTCGGGTGTGGCGACCAAGTAAGCCCCTACATCAGGTCAGGAGATGAACCTGGGTAGTAGGGAAGAAATGCCGCACTGTCTGGAAAATATCTTCCAGCGGAAGCATTTAAAGGGTCGCTCCTGAGTATCTTTAGGAATATAAATGTTAGAAACATGGGCGGGTGGACTGAAACGTTTATGACATACGAGTGTGTAGATGACGTTTAAGGTGCTCCTGTCGCTTGAAATGTCTATCGCAAAATGTGCAGGGTGGTACAAGGAGCTTCGGTCGGCCTTTCATGACAGGAGTGTGATGGAAAAAGGTAGTAACAAACTCAATTGACTCGATTGACTCAAATCTCATTTTGGTGAGTTACTAGATTTAAGTAGTTGAGAAGCTGGGGTTGAACCGGCTGTCCGGCAACCTTGACATGGTCCGGTGGTTAGATAAGCACCTTTACGACCTATAAAGTTTCGAATACCTACGGAATCACCTGTAAACTCGGTACTAAACCTTCGAGTAATGAGGGGCTGCCTGGTATTAATCGTCATTTCAAGACCGACTCCTATTACCTGGGTAATCGACCTTTTATAGGTTCTTGTATTTTTTACCGCGCTGAATTCAAGTACATCAAGTTTACGGCTCACACTATTTTATAAGCAGAATCGTCAAATAAAAGCAATTATCGAGCCCAAGAATCCTCACAAGGCATCATTCTAGCTTCTAATGTAGCCTCAACACCTCGCGCTAACTCCAAAAGATGCTGCTCTTGATACTCCAGCCCGAGAAGCTCAAGACCCACGGGTAGCCCGTCTTGTGTGAATCCTGCTGGCACACTAATCGCTGGCAGACATGTCTGGCTCGAGAGGAATGTGTTCGTAGGAAACTTCAATGTTTCAATCCGGCCGTTCGTGGCATCTTCAAATCGCGGCGGAGGGATTTGAAGATCAGGAAACACTAACGCGTCTAGGCCAAGGGATGCGATGAGACAGTTTATTTTTCGCTTGAGTTCATCTCGTGCCAATAAACGACCCGCGTATGTGGGTTCCGTGGTCGGGTCCTCAGGGCCATGGGCAGCAGCACTCAAAAGGTCTAGATAAGGCTTGTTGGGCGTCCGCGGCACAATCTCCGCAATGTCTGCTGGCAGATGGGGCTTTGTAGCAAGGAAGGTGTTGATATCGATACGGGATCTGACGCGGTATGTTTGACTATAGATCATGTAGTGTCTTAAATCCTCGATGTTCACATCCACAAAAGTCACACCAATGCTTTTCAGCTTTTCAAATGCGCTAGCGATGACTCCATTCACGGCCCGACAACTGAGATCATCATCGGAACCGAAGAGCTGTCTCACAACTCCAACTTTTGCTTTTCGAATCTTTTCCAGTCCGTTCTCGAGGAAGGCTGTATACCTTCCTCCTTTAGGAAGTCCCATGGCGGCGGCAGTCGCCGCTAGGCCGGTGAAATCATCTTCAGGATCAAACCCGACCATGCAATCAAGCATTGAAGCACAGTCCCAAACGCTTCTTGCCATAGGACCTGGTGTATCTTGTGTCTTGATCAATGGACAAAACCCGGTTCGGGAAATAAGACCAGGGGTCGGCCGGATGCCAACAAGGTTGCAGAATGACGAAGGCACTCTTATAGAGCCCCCAGTATCCTCACCAACTGCTAGAATTGCAAAGTTTGCGGCTAGAGCTGCTGCAGAGCCACCAGAAGATGCACCGACATCGTGACTGAGGCTGTATGGGTTCTTGGTGAATTCGTAACCGGTCGCACCGTTCGCACTGAACCAGCAGCAAGCCCACTCTGAGGTCGTGGTCTTGCCAAGTATCACAGCCCCAGCTTCCTTCAATTTAGTAATGACAAACGCATCCTTTTCGGGAACATTGTCTAGTGCCACAGCAGAACCATATGTCGTCACTATTCCCTTGGTGTCGGCCTAATGTGAGGCATCAGCTCTATGGTACTTTTCTTTATATGCCTCAGTGTTTGCTTACCTGATCTTTGACCACGACTGGAATGCCGTGAAGTTTGCCTTTGAATTTGCCAGTGTTCTTAAAATACCGATCCAACTGAGCTGCCTCTTCGAGGGCCGTATTCGACAAAGCCATCATAGCGTTGATTCGAGGGCCGACTTTATCAAATGCCTCAATGCGTTGAAGGAAGGCCCCAACCAGATCTGTCACCGTGAAGTCACCTCGCTTGATCCCCTCGTGGGCTTGCGTAATACTCATTTCTTGAAGTACAACCATGTTGGAAACTTTGGATAATTGGTATGACAGCGGATCGATTTTGTGTAGGGTAGAAAGTCTTGGTACATTCGAAGACTTGTGAAATTGTGATTTTCATTCCCTTGATAATAAACACACATTCTTATGGCAAACGCTGCTGCGTATCTTGTATTTGTAATACCTGGTCGTTGCAGCTGAGGCATTATTGCTATTGATCCATGAAATCCCAGCGGACTAAATTCCGCATACGCGACAAATAATTTGCTTATGCTTTGGTGGCGGAGCCTCCACGGAACGATTAGCCCTGGAATGCTATTCTCGAAGGTTAAACTATAAATTTCGGAGCTAAAGAAGAGCCGTCACTTGCTTAGATGGCCGACCCGGGCTATTCTCCCAATAGGTGCGTGCTTCTACTTATCAGGCCACTAAGTGGGCTTCTATGGGATAGTCAAACTGTAATTGATCCAGAACTCTCTCTTAAACCTTAAAAATCCTGTCTGACGAACAAAGTCTTTTCTGTAGCAACCCTATAGGGAAGCAACGATCGATTTGGAATCCGGCACTCGGTGCATCTCCGGCGGGAATACCCGGAACTTTAGAGCTTATGTGCGGGGTCGATAGGATTCCTGAGGTTCTGTTAGGTAACCACATTTCACCAAGTGGAGAATAACGTTCACCAGGACTGGGTTGACCTCGCCAAACGCGGGTTCGGGGCGGGTTTGGCAAGACTTATGACTGGGTTAGCCCAATGGCCCACGTGAGTTGAGGTTTTTTTTAAAAAAAACACACCTCGTCAGGCATTTTGGACCGACTTATTCCTTACAAGATAATACGGAAGAATTCAACGACAACCAAGAATGAACCCCTCGGCACTGCAGAGAATCAGCATTCGATGGCTGCCCGAGCCAGCCTATGAGGATACCGAAACAATCGCTCTCAACGTTGGAGGCTACTTTGTTGATTTGAGGTTAAACAAAAACGATGCCACCATACAATGGAGTCGAGCTGGAGAAAGGATCCTACTCCAAAGTCACCCCCGTAAATTATCCCTGCCGCCTACTCGTATCCTTGCACCTATTCCGAGACTAACTGGTCTCCTAGCAACCTTCCGATGGACCCATATCATAGACTCGCTAGATCTAACCATTCCCGACGAGGCTTACTTCAAAAAACTGCCAAATGGGGACGATCTAGAAATTGGAACTACGCCTTGCCCTTGCAAAGATGGTGTTCCGACTGACTATGAAGAGGTGTGGAGGGATGTTACTTCGACGGATCCAGGAGATAGGTGCTGGATTCTACAGAGTGCTAATGGTATGACATTTTTGGGAAGGGTCGGGTCGAATTATCTGGCTATTCAAAAAGAGATAAATGGTGGATTTGCTGCTCGAAAAGAAGATTGGCTTGCTTCCGAGGGCTGGCAAGTCTCCTTCGAGAGTGATGCCTCACCCAACCTTCCTTTGGCAACCGCTGCAATTGAAGCGATGAGACAGAGAGATCTAAACATGGCTGCAGGGGATAAAATCGATGTTTTAGGTCGACAGTATGTAATTAGAGGCGTACAGAGGACTTGAGGCATATGTCCATGATGTCAGCTTCTAGTACTTGGTATGCACGGAGCATCTCAGGATAGTTTTCGAACAGCCTCCGAATGGGGGCGTTCATGACCAATTGATTAAAGTTTTTATTACGAGACCAAGCGTTGGGGTAATTGTCGTGCATCCGACTGGCTGGAGACCACCGCTTACCTCGGATATTCATAAAGAGGGTGGATATCCCCGGCTCGGATCCTTGTATCTTTTCGCCTTTCATGTCTCATGCGAAAGAACACAGACGAGTGTACCAGGTATGTGGGCCTTGACTCCTTAACCCCCCCGCATTTTCCCCTCTATCGATCCACTGACTCTGTGCCCAGGCTTGTGAGCCTTGTAGAGAGAAGAAAGTGCGCTGTGAGTTGGGATCGGCTGATTGTCCGAATAAACCACCTTGTGCGCGATGCCGCAGAGAGAGCAAACAATGTTTCTTTGCCTCCTCGCGGATAAGGAAGACTGCCAATCGGAAAGCCCAACCTCTTTCGCGAAAGCCCAGGTCTCAACCTGCGACTTTCTTTCCTGATTCGACACCTGTGCCTCACAACAATATTACTCCTCTACAAGAAGAGAACCAAACATTTCCGGGAGATGGACGTGCTGCAGCTGCTTTGCTTGAGGGTCACCCCCGAACCTATCATGACGCATTGACATTGCTATCAGAGGCGTGTGAGCACAGTGAGGCTCAAAAGGGGTCGACTGATGGCCCACCGACCAGCCCTCACTCAGGCTTCAACCCGAATCCCACCGACTCACCGCTTGGCATTCATACCGCTACTAGCAACAATAAAGGCACCAATGAGGCCCTTCGCGCCTGGTCAAACCTACGCTTTGTCCGTGGCGGGCTTTTCACAGCAGAGGAAGCGCTGGACATGGTGGATCATTTCTACAAGTTCCAGTCTGCCTTCTCGCCAGTTGTGCCGGAATACTTTCGATGTCATTCCCAACACCCGACGCTGATGGAGGAGGAACCCGTCTTGACAATCACCATATTGATGATTGGGTCGCGATACCGAAAGTGGACGGGACCAGCTGCGGTCGCGCGTTCCTATATCGTTCATGATCGCATTTGGAGATATCTACAGGGCATGATTTCACGATTGTTTTGGTTAGAGGATCTGTTCGTGGGTGAATTCCCTTCTCTCAAAGGGCCACGACCGGCATACACAGACAGTTGGTCGCATGGGTTCCGCACGTTGGGAACGTGCGAGGCATTGTTGTTGTTGCTGGATTGGCATCCTCGGGCTCTCCACTTTTTGCCCCCCCGATGAGGATACGTCGTCGATCGTGATCCCGGAGCCAAAGAGACCGCGCCAGAGTCCTGGTACTGCCGGAATTTACGGGCCTGGGTCCGGACATGACTGGCTCGCTCGATCGGATCGGTTGTGCCACTCCATGCTTTCCACTGTTTTGATGCTGGCAACCGAGAACGGAATTTTCTCCGAGGATAATTCTTTTTGGCAAGATGAAGCTGGGCACGACCATCTGAAGGTAGTTAGTGACCACGAGAGATTTCACCGTATACGGTGCTTGATATGGGTTTACGCGACCCAGCAACCGGGTCGACCAGGTATACACTTCTTTAGCAAACAGGTCCCATGCGATGCTTTTGAAAGATTCAAGCTAACGAAGAACATGGAATATTGCAGGACGAAGAAACCCAACCCCATGCACTCCCATAAAAAGCCCCGGCATTAGGAATGACGATGCAACGGAATGCTGGATGCGCGTCGCAACTATCATGAAGAATGCAAACGACCTTCTCTTCGTCTCACCGAGACATACAGGAGAAATCATTCGCAATGGACAGTACCTTCGAATTGTTCGCAGCCTTGGGCCACTTCTAAACGAATCACTCATCGAGTTTGACCATGCCAAGTGTATGTACCAATCATCCCATTGTGTGAATCAACGCTCATTCGAGTCTAGTGGCCAAGCAGACCCGCTATATCTTGAATATTGAGTACGAGTATGCCCAGCTCTGTATCTTCAGTCTCGCTTTACAGGCTGCAATCAATCGAAATTCCCGTGACGGTGCAAGTGGCAGACCGGAGAGCTGTTCACGAGGTGCTTCAACGGAAGAAGAGAAGCATCTAAGGGGAATTGTTACAGCCGCCCAGACTATACTAAGAACGGTCCTCGATGATCTACATCCCCATGGAAGTTTGACCTATATTCCCGTTCGATCTTACTCCAGGCTTCTCGGTGCAGCTTTGACTCTTCTCAAGGTAAGTCGCTCGTCATTTGTCTGTTCCTTTCTCCTTTTTTTTTCTTCTCATGCTAAAGCGTGGGATTAGTGTTGCGCCGCTGGCATCAACGAGATCGACATACCCACGTCCCTTGATCTAGTCCGGCGAGTCGCTGTTGGTTTTCGCAACTCTGCGGTCGATGATACTCACTTAAGTACGCGCTGGGGTGATCTTCTCGAAACCCTCGCTAGTCGGCTGGAATCGCGCCTGGCCCAACCAACCACACCCAAAGCGTGTAATGTGAGATTCCCATCGTTAACAACCCCGTCAAAAGATCACCCGGACGTATCTCAGGTCTCCCATGATACACAGCCATCGACAATACATTATGTCCCTCAAGATATACAAGTTAGTGCTGCTGATCTTGGACACATTGATTTTTTGGATCTGAACCGATCAAGTTCAGGAGATGCTAAACGTGACACGCAGTTTGATGCCTGGTCGATGTGGTGGGATGATCAAGTCTCCCAGGTGAACCTCAATTACATGCCTTGGTTTCCAACTTTGGGGCTAGTGGGTGGAAGTGATCCCCAGTTCTCAAATGATGCCGGTGATGGCATTTTTGAAAGTACTGGCCCACCTCATTGAGCATTGATTTACATTCCGTCTAGAAAGTCTGACGACATAGTTGAATATCCCTTTGCTGCCATCTTTCTATAGCTTTTTATACACCTTCTATCCCTCTTCCTAACTGTCTTTTTTCGGGTCTTTTCTAGCATTCTTTATAGTATAGCGGCTCATGATTCCTTATTATCGTTGTAGTGGAATGCTTTTAACAAGAGGTGTTTCCAGGCTTTTTAAACACAATGTAGCATCGCCAGGGAACACGTATATCTGCTGCTTGTATATGCCAAACCAAGTCATTCCCCTTTAAACCAACTGTGGCTCCGTTATGTAAATTTTTCTTTTCATTTTCCTGCGACAAGAGACCTCTCATGTCTTAGATCGGCTTGCCTTTGCCCACCATTTTCTGGCATCTTCAAATACCAGATTGAACAGTGCGTTTGGTCGCACGCAAGTCTTGTGTGACGACTTCTTATTATTGATTTTACAACGGTCTCATATTTGTGGGTCTTAAACTGCAGGCAAATAGAACCTCTCGGGTTAATGGAGTCGGCACGCCCCGGATAGTGCAGGAAAGCGGCTTGATTCCGAGCCGGGTCAGCTCCAAAATGTGGACCTAGTATTAACACGTACGAGTGAAGCAAATAAAGTAGACACTTATTGCAAGATCTAGAATGCTTAATTTTGATTGACGGATGGGTTTATTTTGTTTTCTTCGTTATCTTTTCACCTACTTCACGATTTCAAAAGACTTCCACGCCAGCACACCGCGGAACACCCCTCACACTCTCGTTACTGCCACTATCACTCATAAACAATCTACCGACAGTTTCTAGGTGCCATTATGGGACCTATCAAGCACAAAGCCCTAATCAACGTTGATCTGGGAGAGGGTTTTGGAAATTGGACAATCACTTCCGATGAAGACTTGCTTCCATTCATTGACCATGCCAATATTGCTTGTGGTTTCCATGCTTCGTATGTCTTTCTATTTTTCCTATGTCAAACTCCCACAATTGGAACAGTCGATCAGTCGCTAGAAATATTACGCGAAACAATCTCACCAGCATGGTAGCTTTGGCTCACGCATATCTCTTCGGGTAGTGACCCCCTTATCATGATGGAGACCGTTCGCAGCTGCAAAGAACACGGCGTGAAAATTGGAGCACACCCCGGTCTGCCAGATCTCCAGGGCTTTGGGCGTCGTGAAATGAAACTTTCACAGGACGAACTTACTGCAATCACTGTTTACCAGATTGGTGCACTCAAGGGGTTCTTAGACCGGGAGGAAGTCCTCCTTCACCACGTCAAGCCCCACGGATCGCTCTATGGAATGTGCTGCAGAGACTATGAGACTTCGATGGCCGTTTTTAAGGCTATCCCCAAGGGTGTCAAAGTGTTTGGGCTTCCAGGTACTTGTATGGAACAAGCCGCCAAAGATTTAGGACTCGAGTTCGTCGCGGAGTTTTATGCGGATGTCAAGTACAACGCGGATGCTTCTCTCTTGATCGAGCGCAAAAAGAAGTGAGTGCTTCATTCTTGTTTTTTCTTCCCCTGATATCTAATGTTGTCTTTGTTTCACTGCTGCAGGGCTTGGGATCTTGCCGAGGTCCGAAGACGTGTCACACAGCAGATAGAAACATGCACTGCTTTTGCAATCGATGGATCAACCTGTGACCTGCCCGTCAAGGATTACCCCATTTCCATTTGCCGTCATTCCGACGTTCCTGGGTGTCTGGAGTTGGTGAAGGAGACAAGAGGTGTTGTCGACACCCTTAATAAGGCGTACTTCCCCAACAACTAGACATATACATAATTGAATAGTCAATGGATTAAACAAATTTGTGACTCTTATACTTGTATTATCCGATCCTGACAAACATATTTCTGTTAATGTTTTCTATCATTCCGCTCCGCGCTCTTTTTTTCAGTCACGATACACCAACTGGTGCAAACCATTAGAGCTTCATAGTATTAAATGTACCCCAAATTCCCCAACGCAAGTGACCCCAAATGGCCAGTAAATTCTGATTGGCTACAGCTCAGATACCGGGAAACGTCGTTTGGAGTCGAACCGAAAGAAGAGGTAATCCGATTGGACGGCGCTGTCTTAGCTAACATCTTATCAATTAAACTCTTGATATCAACTCAATGCGGGGTAAAGGAAAGCTAGGGCTCCACTTGCGATAATGACTTGACTACGTGAGTTCTTATTCTGTAGCTAGCCAAGGCAGCTCAGCAGCGCGACTTGATTGGAAAGGAGCTTCGGCCAGTCTTCCCCAGAGTAAATAACCTTACTCGCTTTCTCATCTCCGGTCGTGGTATAAATCCTTCATTTCCACCCCCTATTATTTCTTGTCATACTCCCAGAATTCAGTTGAAGTATCAATTTCGCTTTAATTATGAGCCACTACAAAATCACAGACACGGCGGATCTCGCCATGCAGTCCAGCGTGGATCCCAAATACCCGAAGACTGAAGTAATCGAAGAGAGTCAAAGAGAAGTTTTCAACCACGAGAAATACCGTTCTCTGGGATGGTGAGATTCTGTAGTGTTGATTTTTGAGTCATAAGTCTCTGACTGCAAATTTACAGGATCCAAACAACTATCATTCTTGTCAAATTATGTTTCGCAACTGGTGTTCTTGCAATTCCATATGCATTTCAAGTCGTGGGATACGCACCGGGGATAATTTTGCTGATATTCTGGGGCGCACTGGCTACATGTGCGAGCTGAATTCTACGTACCTTCCCTTGTATTAGCTAACCGTGACATCTAGACTACGCACACATAATGTTTCGCTTTCGAATGAGATACCACGGTGTGCACAGCATTGCGGATGCGGCGGGGATCATGGGAGGGCCCATTGCTCGTGATATTACCGCTGGCCTCTTCTTGCTGACTTGGATGTAGGTTGTCTTGCGTTGGGTTGAGAAGCTCTCTGGCTGACGAATTCCAGATTGGCAACTGGTTCTAGTCTCATCGGATTGTCTCAGGGATTCAAGACACTTGCTAGCAATCATGTTTGCACTGTTCTGTGGACATTGGTTGCTGCTGTGTGTGCCGCATTAGTGGCTAGTATTAAAACGTTAGGAAGGCTGGCAGTGCTGACGTGGATTGGACTGACATCGATCTTCATCGCTGTTTTTATCGTTGTGTAAGATGAAGTCTCTGAGTATCGATTGAGTCCGAGCTAATAAAAATTTCTACTAGAGTCGGGGTTACACAAGTGGATAGACCTGCTGCTGCTCCACTAGAAGGACCATACGAGCTGAAGGTGATGGCTGTCGGATCACCAGGCTTTGTTGCTGGACTTACTGCGGCTATTAACTTATTTGGTAAGTCATACACACATGAAGGCACTAGCATCATTTTAATAGATGATAGCTGGATACGGGGCCACTCCGACCTTCATGCCGGTTATCTCCGAAATGAAATCTCCGAAATCTTTCAGCAAATCTCTTTTCTCATCCCAGGCATTTCTCGTAATTTGTTACGTCTCATTCGCAATTGTGGTTTATCTGTATGCGGCAATCACCCCTGGCTGAGTGAATTTGTTCTGATTTCCCTAGGTTCTGCGGGCAATATGTCGCAAGTCCATCGCTAGGCAGCGCAGGGGGCACAATCGAAAAGATTGCTTATGGAATTTCAATTCCTGGCTTCATTATGACATCTACCCTCTGGGTTCATCTAGCCTCAAAATTTGTTCGTGGTGTGAACTCAGTCAAGAAGCTCATGGCTGATATTTTTAGCTCCTCGTGCGAATCCTGCGGAACTCCAAGCACTTGCAAGATAATAGCATCACCCACTGGACTGTTTGGCTGTGAGTGGTGTCTGAATTCGAACATGAATAGCCTACTTCCGACATATAACTGATAACTTGGCTAGAGGATCGACAATCGGCATCAGCTCTCTTGCTTTTATCATTGCCGAGGCTGTGCCCTTCTTCGGTTATCTTATTGGCCTTATTGGCTCCCTTTGCTGTGCTCCAACATGCGTAAGTACGAGAATAAAGAATGAAGAATATATCTAACCAAGGAAAACAGTTGATCATCCCTGCTCTTATGGGCCTCTACATGTACTCCGAGGACAACAGTCATGGTATAATGTCAAAGGCAATTTGTGGTCTTCATATATTTACAGTACTACTTGGGTCTTTCTTAACGATTGCTGGTACTTACACAGTGGTGCAGAGTATTATTGACGCATACCAAGCTGGGAATGTGGGAGGGGCTTTCTCGTGTTCATGAGAGGGAATGGTGCTGGTAAGATAATATGTGTCGGATGTAACGAACCTGGCCTACACCGAACCAGGTCACGTGCACCAGGCCCCCATTTCATATATGCTACTACGTGAGAGCTTCTCTCTCTTCTTTTTTTCTCCAGCTTTATTACTTTTCGTCTAAATACTACTTGGTTTTCGACCATTTCGAGTTCTCACATTGTAATAAAGCTCTCTACGCCACCTACTGTCGCACAGATCTCTGTTCATCTGAACGCTGACCTCGACAATCGGTTGCGTCTAGGGCTCCGAAAGGAATAAAGGAATGCGAATATACGACATATTCATATTCGCGGAGTGCGAATATGAATATGTTGAGATAGGTATGTTAAATTGGTTAAGTTGACTATCTTGTTAGAGGTGGGGCTCCTCATCTATTTATCTGTCTCTTGATGATCCCCACTACATGCTTTGACCACCGTGATACTCAATAAAAAGTTCGCGAACTTCGAATCGAATTCGAATCGATCTCCAATTCGAATTCGTACGAACCGTTTATTTTTGTTGAAATAGAATTGATTGTATTGAATTTCTCATCTGTCTATCTCGGAGGTGGGACTCCTCATCTATTTATGTTTCTTGATGATCCCCACCACAGGGCCTTAGACCCCGTGATATTCAACAATTTTCGATATTAATTCGAAGAAACGAATCTTGTTGAGATAGGTATATTGGATTGGTTAAGTTGACTATCTTGTTGGAGGTGGGGCTCCTCATCTATTTATCTGTCTCTTGATGATCCCCACTACATACTTTGACCACCCGTGATACTCAACACTCCCACTCGATGGCAACCACTATCAAGAATGCCAGTGATCATCCAACACGGTGGTGCAAGGTCCCGTTAAAACCTTCAAAAAACCTTTAAAGGAAAAGAAGGAAAGGGTACCCCTGCGATTAGTCTCTGCTCGAAACCCGTGGGCCGAGAGAGGCGTCACTCAATGCCAAGCCCTCTCCGAAACCACTCAAATCGTCCTCGTGCAAGAGGCTTGGTGAGTCCATCTGCAATTTGTTCTGTAGTTTGGATGTATTGCAGCTCCACTGTTCCAAGGTCTTGAACTTCTCCTTGCCACTTGCGTTGGATTTCCATATGCTTCGTGCGGGAATGGTATTGTGGGTTCGACGAAAGGGCGATGGCTCCTTGGTTGTCACCGCAAATGATTGTTGCGGTTTTTCCTTGGCTCATGTTTAACTCATTTAGCAGTCTTCTTAGCCAGATTGCTTCTTTGCTTGCTTGTGTCTGGCCCAGGAACTCAGCTTCACAGGTCGAGAGGGCAACGACGCTTTGGCGTTTCGACTGCCAACTGATTGCACCACTCCCGATATTGAAGAGATATCCAGCTGTTGATCGTCTGGTGTCACGACATCCACCCCAGTCTGCGTCTGTAAAGCCTTTCAGCATCTGGGGCTGACCTTTGTACGTGAGCCTGAGGCCTCTTGTTCCTTTGAGGTACCGCAGGACGCGTCGGGCGAGCTTCATGTGCTGCGGCCCAGGATTTGCCAGGAATCTACTCGCCACAGACACCGCATACGCAATGTCTCCTCTGGTTCCAAGCATAATGTACATCAAAGACCCGACAATGCGTTGGTAGGAGATTCTTTGATCTGGAGGGCATCGGTGGTCTGGACTACACTCTGGGAGTGGTGAAGTCTCTATTGGTGTGCTGACGGGGGCGCCATCGCTGACTCCAAACTGATGAGCGACCTTGTCAATATATGCTTCTTGACTGAGGTACAGTATCCTGTTCTGACGGTCTCGCTGGATAGACATCCCAAGGTAGTAGCTGCACGGCCCCAGGTCTGTCATTTGAAAGCGATTTCTCAGGCTCCGCTTGATTCTCTTTATCTCTGCAATGCTTGGTCCCACAATGAGGAGGTCATCGACGTACACCGCGATGTACATATTGCTCCGCACGAAGATTCCAAGATCTGCGGTGATTGGCTCGAAGCCGAGATTGCGTAGGAAGTTTGTAAGGGTCTGGTACCAGATACGAGGGGCTTGCTTCAAGCCATAGAGAGCCTTGCGAAGTTTACAGACCTTTGACGTGCCATCAGCCATATGGTGAGGCTGCTCGACATAGATCTCGTGGTCTATATTTCCATACAGAAATGCCGTTTTGACATCCATTTGCTCGATCTCCAGGTCTAGGGCCGCTCCGATTGCGAAAAGGGCCTTGTAGCTCATTGGCTTGACAACTGAGGCGAAGGTTTCATCATAGTCAATTCCTTCTTCTTGTGTGAAGCCTCTTACTACCCATCTGCTTTTGTGACGGATTACTTCGCCATGTGGTCCTCGCTTGACTTTGAAGACCCATTTTCCGCTGAGGATTCTGCGATCCTGGGGAGGATCAACAAGCTCCCACGTTTTGTTTTGGTTGAGTGAGTTTACTTCTTCAAGCATTGCGCTTTCCCATTCAAGCCAGCTGGCGTCGTTCTTCGCTTGCTGCAGAGTCTTTGGCTCAAAGGGTTCCGTTTCCTCGGAGGCCAATGTTAAGAACGTTGGGATGATGTTCCCATTAGATATGTTCATTAACGCAAGCTCTTCTTCGCTATCATTAGAGGTTTCTTGTGTGCCCTGAGCGTCACGAATCCTGAGTTCAGGGTGATGTGCTAGTGTTTCCTGTCGCACTGCATGAATTGGACGGTCAAGTTGGGGTTCTGGATGTCGTTGCCATCCCCCGGAAACTTGTCCCTGTTGAGGGTCGTCTTGTTGCTGGTCGCCGTCAGTTGGTGAGTCACTTGTTTGGGCATTCTCTTGTAAAGTATCTGAGAATGGTCCGAATACATCGTCACGCTGCGTGGGCGACAAGGTCCTGTCTCCCTGTTCAGCAACAGGTGGCTGCGAGTTCTCGTCACTCGTTTCAGACGACGCAGATATTAGCGAGTTCTCGTCACTCGACTGAGTTAGCGCTCGCGAGTTATCGTTACTCGATCGAGGCAGTGTATGCGAGATATCGTTTCTCGACTTAGGTAGCGCTCGCTCTGGTGGTGCCATCGACAATTGGCGCCCAGAGGCGGGTACGGATGATTGCCGTATGCCTACCGACGGTTGATTTATTAGTCCCACCGTCTCACTCCCCCCTGCGGCAGCAGCCGTTGCCTCAGGTAAGCCGTCTCGTCTGGCTCCCACATCTTCTATAGTCCGTGTGGAGGGAGCTGTAAGGACTTCGTGAAATTCAGCATTTGGGGTCCCAACGATTCTTCCGTCTTCCAGTAGGATACGGTAGTTGGTATTTCCCTCATAGCCTAGCAGAATGCACGGTCTTGTTCGTGGTTCCGTGAGCTTCTTCCTCTGTTTTGGCGGGATCAGATATTCCCCTTTGGACCCAATCACTCTGAGTCGGGATAGATCAGGCTTGTCGCCGTACCATGCTTGGTACGGAGTCATATTGAGTTTTGATGACGGCGACCGATTAGAGAGGAAGGCTGCGGTTCGAGCAACCTCTGGCCAGAATTTAGGAGGTAGCCTTGCATGTGCTAGCGTAGGCCCAACCCTATCATAAATTGTCTTATGGGCTCTTTCGGCAACCCCATTCTGCTGGTGTTGGTCAACTCCTGTAACCTCAGCTTGAATTGCCCGTGAGAAGAGCATGAATGTCATTTCTTCTCCCACTTGCTCGGGTATCCGGTCAAGGCGTATCCTTCTACATTTTCGCTCAGGACGTTCGTTATGGTCGAGAAAGAAACGTAGTGATTCTATAACGAATTCTTGTCGTCGGGGTATCGGAATAATCTCTATCCATCCCGTGAAATCGTCAACGATGGTGAGCCAGTAACGACTCCCATCGAGGCCCTCTTCAAATGGCCCTGCAACGTCAATGTGGAGGAGTTCCATTGCGTACTCTACTCTTCTGCCCTTTCGCGACCGGCTGTGGGGCTTTTCAATCATTCGTCCCTGGAGGCATGGGTTACATGGTTGGCGTGGCTCCATATCCCGAATACCGTAGGCCTGTCTTTTAAGTCGTTGCAGATTTGCATCACTCATATGAGCCAGCCGACTATGCCACAGAATCATTTGGGGGCTAACATGGTAAGACGCAAAGCTGATATTCGTCCACAAATTAAGTGCGTAGACTCCATGGTATTGGCTTGCGGTGTAAAGGTTCTTTCCGGTTGACTTATTGCGAATAATGGCACCTTGGCTTGAAAATTCGACCTTTGCTCCCCGTTGGAGAAGTTGGAGTACAGAGACAAGGTTTGCGTGTGCAGTTGGGACATAGAGGACGTTGTCGAGCACCAACCACTTCCTCCTGCCTCGTACATTGCACAGGACATTTACTGTCCCAACTCCGGAGGGAATCGTCGACGTATCAATGCTTCGCAGTGGTGGCCCACGGTACTTGCTCATCTCTACAAATCTTGAGGCGTTATTACAGACGTGCTGGGCACATCCACTGTCAACTATCCAGGCGTCACGGATCGAGGGGGCTTTAATAGCCATCAGAGCGGGGACGTAGTCGAAAAGAGCAAAGTTGCCTTCAACATCCTTTCCAAATGTATCATTGACATCTTGTCCAGAGACCTTGGTCGACATGAAGGTGGGCTTCTTTGGGTCTTTCGGCCTGCCTGCGCCATCGTCTTCATCGTCAGTAGAGAGTTGCCTTTTCGGCGGTCTGCGTGCGCCCGTATGTGGAGTCCCTTGCTTTGATTTGTGTCTCTTTCCGTCTGTTCTCTGATCCTTCATTCCGGGATTCTTACTGAAGCATTCGGAGTCCACATGGTAAGGTTTTCGGCAGAACGAGCAATACGGAACATTATCAATCTCGATTCGACACCTGGTCCCGTCTGATGATGGTATCAGCCTCTTGTCACCTGGTCCTCGGATCAAGGTCAGGGCAGGAAGCGCTTGGGTCTCTGTTGGTTGTTTGCTCAATTGACCCTTCCTATGCTCTTCCTCGATTGCCTTATTCTCGATGTAGTCGAACGTGGGTGCCGCTTTCGTGATGTTTCCGTCTGGATCCCTCTCATTCACAAGATCCATTTGCCGGAAAATATGATCGCGGAAGCTCTCATATTCAAGACCTAATGCATGCACGAAAAAGAATGTTCGCTCAATCTCGGAAGTCACGCAGTCAGGGTCAAGCAAAAGTTTCTCAGCGTGAATCTTCCTTATCTCGGCTCCGAGGGCCTGGGCACTTCCACATTTTCTCTTGTAAGTGACATATACCGTCTCTGGAGATTCACGTATGTCCCAGTGCCTTCTGGTTTGAAGTTGTCCTTTACTGCTTTGAGGAGTGACTGAACTTGAGAGATCTCAAAGGCGTTGATTCTCTGTGCCGCATTGTGTGTCAGCTTCGCTGTAATCATCGCAGAGTAGAACTTTTGGCGACGAGTCCATTGCTGTGCCTCTTCGTCTTCTATCGGTGGCGTTGCTCCATCGTCGGCAACGGCAGATATCCGAATGAACTCATTGACCTTCTGGTTCCACTTAAACCAGTCGCTGGCATTATCCAGTGTCGGGATGCCATTGTAGAATGTATTCAATCCAAACTGCTCAAACTTCGCAAGGTCAGTCATGTTGTAGACGGTTGCTCCTCCGAGCTGAAGAATTCTGGGCTGGATGTGTCGTCGTGTAGAGTGGAAGCAACCGAATCACGATCAGATGAGTGGAGAGAACGCGCTTCTAAGCCAAATAGTTCAAGGCTTGATGCGACACTGGGAAGGCTCGAGACGATGGAGAGGCTACGATCTGATGAATTTGGCGTAGGCGTTCGAGATAGTGGAGTATAGTCTCTGTCTGGAAACCCGCACAGGTTTAGAGAGCGACTATACGATTTGGAGAAGTGAGGGAAACGACGCCAGTCAACTAGATATCGCGGCTCCTTTTGCGGGAAGGTTGATGGTCTGTTGGGCCGAAGCTTGTAGCGATTCGTATTATGGTTATTGGATAGTAATGGTTCGTCTCCAATCACAGGATCTGGCGAGGTCGAAATCGAGGCCCCAACGCCGTTTTCTGACTGAGAGAAAAAGCCAGAAGTAGGAGTATTATCGTGACTTGGTCCTTTCTCAAGGCTGGGACGTGTGGATTGAGCTTTGGGGGTACTCTCGAGAGTCTTGTATAGTGCTATGAGGAGTCGTAATTGGGACAGTGACCCTTGATGCTCGGCGTATGCGGTCTTCAGTGGATAAGCGCCAGTAGGCTCCCAAGAGTGCATTCGGTGAAAGTGTTGGAAAATATGACTTCTGGATTTGTTTGAAGCGCCAGCGACGAATGCATCGAAAATAGGAAAGAAGATTTAGCTCTTCATCTGTCCAAGAGTGTCTATTTTGTTGTTTTGCATTCCGCTTCGGAAGTTGAGCTGGCCTTCCCTGAGATCGAGATGGTGGCCCTGAGAAGGCAATTTCTGCGTTCGCTGTCGAAGGGGACATTTTTCAGCTATGGATTCAGTTTTGCGTTATCCTGTGCCAATGTGATATCTACAATGGCGATAAGGCAGCAGTGTGATAGTGTGACAGTGATAGTGATAGTGGGCTAGTGTCAGTGTGACAGTGACAGCGTGATAGTGTGACAATGTGACAGTCGCGGTGATAAAGTCCATCCGCTTCATTCCACCCAGTCGGTTTGTACACTGGAGCTCGACATTTTCACCAAGTTACTGATGCAATGTGGTCAGGTCCTTGAATTGATAAAGTTATCACTTGGTAGGGAGGCTTAGCTGTAAATAGCAGGCAAGGAACTGTCTGTTTAAATTTCTGCGTGCGCTCTAAGGTTAAGCCACCCGGGCTCATAACCTGTTGAGATAGGTATGTTAAATTGGTTAAGTTGACTATCTTGTTGGAGGTGGGGCTCCTCATCTATTTATCTGTCTCTTGATGATCCCCACTACATGCTTTGACCACCGTGATACTCAACAGGTTTATTAAGTGATGCTTCATTGGTCATATTATTGAGGGGAGTTAATTGTGTGTTGTGTTGAGTGAGTCATCTTAGATACAAGTAGACTGAGAAGTCAGGTATATATTTGTGCACGTGATCCCAGCCTCATTATTATCCCAGCAACCGGGATATTTTAACAGATCTGTGGACTACGAATGCGAATGCGAATATCTCGAAATGTTGCGAATATGTATTCGTGCCGACCCCTAGCCGCGGGCGCAGAGGTGCTTCGCAACATCCTGCATGGCTGAGAGCGTTTGGACCTGGCTCGGTGATCCAGGAGCCATCCTGGGGAGTGGTAGCATACCACATCCCGGTGAAGTCGATGAAGCTAACCCCAGAGACGATGGCCGACGTCGCAGCTGAACTGCTCAGGCAGAAGAACTGGGGCGAAGGCTCCAAGATCCAGTATCTGGGATGGCTGACGCGTCCAGGTGAAAGGGCGGAGGGCTCGATCCTGATCGAGTTCACCAGCCCAGTCGTGGCTAATCGCGCCATCATCACTGGGGTTGTGTGGGGAAGCAAATCCATAATGTCTCACGGTTCTGCCGCGAGGGGCGGATGAAGCTTTGCAGGAAATGCCAAAAGCCGGGGCATATCCAGTCACACTGTTCCAACGTCTTCAAATGCGGCCACTGTGCTGGCGGGCACCCGACCTGGGAGTGCCCGTCGACAAAGGGGCAAGCGATACCAGTCAAGTGTGCCAATTGTGGCGAAGGGCATCGCCCGACCAGCCGGGAATGTCCGGTGAAGATTGCGGCAATGAATGAAGCCAAACAAGCGTTGGCCGAATGCCCTACATATCACCGCGTACCTCTACACTTTCGGACTTCGATAAGCTCCGACAAGGTGACCACCTCGAGTAGCTCCAACACCACCAGACCAGACGGGATGGAGGCATCGATACATGCCCCCGAGAGTCAAGAAGAGGAGGGCCCTTCGACGGACCGCCCAGAAACTGTGATTGATCTAGACGCCGCACTAGAGGAAACAGAGGCGGCATCAGAAGAGGCTAATGAAGCCACTCAATCCAAACGAGGACCTGGCCGCCCAAAGGGCTCCAAGACTAGGGCAAAGGCTCCGAAACCACCAGTGATACCGCTGGCGTGCCAGCGGTCGACAAGGTTCCAAATGGCCTCCCAAAAGGCGACACTGGAAAAATCCAATTCCAAAAGACGACGCACAGGGGAGCCGGAGGATACCATGGATGAACAGCCAGATGACGACGATTGGTTCAACATCCAGCTCAACCCGGCTGATTTCCCTCAAACCAACACCCAACAAGATAGCCAAGAACATCGACTTTCTCAATTCGTCAATGAAGTGACCACCTTAAACGATGCGGGCAGCACACCAGAACCTGGTGACGAGGAGCTGGACCCGGAGAGCCCGGAATACCGCAAGCTGGTTGTCTTGAAATATAGACAACGACAGGCGCTACCAGTTGAATCGTCTCCTCCGGTATTTGGAACTGATGCACCGACGATCGAAGATGCAAATGACGAAGTATGGCACGAAACCAGCGAGCGAAGCGATGATGAACAACTCCACTCATGAAACCCTTCGAAATTCTTCAATATAACGTACACAAGTCGTGGCCAGTGATGGCTACGTTTCTCAGAGATAAAAAGGCTCTAGCAGCAGACGTCATTGCGGTGCAAGAGCCGTGGAAGAACGAACTACAACACACAACCCACCAACCAGCAACTGCATCATTCCAATTGCTGTACCCGACAGAAGGTGCAGTGCGAGAACAAAATCAAGATCAGCGCGAGGACCAGAATCAGGAATCAGATCCTCCCCCACCGGGAGTGTGTCTGTTTGTATCCAAAAAGCTTGACCCGAGCACTTGGTCATGCCAACTCATCTCCCAGGACTACCAGCTGCTGAAGCTCAGGAAGGTCTGCCGGGACAGAGACTGGACAGATCTCTTCATACACAACATATACAACAGGCCAGGCAGCAACACACTAGAGCAGCTGGGGTGTGAACTATCACAACGTCCTTCTGGGGAACACGTTGTGTTAGGAGATATGAATGCGTATCACCCGGTATGGGGAGGCGTAGGAACAAAAACTGACAGAGGAGCTGAGCAGCTTCTCGCAATCACCAATGAATGGGGACTCGAATTGACTACCGAAGAAGGCAAACCTACTTGGACTCGGAATGAGCAGTCATCAGTGATTGATCTCACATTTATCTCGTCAAGCCTGGTCAGCAGGCTGATCCGATGCGAAAGGGCGGACAACGTCGAGCATTCCTCCGACCATTTCCCGATCAGGACGGTGCTTGACATCAAAACTCCAGCTACTGTGCAGCAAATACGAAGGAATTGGAAAGCAACGGACAACAAGAGACTCGTCCAAAATATCGAGGAAAGTTTGCAGGCGAAGGATTTGTCCCGGGCAGACGCACAGCAAATAGAGGCTCAATGCCAAGAACTACTGGAAAGTGTACAATCAGCAGTTGAAGACTCAACACCATGGGCGAAACCATCGGCGTGGTCGAACCCCGACTTCGACGACGAGTGCAAGGCAGCAGTGAAAGAGGTCCGTCGTCTCCGCCGCAGACACACAAGAACGAAGGATCCCTACGACTGGATGCGCTACTCCCAAGCACGCAACAGAAAAACACGTCTGATCAAAAAGACCCTGTCACGAGCACACCGGCGCCGCGTCCAGCAGGTCATCGAGGATGGGCCGCAAGGCATGTGGCGACTAGCAAAATGGGCTAGGAATCGAGATGGAGCCTACGAGAAGGGCATCACGCCCTCGTTGAAGATCCAAGACCCCCAAGCACCCGGAGCTATCGCGGAAACAATTAAGCAAAAAGCGGAAGCTTTTAGGACTGCCTTCTTCCCGCAACCACCACCAGCTGACCTATCAGATACGGAATCATTCCAATACCCGCTACCGATCGAGTTCCCACCCATAACGGCTCGTGAGATAGAAGAAGCAGTAAGGGGAGCGAAAGCAGGGAAAGCGCCAGGGGAGGACGGAATGCCGAACTCTCTGTGGCATAAACTCATCGAAATACCCGTTGTACTGGACGTGCTTACTCAACTGTTCAACGCCTGCATACGCACCGGATACAACCCATCACATTTCCAGCGCTCAATCACAGTTGTCCTCAGAAAACAAGGCAAGAGCGACTATCAACTCGCCAAATCATACAGACCGGTTGCACTACTCAACACGCTTGGGAAGTTCCTGGAGTCAATTGTGGCACGAAGGATCAGCTACGCAGTAGAATCGGAGGCCTTGCTCCCCCGGACTCATCTGGGTGGTCGACGAGGCATATCCACTGATCATGCCATCCACATCATCATTGACCGCATCAAAACATCATGGGGCAGGGGCAAACCAGTCGTGTCTCTGTTATTGCTCGATGTCTCTGGGGCATACGACAATGTTTCCCACGCTCGCCTACTCCATAATCTCAAGAAACGACGCCTGGGACACTTTGTTCCCTGGGTGAAGGCCTTCTTGACCAACCGAAGCACGAGAATCCGCATGCCTGAAGGCATGTCTGAGACATTTCCAACGCCCACGGGCATCCCCCAGGGGTCGCCAATATCACCCATTCTTTATCTGATCTACAATGCAGATCTCATTGAGAACTGCGGGACAGCCATCACTAGCAATGGCTGGGTAGACGATGTCTGCTTTATGGCGAAAGGAGACAGCGAGCGCGAGAATATTGAGAAGCTCAAGACCGCATGTCGCAAAGCCGACCAGTGGGCCGAGAGACATGCGTCAGTCTTCGACCCGAAAAAGTACGCTCTCATCCACTTTGTGAACACCAAAGAGGTCGACCCACAATACCTTTCACTACATCTACGAGAACACACCGTACCAGCGACAAAGACAGCCGAGCGATACCTAGGCTACTGGCTAGATCCGAGTCTGGAGTTCCATCACCATCGTGAGAAAGCCGTGGCCAAAGCTAGCGTCTCTCTCAGAGCACTTAGGAGCTTGGCAGGTTCAACGTGGGGAGCCTCGCTATATGCCATGCGCAGAATCTATCAAGCAGTGATTATACCGCAGATGCTTTTTGGGGTCTCTGCATGGTATCAGCCTATGCTCATTAGCAAGTCCAAAGCTCAGGGAATCTGTCGGCCTTTTGTGGCCATTCAAAAACAAACAGCATGTCTCATTAGTGGGGCTTTCAGAACCACATCAGCCGAGGCACTGAATATAGAGCTTCACCTACCACCCATCTCGATTCACATGAATCGACTGGTGAAAGAAACGGCTCTTCGACTACGAACAGGACCAGAACTCGGTATACCGCCAACGATAGTAAGACGTCGACCGGCACACGAAAGAGACTGGAGTGGGTGGACACCAATGGAAGCGCAAGCCTGGAAGACGGGCGGATGTCTGACGGCTCTCCCGGGAACTTTAGCGAGACACTGGGAGAGTCGAAAGGCATTCGTCCTGGCACCTTGGCAAGCGCCACCGGAGGTGATCATTGACGACAGAAAGACCGCAGTGGAATATCAGGAACGGGTCATGGTACAGACATCAAAAGAGCGACCCTTGATAATATACACCGACGGAAGTGGGATCGAAGGAAGAATGGGAGCAGCGGTAGTGGTTGACCTCGAAGATCATGTCGCCCACAGTCAAATGGGCGACGAGAACACAACGACCGTGTACGCCGCAGAGCTACGTGCTATCGAGATGGCGCTGGACTCGGTCCTAAACAGTACCGAGCCCTGGGCTGCACAGGCAAGGAATGGCCTAGTCATCTTTGCAGACAGCCAAGCAGCACTGAAAGCGCTCCGCCGACCCCGTATGCCTTCGGGTCAAGTCTACCTGATTGGATGTCTAGACCTCATCCGCCAACTGGCGGAGCGGGGAATCCGAACCGAACTTCGATGGATCCCAGCTCACCAAGGAGTGCTGGGCAACGAGACCGTAGACCAGCACGCAAAAGAGGCAGCCCAGAAACCCGATGATCCACAGAATCCACACAATCGATATATCCGCCTCGCAGCCGCGACCAAGCGTCGATTTCGCCAAGAGGCAAAGATCGAGTGGGAGAGAGCATGGGCATCAGAGAAAACCGGTCGACCGACCAGAAGATTGATCGAGACACCGAGCAAGAAAACACTGGAATACTGGTCGGGATTACACAAAGCAACTGCATCCGTCCTGATGCAATTGCGGACCGGGCGCATCGGACTAAATGCTTATCTGGCTCGCATCAATCGGCGAGAGACCGCACGATGCGATTGCGACTTGGGCAACCAGACGGTGACACACGTCCTACTTGAGTGCCCGCTGCATCAAGAGGAGCGCGACGAGATGCGCAATGCCCTGTCTGAGCAAGGCATCACGCTCCGCCACGAAGAATTGTTGACGCGCCTGGAGGCGCGCACAATCGTGGCCGAGTACATGATCAGAACCGGTCTCCTAGGCCAGTTCCAGGGGCTGGATCCAATAGCTCTCGGGGCGGAGGAACTAGAGAAACAATGAGCCATAGGACAGTGTGACGGAAGGAGAAGAATATTGCCCGCTAGGAGTGCAGTGCCAGGTCCACTGGACTCCCTTGAGTCGAACGAGCACACAAGCGCCTGCTGGCAGCTGAGGAAGATGTGGAGAAAGGGGAGAGCTGGGGTCAGGAGCGGTGAAACTGGGGGTCCCAACGAAGGCGGTGAGGACCAGGAACGTTCATTTTCCTGCGGGCCAAGTGGTTGTGGTTCAACCGTTCAACACTTGCAGCCCGCTTTCTTTTGTCTTAGTTTATTCTACATTCGATGTGATCAGAGAAAGGTTTAGGGCTGTTGACGATATTGCCGATATACCGATATTGACGATACGATATCGACAGACGATACGATACCGGCTCTTTTGAATCTGTCGATGCCGATTGCCGGTACGATATCGGCGGGCTTCAAATTTGACGATATCGTCACTTACGATATCGTCATATCGTATCGGCATCGGCACATTTTCCTTTAGAATTAATTATCTAGAGAGCGAACGCGCTTTCGTCGAACAGCAGTTTCAGTTGACAATTTATGAATGCAGAACCGGACTATCGCGATGGCATAATTTAACCAAACCCCTTGACCGCTACCACTTATACCCATCGCGAATCAACATCAGCATTCGTATGGTATCCCCTTTCAAAGAATATCTCCGGATGCCTAGCACATCCCTCGCTGTGCTAAACACTCTCTCCACAGCAACTTCTGAGGCAGGTATCGCTAAATAGTCCCTGGCTGCTGCTGCCATCCGCGGGTACTCGCCCTTGTGCGTCCTCCACCAATTACAGAGCCAGTTTTGGCTGGTGGTATCTGCGACGCTGATCGGAGGGGTGTCGAAGTACTTATCAATATCTGAGAGCGGTGGATCTCGCGCCTGCAACTTCTTCAGCATTCTAGACTCCACATCACTATGCTTCAGGGAAGACAACTGTGTTGCAGTGGCATCATGTTCCGGGTTACTAGCCGTGTATACCTGATGGAGATTGGTGCGGATCGTTTCCAGAATCATTGTCCCTGCATTGCCATCTCGAAGTTCCCGTAAGACCATCTCGCCTTTGACTCGGGGATCCAAGACGAGGGCAGTGTAGTAGGCGTCACAGTCGTCCATAATGGAATAGTACTTTTCGTATTTCTTCATCCCTTCATTCACTGCAGCTATAATATCTCGATCCAGTTTTGCGAAGTCACCATTGCCCTCCCTCACGTCATCAAGCAATTCGTGTAGCTCATAGTAAATTGGGACTGCGAGGCTGATTTGTGGATTGCGTTTCGAAATGAACAAAGTAAGCTCATTGAACTTGTGGAGTACTGTGTGAATCTGCTCCAGTCGTGACCAATCTTGGAGAGTGAACGGCGGGAGTTCCTCCTGAAGGGTTAGGAACTTGTTGACTTGTTGCCTTGACTTCAAGCCATCGTCGATCATGCGAAATGTTGAGTTCCATCGTGTCGTCACATCGTATGCAACGAACTTGTCTGGAAGATTGTTGAGTCTGCAAATCTCCTTCCATTTCTGTCGGCGCTGAGGACTTCGGTTAATCCAAAGAGCGAAGACCCGTAATTTCCCTATAGCTGACTGATCGGTGATCGAGTCACCAGTCTGTAAACGGTCACAGGCAACTTGCGCTTGTTCCATCGTCCCTGACCCCAGGTTACGGAGGATATCTTTCACAATCAGATTGAGGACATGAGCCAGGCAGCGGATGTAGCTGTCAAGACCTCGATAAAGTGGTGCTTGCATTGCGTCTTCCACCCTAGGTCGGTCGGAAAGGGAGAAGTATAACTCCGAGGCCATGGCCTCATTGTTACTGGCGTTGTCGCCTGTAATGGAAATGAGCTTGTCCTCGAGACTCAACTCGATAAGCATATTTTCCACTGCAATTGCCAGATTTTCGCCACTATGAATGCCCTGGAGTTCGGCGAACTCGAGTAATCTCTCGCGGTACTCAAATTCGTCAGTCAGCCAATGACCAATTATCCCTAAGATAGGAAGATGGTTCTGGCTTGTCCAGATATCCAGTGATAAGGCAATGGTTTTGCAAGTCAAAGTCAGCTCAGTCTTCAGGTTAGTGCGCTGTATGGCGAACTCTTGCATACAGAAGCGCCCGACATCGGTTTCCATGCCGCGAACATAGAGATGCTCTTTCAAACCCTAATCACATGATACAAGTAAATAACACGTTCTGTACATACCAGTAATAATACCAGATCCTTTTTATAGATTGTAACACAGATACAAAGGCCTAGAATTAGAAGCCTGGAGTTTCTAGAGGTTTCTAAACAAACGTAACAAACACCGCAAACAAAGCAACATCTGAACTGGCCAAGTTGTCAACTTCCCCCTTCTGCATCTTGCTGTGGCTTTAATGCAGCGCTTGATGCTTCCTGGGGGTCCATCTGGGGTCAAGGTGATAGGCAAGTCTCAACAGCAAGGTTTAGTTTCGGGATCTCCACCATTGCTTATCATCATGCTGCGGGTTTCAATCTTATTGGATACCAGAGATGACTGGCTAACGTCTTACAACATAGCTCAGGTCACACCACTCGGCAGATATCCACGATGACCAATAATCCTTTTGATGACGATGCCTATCAAACTCAGATGGCCGACCGCTGGGACGGAAATTCAGATTATGCCCCCACACCTGGTAATTTCGCTCGCACGCCCGCCACTGTGTACTCTCCTAGCCCTGCCCCAGAGTGTGCCACGGACCAACTGCAGCCCGATTATCTTGACTTTCTCCCGTTGGCTGAATGGGAAGAAGGTGGCGAATATGACGAGCTGCCACCGAGATATGTCTCGTACACAATTGCATGGAGGCTTATACTCAACCGCAAAACGGTAGGCAAAGTAACTGAGGAGGACCTGGTTATAGCTCCTGGGGATTACTGGGGAAAGAGTTTACAAACAAACGTTGAAAACATGCTGCAAACAAAAAAGAAGCGTCACCAGCGAGTTAGATCGGAAGGCACGGCCATTACAGTCAAAGTGAACGAACGGTCGCAAGCAAACCTGGAAAAGTTTTGTAGTTCTACTAACATTGACTGGACCCCAGTGGAGAAGCAACTACGTAAATGGAGCAATCTACTTCGTATGGGCAAGAAGCTCACTATCGAGATCGCCTTCACTTACAGGGAGGATGATGAAGGCCATTCCATGCCTCCATCAAGAAATTTCGACAAGAGAGGACGTGTGTCTGCAACTAGCAGAATGTTAGCTGAACGCGAGGCGCACATTGTGGCGGAGGAAGAGGTCACTGGACAACCTGCGACCTGGGAACGCGTATACGAGCTCATGCGATGTAATGTCCGCTCGTGTCCGCATAAGTCTGATTGGTGCTGGGAGGACCCGAAGGACAAGAAACATTACAAACTCAGGACCCCGCATCTAGAGCGGCTTATCGACTATGTCGATGAGGGTGGCATCCTAGATGGTCATGACGATATTCCTGGTGATATTCGTCGAGACCTAGTCTTGGAAAGCCAAGCAGGGAGAAAGTCGAAAAAAGTTGAAGTGTCAACAACGGGAGTACCATATCCTCCAACAATTGTCAATGTTCTGCCGGCACAAAACGGTATTGCACCTGTAATCACTTCGTCTCCAACCAGGCCCTTATCCGAAGAGCGGCTGATGATTGCCGGGCCTCGTGAAACAGCTGTGAGAGAATACTGCAAATGGCTGGAGTCACGTGCCACTGAGGAGGCGTACAAAGCTGATTTCCGCAATATTTGCCAGGTGATTTTGGAGAATCATCTAGATCTTGAACTGATCCTCGAGGATCCAGACTCTGGCTTCTTCGTTCAGCGCGGGATTCGAATTGGGACTGCTCGTCGCTTCCTACGTGACATAAACGAGTGGGCCACTGCGAAGCGATCAAACGAATCACTTGACCAGTCCGCTGAATTAATTCTCAGCGGTGCCCTATTGACTTGATGGCTTTGTTTTCTTTGTCCTACCCCGGGTGTGGCTGCTCCCCCCCCCCCCCGAATTTCACCTACGTTTATTGGCTTTTTAGTTTATTTGCCTCTTAGGTTATTGCGTCAGTAGAGTAATGTTCGAATTCAGTTATGCCTCCGAAGAGTCATTATTTCCGAGAAATGGTGTCACCACCTATACTCGTTCATTGTTTCCTGATCCCTAATGCCAAGTAGCGCTATGACTTACTAAGAAAAGATGGGAAACATTAATTTTCTGGTTTTTTACAGAAAATAGATATTCTTACACAGCAAACTTACATACCGCATATCCATGTCTATATGGGGACTGCAAGTATATTGCTGAAACCTTAGAAAATGCAAACAAATCAAACAACTCCAGCAATGGTGGGTCTTGCGGATCCGACCACCTGTCATCTCCGTACCAAGCAGCTGTGCGAATGGCAATCCTAGCGCTTACTGAGAACCTAAAACCTTACAACCCCCGGGATGGTACAACATAACCATAAGGGTAATTTTCACAGTCTTTCATTTCCCTTTCATCACGAAATTAACACTGCTTCAGCTATCTTCAAGAGCTGGCTGTCCCCATCCTTTAGTCCATCCGGGGTGCAATACCTGCCATGCTGTCGCTCTTTCATTCGGCCGGAAGACGAGCATCGATCTAATCCATCTATCGTTCCCTTGCCACCCACAGGTGCCGATTCTCTCCAAGAGTTACATATGTACATGTCTGATGCTCCATCGGTCGTGCTCTAATTCCTCAAAAATTTCGAAAGCTCTATCTTCATGTTGCTGATGCAGAGCAGCTACTCTTCCAGCAAAGCCTTTAACGCGTCCCTAACAGTGCGCTTCGGAGGGGCTAGTTCCATAATTTCCTTGCTGGTCGGTGTACCAGCGAGCGAGCACTTGCCCTGCCACAGTGCATCACATCCAGCGAGAATCGATGGCAAAAACTTTTCTGGATACACACCCGCCTTGACCAAATCACTAAGCCAACTCGTCACTTCGAATTCTGTCGTTTCGATCTTGACGTCTGCATGCTGTTCGGCCAGCTTCACAATACTTTGTCCGGTCACATCTTCGGGACCACTGAGGATGTACTTGGCGTGATTATGTGGTGTCGGGTCCTCGATCGCCAAGAGATGGGCTCCAACGTTGCCGACGTCCTCGGGATCAATCATCGCCACGGCCACGTTGGCAGCAGGAATCATGCGAAGAGTCTCTTGTTTGCCGGTTTCTTGGTATGCTTTGATCCAGTCGGCGACGGAAGCGAGGTAACTTGCAGTAAAGAAATTCGGCTGCAGTGATGTCCACTGCAAAGACTTGAACTCTGGCTGACTCAGCAGGTTTTCAATCGCCCAATGTGAGCGACCGTAGAATATAGGGCTGGTTGGGCCAATGTACTCCACGTTGGTCGATACTTTGACCACGTATTCGACGCCAGCATGCAGCAGGGCGACGTAGAGAGCAGACTCTTCCGCAAACTGGTGGGGCAAGTTGTGTGGTGCGATGTAGACTCTAGTTACCTGCTGGCTCCGAAGCCATGCAGCATCGATGGTGGTCCAGTCCTTCTCTTGCATCTCAACATGAGGCAAATTGGCAAGCTTCTGAGACGCGGGGTTGTCGAGGGAACGTGTGAGGCCAAGAATTCGGTAGTTGGTGTTGCTGGACTCAAGCAGCTTTGGGAGGCCGCGGACAACGCTCTTGCCAGTATTGCCGGTCGCGCCGATCACAAGAATGGTAGGAGTCATAGTGGGTTTGTCGATGTTACGATGAAAGAAGTTTTGACAGTGAAGGGTCCTGCAGAAAGATGGGGGTTATGGAAACTGGGCCGGGATGATGCAAATAATTGGATTGGTATACATATGCGTGGCTGAAGGGCGCGATAGCCGCCTTTTATACACCAATACTGAATAATTTTCGCGCGTTACATTCCACGATTACAAAGCTGCAAACAAGAATTGAAAGGACGCATGCTTCCTGGATTATCAAGCAGATACAAAGTGTGGATCAGGATGCGCCGACATTTAACCGGCGATTTCAGAACTCACTATGCTGGGACATCCTCAAGGACATATGCAGGGAGGGGGAATCGTACTGTTTATCGAGGTTTTGATGCCCTGGGCTTATTAATTATATCGGACACTAAAGTTCAGAAGTGGGGTTTGCGCTACTACCCCTCGGGCGAAACTTCTCCCGACGCTAATTGAATTCCGAAAGCTTATTTCATCATAGAGCCTCTGGCTGCATTCGGATGTCTTCATGTATTCTACATATGGCTGGGTCACTTGACTAATAAGCTCCAAACACTTCTATGTCATGCTCAATCATTCTTGATCTAGCCAATTCGTCATCTATTTAATTCAGTAGATCCTCCTCTCCTACTGAAGTCAATTAACTGCCCTGTATGAAACTGTGTGGTTAGGTCACAATGCCGGTAACTGTATTCCCCTGATTTTTACGTTCGGTATCTTACCAATCCTCTTTAGATGCCATCAGACACCACAATTGAGCCCACTGCCACTATCACCTACAAAACCAACCCAGTTCCTATCGAGTTCGATCTCTATAGTCCTACAGTTCGGTCTGATACGCCAGGTGCCTTGATCATTTACTACCATCCTGGAGCCACCTACCTTGGCTCTCGGAAGCTCGGGTTCCCGGCCTGGTTACGAGATGGTTGCAACAAACGAGGCTGGACAATTTGCTCCGTTGACTATAGGTTGCTGCCGGAGAGCTCGATTTCCGATATAATGGAGGATTTGAAGGATATGTGGACATAGTACGAAATTTATTTCTTCGATATATGAGACTTGGAGCTAACCTCTGCAAAGTGTACACAGCCACCTGAACATCGAACTCAAGAAGCGCTCTCTCAATCCAGTTGATCTTGATGCCGTGTTTGTCAGCGGAGGGAGTGCTGGAGGATACATTACCTTCCAGGCTGGCCATCTGCTTACTCCTCGTCCTGCCGGCCTTATCGCAATGTATGGTGATTGTTTTGTTGGAGATTGGTATGCGAAGGCTCATCCGCCGGACGCTATCATCGCCAACGCGCGACTTGGTGATGTTGAAAAACATGCCATCGAGATAGAAAAGTACTTTCAAGAAGGCAGACAGCCGGTCACAGGCCGTCCTTTCAAGGACGGGACCGACCCTCACTCGATGTTTTATCACTACCTCATCCGCAAGGGAGAATGTAAGTTTCTCTTTGGTCTCTTTTGTCTTGTTTCGGCCTCACTGACCCAAACAGTCCTCAAGCGGACATTTGGTGTCGAGTCTATGGAAGAAGCAGCCTTGCGATCCGACCTCCACTATCTCTTCCCACAGTTCTCTGTTAAGGATTCATACCCCCCTATCGTTCTTGCACATGGAACGAGTGATACAGCTGTCCCATACGAACAGTCAATTTTCTTCTCTAAACACTTGACATCCAAAGGCTTTTACAACGAACTTTACCTGCTCGAAGGCAAAGACCATTTCTGGGATCTTGGCGAGGAGGATGATGTCCTCGAGGTTAAGGCGAAGATCTGGGCCTTCTTGGACAGGCTTGCGTCTAGTTGAAAATAGCACAGGTATTCTCAGAACTAAGACATGAGCCAAATGAATTCCAATAATATACTATGTGAAGTTTATAGAAGAATCCGAAAGACTTTAACTACTGTATGCTGTTTCTTGCACAGGCCCCGCTTCCTGGAACGGCGGTCACTCATATCTTCTCTATCGTTAAACCTGCATGGCGGAAATGGCCTTCAGCGCTCTGCTGCTTTGCACCAACATCATGGACACACTGCCGAAGGAAGGCGTGGAACCCTTGGTCGGGATCTTTTTCAAAACTTGGCCAAGATTTCTTGATGTATGCCTTCAGCTCGGCAAAAAACTCCTCTATGGGGTTGAAATCTGGAGAGTAAGGGGGGAGGTACAGCAATCTGACACCTGCATCGGAGCATAACTGTTTGACTCGGTCCGAATGGTGGAAGGATGCATTATCCATAATAAGTACGGACTTTGGCTCCGGCCACCTTCCACAGTGTTGGAGCAGCTGCTCAATAAACGATTCGAACAGCACGGCATCCGTTGAACCTTTAAAAATACGAGACAGAAGAATACCTTCCTGAGTATACGCTGGCAATATCTGATACCGCTGGCCCCGATGGAATTTAGACACTTGCACCGGTGTCACACCTAATGGTGACCAACCAGTCCGCCTATGTCCTACCCGTTTATCACATCCGGATTCATCAACGAAAACAAGGTGGTATGATTGGAACTCAGATAGTTTGTGTTGGTAGAAATCTCGTAGTTGAGGATTCTGCTCTTTGGGTTTCTGCCGGGCTGTCTTCTTGGTCCATCCAGCCCGAGAAAGAGCACGTTGGATGCTGGATGACGATGGTAATATGTTGAACTGGTCCGATAGGAACTTAGCCATCTCGTCGAGATACAGGCCGGGTATCTTAGCGAGGTGGTCACAAAGGGTGTCCAGCATCACAGAAGTGACGATTGGTGGCAGGCCAGGAGGGATTGTGGGAGGATTGGGACTGCCGAACAATCGCATTTTCTTGCGTATGTTAGTGATAGAACGCTCAGTACACTTTGCCAGCTTGGCCATTTGAGATGTAGTCAGTCTTTTCTTGCTGTTTATCATGTGTGCAATCATCTTACGCTGCCCAGGGTTCAGGTTTCGCGCCATCTTGAGATAATTTAGGGGGGGTGAATGGTTGCTGGAGTTTGGGGGAGGAATGTTGGGAAACACGGAGTTGGTATTTTTTGGATCTGTAATAATACATAACATTACATCGCTCGTCAGTTTTAATTTTACCGTTCCGAACTGAAACATGATCCAAAGTACGGGAGTAACCATATCTGGCAGGACGGATCATGTGATTAGGGTTTGAAAGAGCATCTATATGTTCGCGGCATGGAAGCCGATGTCGGGCGCTTCTGTAATCCGATCCCGCAGGGTGTGGCGAGAAGTGAAAGGAGGCTCAATCCCAGGAATGTCTCGGAACATTTGTTGGAACTCTGGAGACTCAACAGTGGCGAAAGCTTTCATATCAGTCACAATCCAGCGAATTGTATTCCTTTCCAAGACCTCTTGATGGGTGAGACTCTGTTTACCACCCATAAAACTCCGAATGTCTGGTCCCTTCTTCGCTGGCTGTATACTGGAGGTCGGACAGTAAATGCCATGCTTTACCAAGTGGGTTTTCATGTTGCTGGTTGTATTTTGCCGCTGGGAATCTGACGTATGCCAGTCACAGCGTGTTCCCGTTTTCTCATCTACATGCATGCAGCAAATCTCTCGGTCGACCAGCCTCCTCTTGTTGGTCCTCTTGATAACCCATGGACAATCAACGGCTGTAGTCTCGAAGTACCCCCAGATCCACTCTGTAGCCGGCGCTGGTCGTTTGCACCATTGAGAGGATATGTGGCTTGTGATTGAAGTACCAGCATCTGTTGAGCTCTCTTGCGATAGTAGCACTTGTGACACAGACTCGGAAGGTAGGAGCTCACAATCTGGTATGTTGGTGAGGATTACCACATCTTTTTGACAGGTTGGGAGAGTACGTGGGAGATTGCTCAGTGGCTCGCTTGATTCGCTTGATTGGTCAATTTGATCCTCAGGCAAAGACTCGTCATCGCTCTCATCATTCAGAACTCGGTAGTTGAGGCGTTTCTGCCGCGTACGCATTTTGTGTTGGATACACCAGCCCACTGGCGCAGTGCGGATGAATACGACTTGCTGATCGCAGCTCGCTGTTGATGTGGGCCCAGTGGTTCAGTAGAACCAGGGTTGAAGAGTCATGTATGGAGCTGGTTAGTGTCTGGAAGAGCAGGTCACTGTCAACCAAGAAGAGGTCGAGGTACGCGTCTCAGTCTTTCAGACGCGTCGCGTCTAAATAGAGTTGTACCATAAAATAGGATTGAACCCTTATGACCTCTGGATAATCTGCCATATAGCATAATGGAAGAAGCAAAGCGTAGCTATCGAATAGAACAGGTAATATGATGGTATGCTGGGACGGAGAAGCCTATAACATAGATATATATATGTATATGTATGCGCAGAGGGATGGAAGCAACTTACAAAGGATTAGATATATACTTTGCAAGTACAGAGTTAGTTGATATGACGGCAGAGCAACGTAAAATATATAAATATCCAGCCACATAGCACGGCAACAACACGACGTAGGACTACGTAACGGGAGCGAATTGCCCTAATTAACGAGTATCTAAGCTATCATTCTCTTTGTAGCAAAGTCTTCTATATCTAGGACCAGGAAATATTCTCTTATTGTCCAATTACCGGTGGCGATATATCGCCGACGATAATATAATTTGCCGATATCGTATCGACAATTTCTTAAACTGTCGATCGCGATTGCCGATACGATATCGGCAGACTTCGAAGTTGACGATGCCGATTGACGATATGGGAAAACGGTACCGATATCGTATCGTTAACAGCTCTAGGAGTATATACTACTATATTGAATCTAATATGTAGAAATCATCATTGCGCACTGTTTATCAACTTTTGTATTCGTGAGGGAAACAAAGATCCCCACTATGACGGGGATGGGTGTTTACCGTTGGCCGCCACTTCACCGCCCGCGAGTCACTCGTACTGCACATCATGTTGATTCACGATTCACTGGTCCGGTCCCCATCACCATTATCACCAACTCTTAACCGTCACTCACCTCCAGCCCTCACCATCAATATGCCCTCACCATCAACAAATCAACACCATCACACACCGACACACCACCCACTCACCGTCTAAACTCCGCATTCCCCTACATCCCGACAAACCCTGCTGCCACTGCTAGCCAGAAAAGACAAGCATCCACACCAATGGAGACTAGTTTAGATTTCAGCCGCCACTCAGATTGGCCACCCGCTACCAGCCATAACTCGATGCTTTACTTCACACTACTTGGAAGTGAATATCCATTCTCGAAGCCCAGGGCGTGCTTGAGCGCTACAAAGTGCATTTTTCGAATCAGAGCTATGTACAGTGGCATTTACATACAGTACTGAAGTCATTTTAGACCATGTCTTATTAGATTCTAGATTTCTATTGGTTGTTTGCAGGTCTTGGCTTCTTCGAGAACTCCCCCAAATACTAGTCTCTGACACCACGAAGAGGTGCCTGCAATCGCCAGAGGATCAGGACGAGGACCGCGGGGCCACGGGTCGCCTAATGAGCGCAAATTTGATAACGCAGGGCTCAAGGCTGCATGGAAGCTCAAGATTATACAATCACAGGGCTCAAGGCTGTGAGGGAGAACTTGGTGACGCAGCGGTCTCCTGCGGAGAACTTGGTATCGCAGCGGTCTCCTGCGGGTCTCCCTTGGTTTCGCAGCGTCCCCCTGCGGAGGCTCTTGATGTCGCGGAGGTCCCCCGGAGCACATTTGTACAACACAGGGCTCATTGGCTGTGAGGGAGCACACTGATACAACACAGGGCTCATTGGCTGTGAGGGAGCGCATTTGTACAACACAGGGCTCATTGGCTGTGAGGGAGCACATTTATACAACACAGGGCTCATTGGCTGTGAGGGAGCGCATTTGTACAACACAGGGCTCATTGGCTGTGAGGGAGCGCATTTATACAACACAGGGCTCATTGGCTGTGAGGGAGCGCATTTGTACAACACAGGGCTCATTGGCTGTGAGGGAGCGCATTTGTACAACACAGGGCTCATTGGCTGTGAGGGAGCACATTTATACAACACAGGGCTCATTGGCTGCGAGGGAGCACACTTATACAACACAGGGCTCGATGGCTGTGAGGGAGCGCACTCTTACAATCGCAGGGCTCATCACCGCGAGGGAGAACTTGTTGACGCAGCGGTCTCCTGCGGAGAACTTGGTATCGCAGCGGTCTCCTGCGGGTCTTCCTTGGTTTCGCAGTGTCCCCCTGCAAGGCGCACTGAATGACGCGGAGCCCGTCCCGCGAGGCACACTTGATCACGCAGAGCCCGTCCTGCGAAGAGTACTTGGTAACGCAGATCTTACCTGCAAAAGACACCCCAGGCTGCGTGGCCCGGAGTGTGAGGAGGAAAGTCCTGCTTTTCTTTTCGACGGGAAAAGAGCGTCTTTTATGCCATTCTGAGTAGGGGTTTCGGCAGCGACCACTTGCGTACATTTTGCCGGACCCAGAGATTTTGACTTCAAATTCGCAGCGGGCGATCCTAATTTCGTGGGTGTTGAGGCGGTTTATCAACGTTGAAATAAGAAATTTCAAGAGTTTGGAGCGGAGAGCGGGTGGAGTGGCACGCCCCACCTGGACCCTTGGCTCTCCGGGGTCTAGGCCTGACAAATAAAATGCCTCAACGTTGTTGACAAAGGTCAAACGACTTCAACTTCGCTGACAAGTTCGAAAGAATGGACTGGCTCTGGCAAATCGACTGCCTATAGCCTCGAACTTGTGTTTGTAGAATTTGCTATGGTAGCTGCCTCGATCCGTGCTCCTAATTTTGGACGTGCATCTACCCCTTTACTATATTTATCTAATATAGGCACTGAATGAATGGATTCTCAATTAAATCATCA